CCCTTTTCAGGTTTGGGGAAGTGGCGATGAGCCACACGAGGACGAAGATGGAAGAAAGCTGGACGATTGAGGAAGTTGCGTTTAACGTTCCCGGTTTGTCTCTCGACTGCTTTATACCGCCGGCTGATCTAAAGTCCGGGACTTTAACCGAGTCCTGCGAGTACACGCAAGAAGAGAGAGGGAAGAACAAGGTGGTTGCTTTGTCTGCTGCTCACAGGGCCAAAGTTGCTGCCTTGGAGAATGGGAGCTTTGGAGATAACCGCCCGGTTTGGCATACTGATGTGTAACGGTTAAAAGAGAGATAGCATTAGCCGATGGAAACAAGATCAGATGCAAATGTGTTCATACGCCAAGCTAACCTTTTTAGCAGCTTTAGGAATCAGGTTTGTTAGACCGAAGATGAATCTGGTTCAAATCGAATCCAGATGAATCTTTGTTTTTTTTTTTCTAACTCTAATCTTAGGTGAATTGAGATTGGAGTTTGGATTTGGTTTAATTATCTTTCCGGTTTGGGTTTTTCTTTAATTCTCACCTTCAATATTTTTGAGTAGGGTGAAGGCAAGAGAAGGAGAATTGCCTGCTTTTACTTAACTAGTTTCTAGCATTTTTTAAGTGTTTTGTGTTGTTTAATCAACCCTCTTAACTACGAATCTTGATATTTGTTCATCCTTTCTTTTTCAATCTATGGTGGTTTTCTGTTTTTTTTTTTTTGTTGTTAATGGCTCTCTGCTTTCTCTGCCATGATATGATCCAATATCATTGTTGGCCAACTTGTAGAAGAAAGTGAAGAACATAATGTGAACAAAAACAGAAAGATGCCAAAGAGAATATAACAAAATAAACAGCATTTCACATTCATCAAGATAATAATGTGAAAATGGAGTTTTTGGATGTTGGTTTTTTTAATCATCATAATGATAATGTGAACATAGAGAGACTCTGTTCCTACCTGTTTGGCAACTAATGAAAAAGAGATGACCCCTCGAGAGTTGAGTCCACACATCCACACGCCCACATTTATGACCATCTCTACACTCTCACTCTCATTTTCATTAGTTTGTGCAATTGGTTTTAAGTTTGATACATTTTGTGGATACGAAGTTGAGTACTGTGTTATAACCTTGTTAAACCGCAATCGTTTCTTCTTGATTGTATCAAATTAAATGTGGTGGGGATAAGATTCTTATAAATGAACGGGAGGGTCCATTTTGACCCTCTTTGAATGCTCGGGACTAACTTTCTGCTTTTGGTAAAATTAATGACTTTTTTTTTTTTGTTTTTTCAGAACACAACTGTCTTCGCTTTCCTCATTTACTTTTTTTTTATATAAACAAATTAAATATCTACCTTTTCTGTAGATTAATATAGGAGATTTTTATGTATAAATAATTAGATACCATTGTTATCATGCTTTCAATTGAATTTTCGAATTGAATTATATGATTCATGATTGTTGTCCTTTTGTAGTGGGCACCCTCCAGTTGCGAAATTCGCAGTCCCTTCGCTTATAAGATATGCCTTTTTCTTCTCTTTTGGGTAAAAAGTCAGAACATTTTTTAAAAAGAAAGTTAGAAGAAATTCTAATATTTTAGTGTTTGTGTTGAATTTTTCATTTTGACTACTTGGCAGAAAATACATAACTGCGTTAGCTTTAGTCATCACAATGATTTGTGAAACCATTACTTTTCTTTTCTTATCCATGAATTAGGGGACACATATCCCTCTTCTTGGACTCAAGACCTTGCATTACACAAATCTATACTTTAGTCACTCTTAAAACAATGGTAGTATTTCACTGTTTATTTATTTATTATGTTTACATGATTACTTTGGTGATCTTGTGTATAACCCTATATTGTCACCAATGTTTATATCACTAGTTTTGAATATAAATCTTTAATATCTAGTTTGGATCATAACATGTTTGTCTATTTACAAATAGCATGTGATCGAATCACAAAAAAAAATTATACATAAAATGTACTTACTAAAATCATATTAGGGTTAATAAGTTTGGTTCAACTCCACCATCAATCTCAATAGTTTTAAAAGTTGCCACTCTCACGTTTTGAAATTGAAACTTTTAAATAAAGCATCTCTTACTTTGTAGTAATCACTTTACAAAAAGCTAATAATATAATGATCCAAAAGTCCAAAGAGACTGAAACTCGGAGGTCATTGCATCATTAGATAACGATTAGACAACATATACTGTATATTCCAAATTTCTCACTATTTACTTACAGAGGACTCATCGATTAACGAAAATAACGTTCTTTAAATCTTGCAAATTGGTCAAGTAAGCCAGGTGATAATTATATACGTTGTCTGTAAACCTAGCGACATAAACACGAGGGTCATAGTGACAATTCATATCGTTTAAGAGATGAAGAATTATTTACCTAAATTCTAAAAATTGATTTGATTTCAATAAATTCCAAAAGGCTTCAAGACAATAAACAAACGAACGACCTCTCTAAATGCTAATGATGAAGGAGACCATGCTGTTTGTGGAATAATATTAATAACTAATACTGAAATAATTATAATAAACAAAAAAGTAAAGTATTTTAGCCTTGTGGAGTTTCCTCAAGTATGTCAAAGATTGGTTCTAGTTTTGGATCTTATAACAAGATTATAGGCAACCCCAAAACTTGCTTGGCTTTTTTAACAAAAAAAATGAAAATAGAAAAATATTGGAAGGGGCATGTGAAAGAACGTGGGAAGGTTTTAGAGCATATGATTTGAGACATGGATGTGGGAGAAGCTTTGCTTCACTGTCACTAAGCCACTCTGTGTTTTTGACTGCTTTTACTCTAAGCTCTTCTTTGTCTTTACCCATTACACACCAACTCTTTGGATTCCATCCCTTTTAACCAACATTTTCAATTGGTTAAAAACTTAGAAGCGTAGTATTTTTATTTTGTAGATATGTACCTTTAACTAGTAAACTAATTTATTAACACTTTCAAGTTCTAAGTACAGGAATACAATAAAGCACTTGTTGAAATAGAGCCTACTAGTTAAATTGGTTATTTATGTTAAAGATCTTATTCAATTTTTCACTGGGATATGCATCTGCGGCTATCCTCTTTGTTATCAGTGAATTAAATGCCAATTTGGGAGACTTATGAAAATATATATTTTTATTAAAGCTATTGTAGAAAAATGCACCCATTTCTTCTTCTTGATGCGATAGATAATTTTCGTCACTCTTACAAAACCCTAAAACTCTAACAAGAACATATAAAGTTATAAACCCAAATGAAAACTTGTACTTGAAAATTATATGGTTTCACAACACCATTTTCTACTAAAAAGTGGTTTTCATAGTATATCGATTTCACAAGTACATGTACTTATAGATAAATATTATCATCTACTATTCCTCGTTTTCGTAGCTCAAAAAACAAGAAATGGAAACATTTAGGATGAAGTTAGTAGTAGGATCAATACTTGAGATAAAAACACAGCCCTTAAGTCCTTAACTAAAACACTTTAAGAATTAAGACTACTAAAAGTGTACTTGTAGTACTATAACCCCCACACTAAAATCAAACAAAATGTCGGCAAAGATTGGGAAGTTATTGTACATTGAAAATCATTTTAATGAAATGGGTGGGTTTCAGTCATTCATTGATGTGAATACTGCCATTTTGAATGTTGACAGTTATGTTCTAGAATTTATTTCCTGCAAGACTTGTAATATTACCCATCTTTAACGGCAACTCAATTCGTTGAACAATCCTTTTGTTCATCTCTTCCTTTTTCTCTAGTAGGAGACTAGGAGTGCCTACCACCTATCAAATAATGAAATAGATAAACATTGAATTTTACAAAAAATCTTATATTTTGATAATCTTGCTATACCATGTAGCAATGTTACCCTACAACAAGGTCGATCATACATAATAAACAACTGCATAATATTTATATAATGAAACATTTCATCCGTATGTAAACAATTTATTTTCGATTATTCGGACATAATGTTCCATACCAATAATTTATGAACCTTTCATATTAAATACATAGAAGGAAGCTATATGTACGAGAGGGGAATGAAATCGAGTTATATATATTTAGATCGAATAAGCCAATATAAAAGGTTAAAAATAACGAAACAAAAGTAGAAGAGAAGCCATGTGGTGATAATCATAGTGTGACCGATCCCAAGCTATAACTATTCACTATTGAGTAGTCACATTTCACGAAGTGCTTTATGTTTTTTTTTTCTCAATAGAAGATTACATTGAGATACTTCAAACCAGAGAATTACACAAGGATGGAAACCAAAATCACATATCATGAATTGCATTATGTATTCACAATTTTTAAACTAATATCATTCATATATCTTCGATTTTTTTTATCAAATATTCGGCATATTATGATTCTGTTTTGTTTTTATTCCAGAATGATTCAGAAATGAATGTGTAACAGCAAAAACCTTAAAAACTACTAGTGTTTCAAACCAAGCCAAAGACCGATTCTAGATTGGTTTAGGTTCAGGTTACTATTCCAGATCATTTATTAATTACTAACCTACGGCAGAGTAAGGGTAATAATCTCCATGGGTGTTAATTAAGCCAAGGATCAATGGAAACCGAATGGTAATTGTGGGTGCAGGTTAAGTGTATAAGCGAATAGCCATTCGCTAAACTCTCTCGAAACAAAAGATACATTCTCTTTCTCAGAGTCTAGCTCTAAACTTTAAACCATTTATGGAATCACTGTGTGTTGGATATCAATCCAAGTCCCACATCGAAAGTTAGACAAAAAGTGTCTAATATATAAGTAGTGTCAACCCTAAATAGTATGAGGCCTTTTGGGAATGAGTCCAATAACAAATTCGTAAGGGTTAAGACACATGAACCCAAAGCGGACAATATCATACTAGTTGGATGGTTGGACACAGGCTTGAAAAGGCCCTTTAATTGGTATCAGAGCCAGATCCAAAGTAGTGGACCTAGAGAAGTGGGTGTAGGCATTACAAAAAGATGTGGGAAGAAAGCCCTCAAGCTAGACCTTGCGATAAGGGAAGCCCAGATTCTTGTGCAGAGTTCCCGTAAAGTAGTACGGCATCACAAGAAGGGAGCCAAGTTTCGCTAAAAAGGCCACGAGAAGGTGGAGGAGCCACAAGAGTATGTGGTCCTTGGCTTGAAGGGGAGAATGTTGGATATCAATCCAAGTCCCACATCGAATGTTGGATATCAATCCAAGTCCCACATCGAAAGTTAGACAAAGAAGTGTCTAATATATAAGTAGTGTCAACCCTAAATAGTATGAGGCCTTTTGGGAAGGAGTCCAATAACAAATCCGTGAGGGTTAAGACACATGAACCCAAAGCGGACAATATCATACTAGTTGGATGGTTGGACACGGGCTTGAAAAGGCCCTTTACTGTGTGGATTCTTCTGCGCAAGGTACGCATTTAAGTGTATCATCAATTCTTGAAATCCTCAAAACACACGACACACTCTCTGCTGTCACTATTTATTCCGCATTTAATTAAGTGTATCATCACACTCTCTTGTCTCTAAAATAATTACCATCAGCTAGCTTCATGAATCTTTAAACTGTTTAAACATAAGCAACAAATCCAAGTCTTATAAACACATTAAGGCAAAACAAGGAAAGAGTAACTGAAAATTGGTATAAAACTTTCACATTTTACCAAAAAAAAAAAAAAAAAAAAAAAAAAAGAAGAGTAAAGAAAGCTCACTGAGAAGGGTTCGCCCTTTTTTCTTTTTTCGTTCTCTCCCAATAAGCGCCGCCTAGACTCGTCTTCTCCATCTGCTTTAGATCTGCCTCCTCGGTGACCGGCGCTCCTCACCGCCGCCGGGGAGGGCTCCGCTCTTCTCTTTTCTCTGTCATCGGCTTCCTCTCTGCTTCGCTTGGTTTTTTTCAGCGGAGAGGCTATTCTGCGTGGATCCGTTTCGAGCTTCGCGAGATGGGTTTCCTATCTTCGTGGTGGAAGATCAGTGTGGAGGGAGGAGAGTGGCGTCTTGTGTCCTCCTTCCGGTGTGGTGCTTTGGTCTCTGCCCTCGGCGTTGGTGGAAGAGGATTTCGTCAGATCTGGTCCGCCTGGCGGTTGTGGAGGCTTTGAGGACGTGTTTCCGCCGTCGGTGAATCCAAGAGATGACTTTCCTTCTTCTGGTTTCTGTCAAAGGCAGCGGCAGCGTGGTTTCCGGCTTGCCGGAGAGGTGGCTCACTCCGCCGTCAATCTTGATTCGTCCCATCGGTGAATGTTGTAGGGCTGTGGTTATTTCTGGTGGTGGGAATCACGGTGACGACCGTTTCCTCTGCTTGGTTTTGGCTTCCAGTGTGGCTCCTCCATATTCTTCCGGTGCTTCTCCTAAGGCTTTATTTGGTGGTGTTCTATGAGCGGCCGATTTAGACAGGCGGCGGCTCCGTTCAGTTTTGCTACGGTGGTGACTTGGTTTAGAATAGAGGCGGCGGTTTTTCTCTGCGTCTTTGATATGTCTGTGGAGATGTTTCTTGTGATGTGCAGGCCCGAGATTGTGGCCGGAGGCGGTTCTCCGGCTGCCCATAGAAGCTCCTTTACCGCCAGATGTAGAAGAGTTTGTTTAGAGTGGTTCCGTTTTTGTGTTAGTCTTCGGAGAAGCTGTAGGTGCTCCTAACACTGAGATTTTGAGGACTGGTCTTAGGTGGGAATGCTCGTGGCAACAACGATGAGTACTCAAGCTCTTTGGAGCTTTGGCAACAATACAAATTTCCGAGCTCTGCGTTTGGAATCGGTGTTTCTCCTCCAGGGATCTGCTTGGTTTGCTTGATGTGTGTCTTCCTTGTCGTTTGGTTGGCTCTTTGTTTCACTGTTATTTTCAAGCTTTTCTAGTAGTTTTTGGTCTTTCTGACTTCTTTGTTACCTCTGTATTCTGTCACAAAACTGAAAATTGGTATAAAACTTTCACATTTTACCAAAAAAAAAAAAAAAAAAAAAAAGGGAAGAGTATATTGGTTCAGTTTAAAGTCTACTCAAACACTGTTTCAAGATCTTGGGCAAACAACACAATCATAGATTCAGAAAGATACAACCAAATGATATTTGGAAATATTCAAAATATTATGATTATTTAGATTATTAATTTATTTATTTATATTTATGTTTTAATTTTTAATTATTTATGACCTTTCTAGAATATTTTTAGGGTTTTGAACATTCATTATAAATAGCCATCTAGGTTTCATATTGTATTCAGACTTTCATGAATTAATAAAAAATATATTTACTGAAGAGATTTTGATAAATCACTGTGAAGAGTATTCACAATTAAGAGATTTTGCGAAAACTTTGAGAAGTAGACTCTCAAACCCTAGTTATCCGGTCTTCTGAGGAATCAATGGATCCCTAGTTCTATCCTGAAGCTTCCGCTCCAAACTGTTCATCAAACAAAGTTTATAAACCAACTAAACCAATAAGGCAATATCAAGCAGAGGATTTTGGATCATAAATCAGAGTCGTACCTTCAGAAATCAGTTTTAAATTTGTATATAATAATCAAGTCATTTGAAATTCTCTAGTCTCAGATTAGTAAATGAAGAGAATGAGAAACCGCACTCGAGCCGCGAATGGAGGGAAAGCGATCAAAAGTGACGTAATGCGCACGTCACCAGCATACGTCGTCTATAGAATAAAGGAGCTAACTATTGTTTTCTTTGAAAAATCATATAAAAGAAAATTGTTACTGACAGTTTTGAAAAAAAAAAAAAAATTCTTGCCATCTGTTATGGAATAGAGAGATTAAGAGAGGAGAGGAATTCGTGATATCTTATTCCAATAGAAAGGGGACCTTTATATAGGTGTACAACATTAGGGTTTTCCTTATAGGAAGTATACTTGGTGGACAAGTAAGAATATTCTAGAAGATGGGCCTGATAATGGGCATCCACATAAAGCCTTTTCATAACACTTCCCCTTGGATGTCCATTATAAGTAATGTGCAGATGATGCTACCTCATTAAAAACCTTACTAGGAAAACCCAATAGGAAAAACCATATTTAAGGGAAAAAGAGTGTAGCGCACAATTACTTCCCCTCATGTGGACATCCGTTGAGATCCTTGAGACAACGCAGTCCAATCATATGAGTTAGCTTCTTGAAAGTAGATGTTGGAAGCGTCTTAGTAAACAAGTCCGCCAAATTCTCGCTTGAATGAATCTGGTGTACACTTACATCGCCATTCTTTTGTAACTCATGGGTGAAGAAAAACTTCGGTAGAATGTGCTTCGTTCTGTCTCCTTTAATGTATCCATCCTTAAGTTGTGCGATGCAAGCAACATTATCTTCATACATAACTGTTGGAGCTCCTTTTCCTGTCTGTACACCACAATCTTCTCGAATGTGTTGAATTACAGATCTCAGCCAAACACATTCACGACTAGCTTTGTGGACGGCTCCACATGTGAACACGTATCCAGTTTGTGAACGAGCAGTATGGGGATTAGACAAGTATCATGTATCTGCAAAACCAATTAAACTTGTGTGTTCTCTGTTGCCTCATTAAAACCTTTCATGGAAAAACCCAATGGGATAAAAACCATGATAAGGAAAAAGAGTACAACCACACATCATCATATTTCTTCCCCTTGGAAGCATCTTCTTCAGGAAATGCGTTCCAATCATAAACTTGTATGACTATCTTTAGTCTCTCATAAACCAACCAATGATGGTATACCAAGGTATATGAATACATCTATTGTACTCAAGTATGGTACTTCAGGACCAAAACTTCTTCATCATTTTCCAGGGACGGAAAAGATATTTCCATACATCAAGTGATCTTCTAATCACTGAACTGCTCAAATAATGAGTTCAATCTATTGAGAACTTTTTCGATTCTCTCGGTGTACGCCATATGGTGCAGTAGAATTCCATCTACAAAATGCTCAATCTGCAATCCAAGCAGAATTTTATCTTCCGAGATCTTTCATCTCAAATTCTACTGTATATGGAGTCTCTTCAGGAGTTCCAATACTATTTAAATCATCCACGTACACCGCAATGATATCAAATCATTTCACACATTTATTTATGAATATGCATTGACTGATAAGATCATTCTTATAGCCTTCCTTCAGCAAGTATTCACTAAGACGGTTATACCACATATATCCTGATTGTCTCAATCCATAAAGAGAACGTTTTAACTTTATGGAGAAATCTTCTCTAGAATTTGATTTCTCTGCTTCAGGCAGTTCAAATCCTTATGGAACATTCATATTGATCTCATTATCCAATGGACCATATAAGTGGGCTGTGACTACATCCATCAGCCGAAAATCAAGTCCTTCTCTTATCACAAGAGAGATGAGGAATCTAGAAATAGTTACATCCACTTCAGGGGAGTATATCTACTCATAATCAATTTCATGTATTTGTGAGAAATCATGTGCAACTAAACGTGTCTTATATCTCACAATATCATCATTCCTTTTCGCACAAAATCCATTTGTGTTCTACTAGTTGTACATCTTTAGGTGTACAGACTACCAGACCTTTAGGTGTACGGACTACTTGTCCGAATACTTTTCTCTTTCTTCGAGATCATGGACTATTGGTCCGTATGCTTCCCCTTTTCCAAGGGATTACGGATTACTGATCCGAGTACATTCTATGTCTATTGCTTCTTTACGATTTGGCCAAATCATTATTTTGTGTACACTTAGCAATAGACTTTGCTTAATGATCCTCTTTCTCATTCATAACATCAACTGCTACATTGCATGCAAATATCATATATACGACGCCGATTTGCTTTTCTGTGGTTCCAATGCATTCCACACATGACTTGACAAATTCTCGAGATCTTTTCATAGTCTCAAGTACCTGAATTTCTTTCTTTGTCATATTCGATGTCTCTTCTGGAGATCATTCAAAATCTGTGTTTTCTCGGTTTGACCAATTTTACTTATGCTCTTTTTCTTTTCCGAGAACTCTTATATTTGGAACCAATTTGTCTACCACGCTTCAGGGTGCCATAGACTTAACAGCAGTTTGATATTGTCCTTCTGGGACATCAATTATTCTTAGAGCATTTACAGATGGTAAGTGACCTAATCACGTATATGGGTCAGTAAGTGTATCTCACAACTGATACACTGAATGAATTATCCTTAAGACATTCTCCAGTCCGAGGATCATCGATAACTCATTCCAACTTTAATCTTTCTCCACCTGTTTACTTTCTCCCCTTGATGTTGGAAATACTGACTCATTAAAATGGCAGTGTTCAATCAGGCTTTACTTAAATCCTTCGGGGATAGCTCTCAATTTTATCCAACATCTACAACCTCCTTTGAGGATCCATCTCATACTCACGTCGTGGATTGTATACCGTACATCCATAGACCTCTAGATGGAAAATATTTGGTTTATGACCAAAACCAATTCTGATGAGAGAACTTTTGATAACTCATTGGCTTGATGCGAATCACTGCTCCTGCATTCTTAGTATGAATATATCCACCGGATATTCACAGAATTCACCTATATTACCAAGTAATCTTGCAAACTTCAGGTCGCAGATTGATATTATGTATACATACAACTATCTCAAAGTTTTCACTTAGTGGATGATCAGTCCACACCATCAACTTTCCATGTATACCTTCACAAACAACTATATTCCAAATCTATGTTTGCTGATGAATATCATACTATGAATTTCTTATGAGCAAGGGACATATCACAAATCATTGAGAGAAACTTCTGGTCCTTCAATGAATGTCCACATAATTAACTTTCGCATCACATCTGAAGCAAATTGGTCTAACAGGTTCATGCCAAACAATGAAGTTTTCGTTAAACTTCCGGTGTACGACCACAAACTTCTGGTGTACGGCAACATTTGCCTCCATTGTATAAGCACATTACAATATGCATTTATTCTTTCCATAATGTGCGTAATGTGAAGGTATTCAACATTTTCTTCACTCATAGTCTCAATGTGATGATTTTGAAAATCTTCAGGATTTTCTGAAGCATAGGTGAACTTCATCTTCTGGATGTTTCACTTGCTATATACATGAGATTCCTTAATTCTTTCCCTCGAGATGGTGATACTCTAAATCCAACCATCTCGAACAGAATCTCACTCTAGAATCAACATCACATCCAACTTGGATCATGAATCCTTTTAACTTTTGAGACTATAACGCATAAGCAATTTTGAATTGCGTTCCCATAGACTGTATGTTCTTCTGGAACATTCAATATGGATGCTCTTCCGGAGCTTTCAATACATATGCTCTTCTGGGGCTTTAAAATATATAAACCACATATATAAATAACATGATAATTTAAATAATTTAAATAAAATATCAACTCATAAACTCATAGAATAAAATGAGAGAAAAATGAAAGGCAGAAAAACCAAAAGCCAGAAATTATAAATAAAGCAAACAATGTTTTTAAGTAGAAATATAAACTTAAATTCTCAATTATTTCCTTCAGGGGCGAGAATATCAGCAATCTCCATGTGAGTTGCTTCACTCATCTCAAAATCATCTTCACCATCTTCGTACACCAAATTTGTTTCCACATTCTTTCCCTTTTCTTTAACAACTTGTTGATAAAGACCACAAGGTGTTTTGGTGTACTGCACAAACGAGCCCAATGGTCATTTCCTCCACAGCGGTAACATGCATTCCCTTGTGTTACTTGCTTGTTACCACCTTTGTTTTCCTGATTTTGGTGAGAGCGTGCATTCTTAAACGACATTCTTTGGCGTACACCAAAATCTCTTCCACGTCCACGACCATAGCCACGACCCCGTCCACCACGACCTCGACCACGGGTATGGCCTTGTCCATTGTGGTTTCGTTCTTTCCTATCATAGGACGTCGCATTCGCTTCAGGGAATGGAGCAGAACCAGTTGGGCGCAGACCATGATTTTTCATCAACAGCTCATTATTTTGCTCTGCCACAAGAAGGCAAGATATCAACTGGGAATACTTCTGGAATCCCTTTTCACGGTATTGTGTCTGCAGGACAACATTATTTGCATGAAATGTAGAGAATGTCTTCTCTAACATATCAGCATCCGTGACTTTCTCTCCACATAACTCCAACTTGGAGGTAATCTTGAACAATGCTGAGTTGTACTCACTTACAGACTTAAAGTCCTGGAGTCTCAGATGTGTCCAATCATAACGAGCTCTAGGTAAGATCACAATTTTCTGGTGATCATACCTCTCTTTCAAACTAGTCCAAAGGACTTGTGGATCTTTCACATTCAGGTACTCACTCTTGAGACCTTCGTGGAGGTGATGGCGAAGGAATATCATTGCTTTTGCCTTATCCTTAGATTCAGCCTCATTCCCTCCCTTGATTGTTTCACCAAGCTCTTTTGCACTGAGGTGGATTTCGGCATCCAATGCCCACGCGAGGTAATTATCCCCGGAAATATCCAACGCCTCAAACTCTAAACTCGTTAGGTTTGGCATAGATTACTGAAAGTAATAAGAAACAATCGTTATGTCTTCAGGACATATAAATAATCATCATGTCTTCAGGACAGAGATATAAGTGTACAAGCATGTCTGCAGGACAAGTATACTAGGCTGATCTAAAGGATAACAATGTATAAACAGATCAAGTAGATATGATATATATATATATATATATATATAACTCAGTGCATAAACAGATCTAACAGACGTAATATATAATTCAGTGTATAAACAGATCTAACTCAGTATTGATCAGTATTCAGTTTCATGTTTATGCATCATTGAGATAAATCAGTATTCAGTTTGAATGAAATGCACGTGATCAAGACAATATGATCAGAATTCGAAGTTTTAGTATATATATGCATAAACCCTAATCACCATGTTGAATCAAGTGTTTTATCGCATGTACATCAAAGCATGATATCTCATCGCGCTGTACACCGAAACATCGATTATTGAATCGTGTAGTACACTTAAACATATATGTGACTCACTAGGTTGAACAATGGTGTGATTGAATATAACATGATACAGGTTTCGATAAACCATAGAAAATAACAATCAACAGTGCTTAACGCAATAAGATATAGCATAAATCAAAGCATATATCAAAGTATGAATAATCGACAAATCACATATATGACACGGCATAACAAGATGCTAGTTCGATAACTTGGATCGTTAATCAATATATGTGATTGAGGATTGATATTCCAGAACCATGAATCGATAGTTAGACATGGTTCTTCATATCGAAGAGTAATAGATCTAAAATCTAAAATAACTACCTTTTAGCTCTTGACGGCTAGGGTTTTAAACCTAGGAGTAGAGACTCGTGCTGATAACGTGTTATGGAATAGAGAGATTAAGAGAGAGAGGAATTCGTGATATCTTATTCCAATAGAAAGGGACCTTTATATAGGTGTACAATATTAGGGTTTTCCTTATAGGAAGTACACTTGGTGGACAAATAAGAATATTCTAAAAGATGGGCCTGATAATGAACATCCACATAAAACCTTTTCATAACACCATCTAATTAATTGTGAGAGAACATCTCAAACGAATTTTTCACGTAGCATAAACTAACACACAAGAAATGATCACCATCACGACTAATATAAGTAATTAACTATTCATATTTCATCATCATATGACCACTATCACAATCAAATGTTGTGTACAGTACCATTCCTTGGGATAAATATTTAGCTATAATATAATTACTTAAGTAGTCCTGCATCTTTCAGTCATAATAATAACTTTTTCCTAGTTTCAATTAGGAAAATAATGGTCAGGATCAGGTTTATCGACACCGTCGACGTTCCTAAGCCAAAACGTCATGTCAAAGGAGGCAGCACCGTCAGGGACGCCGTCCATCACTGATTCTTGTCCCGGCGGAAAGAATATTCCCGTACGTGGGTGTGGGACCCACTCCTCTTCGCCACCACAGTTGATCTCTACTCTATGGTCGGAAATATTTTCAGAGTAGTCGACGACGACCATCGGATTTGGTTTTGCAGCTTTGCTGCTTATCCCTCCACGCCCTTGAACTTGCTTCCAACTTCTAAATCATCATTAAAAAATCTAGATCAATTCACATATTCGATTTACTGATCAAACTTTCCTTTTAATTACTTATAGTTTTTCTTTTAACACCCACCTAGCTAGTTATGTAAAAAACCAAAATCGGAAAAGATATTTGGTAAATTTTTCTTTCATGATTTAAAGTTTAACGAATGTAATTGTTTTGTTTTATTTAAGAAAACTAATTTTAAAATAAACAAAGAAATTAACACCAAGATTTATGTGGGTTCTTTTCAGTTTTCATGATGTTTCTCGTTGTGAATAACACCACTTGATTAACTGAAGAAAAAAAAAGAATGATGAGAAAAGTTGTAGTAATTGACCTTAACAACAGATTTGGTGCTTTGGCGATCCCAGTTCTTCCCATTCACTGTGTATGCAAGTAAACCCACGAACTCAGAACAAAGAGATAATTAAGATTTTTCTTACATAACTTTATTATGTTATATGGAATTAGAGTACTTACCTATATTTAACTGATATTGGTTAGTACGAGCTTGTATATATTATATATCTAATAATCTATAACTTGAGATTGTGTTCTGAAATCTCTTTGGACGTCTCTTCTATATATACACACGAGAAACTGTACGGGTTGAGAATCTGGCCGGAGACCGGAGAGTGGGAGAAAAAAGAGGATTATATATTTTCTTGTTATTCTTGTTAGTTTAAAATATTTTGACGTGTAAATTGACTACAATCGATGTAGTGGTAAATCAGTGACGTAGGAGATTTGGGTTTCAGAATCCAGAACATGCAAGATATTGGTTTCAAATTATGGATTTAAACGTGTAAAATTTCAATAGTATGTTTTTAAATATGATCGTCTATGTGTGTGAAATTTGTGATCTCTGTTTATCATATACAATTGCTTAGTGTTAAATATAAAGATGACGAAGAAAAGCTAGAGAGAATTTAACATAAAAAGTCATCAAGAATATCAAAGTACAAAAGTGTTATTTTTTTATATTAAAATAAATTATTAATATCGATTAACGAGTGCCGTTGGTTGTAAAGAAGTTCGGAATTTAATCTGATTATGATATCGGATGGTGATAATATTGCAAGAAGTATATATTTCATTTCAACATCATATGTATAGTTGTAGATGTAATGCTTCTGTCAAGGAAAGTTATACTTTAAAACTAGCTAAGAGATAAAACAATAACCCAATTTTTCACCAAAAAAGACAATATATAACACAAACTTTCAAAAGGGTTACGAAAATTTGATATTTAATCAAGTTGTTGTGTTGCTTGCATGCATGAATAGTGCGTCGTTATACATGCTAGATATCAAATTCGGGTATATTTATAGTTTTGTTTCTATACGTTTGTCTTTTGTACCGTAGTATGATTTTTTTTTTTTGATAACTCGTAGTATGAAATTTCATGTTTTCTTTTTCTCTTGTTACTTTACTTGCAAAAGTTTCATCACCGAAACTTATTCAAACTTTACGAACTTCATCATATGCATGTATTTAAATTTAACTAAAATAGAAACTACTTAATTTGGTTGCAACTTTTTCAGTTGGAAACTTAGTATATATTCCGCGTTGCTCAATTGTGTAGCTCCGTAAGGAAAAATGCGAAATCGAATGGAAGAAATTTGTTTAACAAAAGATGAGGCTGTTTTAAGACAGACAAATGAATTCAACTAATAGTTTCTTTTGACAATTTTAGTAAAAAATTGTAAACAAAGAAATCTCAGTACTGCTCTTAATTATTCGACTCAATTGGTTGTTAGTTATAAAACTTAGAGTGTTTAAACTTTAAACAAGACATGCATGTTGTTTTGAAAAACATGCGACTTTTGGTGTTGACAAAGTTATTTGTTAAAAATAGAACATGCAAAACACTAGGTAGGTCATATGTTTTCTTAGGGAGGTCGTGTATATTATATCCTAATACTTAGTCTACACGATCTCTATCGACTATGATGATCTCTCTATTTATCCCTAACTGTTTAAAGATATCGTCGACCCAAAACCGTTCTGAAGTTTAAGAGATTAGTTTAACGGAAAAATGAAAGGGTACTTGCACTTGCACTTTTAGAAGGAATAGTAGAATTCACATTGGTGCTTAAATTGAGTTTTGCTTCCCATCGTTTTAAAAGAAAAAGCCAAAACTGTAGAAAGAATCATTATTAAGATGCCATGTTATAATTGATGTAAAGAACCTCTCAACCTCAGGTGGGAATCTTCAAAAAACAATTCTTCTTATCCTCGTTTCCCATTTTTTTCCTTTCGATGTGACACAGACTTAAAAGTGTGCTTCATTTAGAACCTCTCAAGTTCAAGGTCTAGCTTTAGACTTAAGAAAATTCGAGCTGGCCTATGATTTTTAATGAGACTAGGTAGGAACCTGCGCTTCGCCGTGAAAGACTTTTATAGTTGTTTTACTTAATAGAATGCTATTTAGTTTGATTTCTATAGTTTACAATTTTTCTTATTTTGAAGTAAATTTGTACTATACTATAGTATTACATTTACTCGCTTTGATCTGACCCGCAAAAAATTTTGACAAAAAATATATGATTTGTACTCACTGACTTGGGTTTGGATATACGCAAGTAACCTGCAAATATTTTGATAAATAACAATAAAGTTAGTTTTTGTTATAAAGCAAAATACACAATTCTTGAGAAAACCATCAAACTACGATGACATACTCAATTTAAGGAATTGTGTCAACATTTGAAGGTTACTCATACTCTGTAACTGAAATATATATTTTAAAAACCATGTTTAAAGTTCGAACGTAGATTATATTCCATCTCATTCCCTTAAGCATTTTTTTGAAGGATTGAGTACCGTTTTCAACATTTGAGAGTGGGTTATATGCTTCTCTTTTAAAATGAAGAACGCTTAACTTGATTAAATAAATGCAAAGAAAGATTCAATGGCTGTATATGCACGAAAGTTTAATATTACGCATGATTTTACACAGCTTTCTTGAATATCAAATCTATGATCGGATGGATCCAAATTAGAATGAATCTTGAGCTATATTATTACTTCAGAAAGATTAAGCAGTAACGTATATTGAAGATTTTTTCAGCATAAGACCATTTCCACAATCAGATAAAATCATGAACTAAAGATGTGAAAATGGCGAAAGCAATGTGAAAATGGTTAAAGCATAAGATCTTAACACATTATCATGAACTAAAGATCAAAAATTGTAAAATTGATTCGATCTAGCTCATAGATTAATGATTACCTATAAAGTTAGAGAGCGAGAAGAAGAAAACCAGCCAATGAGCACCACATTAATGGAGATACTGCAGATTTACACAAAAAAAAGAAAAACATTTGAAAACGAAGATTCAGACTTTCATTTGAGTTTGTTTCAGAACAATAAAAAAAGAAGACGGTGAAGATGCATCGGCATCATCATCGCCACCAAAATTTCCTAGCACCAGAAAAATCTCATTGTCCCACAACTGTTGCTCGAAGAATTTGCCCACATCCCATGGACAAGACTCAAAATCTTCGTCCAAAGTGAAGGAGAAGTCGTTGATTTTGGTTGCCTCTTTCGGAATCGCCGTGTTTAGCAACGGTTCCTGGATTTCGATTTCATCCAGAAACAAAGGATCAGGTGGAATTTCGGGATCCCAGAAATATTCTCCAGCGAGACACAAATCCGGCAACGAATACGGTTCCGGAAACAAACTCTCAAGCGACTCTTCTCTGATTGACGACTTTCTCTCCGGCGATAGCTCGATTAGTTCAGTCTCGAGCTCTGTTTTATACTCTGTCTCTGGATCGTTAGCGTTGAATCGAAGAACAGAGGTCGGAGAATGGGGGCTCTGGCGAGAGTCTTTCCCGGAATCGCAGTTGGAAACCGTTTCTAGATAGATGACCAGCGTTTTCCCCGGAGAAGGAGGAGGAGTCAGAAAAGTCGTTGTTGATACGGCGGAGAGCACGAAGCACACATGTCTCGAGCTCGAAATCAATTAAGTAACCCAAAACCGGAGATAACGTAAACCGAAATAAAGATGTGGCAGGCTTAAACCGAAATTACTGTTGACTGGTATTAAATGAAATGTTTCCATTGGCTGGTTGATTTTAATGAGGTGTCAGTTCCAGGAGACTTAAAAAAAACTATGTGGCATCACCTGGAGAGGCACAGAGGCACAGTGGTTTTTGCTATGTTGATTTATTTAGTTTTTAAATACTACTGCGTCTATATAAAAATGATACAGTTTTTACTTTTACTCATCGAGTCCTAGAATACTAATTAGATACAGTCTAATAGTATTAGACTATTAAATTAAATCTCAAATACAAAGAGCATGTGAATCTTTGATACACAATATGATTTCTTCGAAACCTCAAAAGATTATTAAGTTAAAGCTATTATAGCTAGCTACTAAAAAAAAAATGTTGGAAATATTTTTAGCATAAACAAACTTAGGTGGGATTGTGCCATTGTTAAACCGCCATTAGTTAATCATCGACATCATCGTCAACAACTGTAATAGTAGTAGGATAATAATAAGCTAAATGGGCTTAAATTTCATATTCACTTAGACCCATACTATGTAGACCCATAACTGTTTTTCTCATTTGGTTTAGCGCGCCAACGCCAGTTCAAGATTTACCGACGCTTTTCTTCCGATCAATATGGGTGCGACGAAGATTTTGTTTCGGTCAATCAATAACAAAACTCATGGATGAGAATGTTTAAGTTGTGTATACATCAAATATAATTTCAAAATTTTGATATATAAAGAGAAAATTTCAAAAAAAAAAGAAAAAAAAAGAAAAAAAAAAAGAGAGAAAATTTCAAGATCAAAATGCAAAGAAGGACAAATAATATGCGACAAATCATCGCGTTAAATAGATAATCATCTCTCGAGAGACATGTCTTTTCTATTACAATTTGTTTTAAATTGGAGAAAGGACAAATTTATTAAGGAAAAAATGTGTAAAGCTTTGTTGTCCTTCGAATATTCGACTTAATAGTCGAAAAAACTTAGATGTATTGAGAAGCAATTACACCGTTCTTGACGATGTAATTCTGAGCAGGGAAGTCTTCACCCTTAAAGTACCTCTCCAGCATGTCTTTCGTTCCTGCTGCATATCTTATCTGATTTTTTGCCAACAAACAAAATGTTTTAGTAAGTAATCTCTAATATACATTATGTATTTTTACTTTTGTTAAATGTTCAAGGAAAACAATATATATTTAAGTACCTGAGCGTCAATGGTGGTGCCGGAGATGTGAGGTGTCATGGCATGGTTAGGCATGTAACGCCATGGATGGTCCTTAGGAGCTGGCTGTGGGTCCCATACGTCTCCGCTGTACCCTCCGATGTGTCCACTCTCCACCGCCTCCACCACCGCTTACCTCTCCATGATGGCTCCTCTTGCGTTGTTCACTATCAAAACACCTCTCTTCATCTTCCCTATCATCTCTCCGTTGAACATTCCCCTGTTTAACAAAACAAGAACCCCATTAATTAGTCAAATCTTCATCAGATAAAAGGTCTAGTTCATTAGCGTCGTCATACTTTGTTTTCTCCGTGAGAGGCATGTTCACGACTATGACATCACACTGAGGAAGCATTTCAGTCAGATCTTCAACGTGCGTAGCTCCAATCTCTTTCTCCAGCTCCGATTCCATCTTAAGCCGGTCATGGTACAATAAGTTGCACCCGAATGGCTTCAACCGCTGTAGCAAAAGCCTTCCGATCCTTCCAGCTCCCACGGTTCCTATCGTCTTACCTTCTAGATCATAAGCTCTATGCGAAATGTCTGCGACGTTCCACTCACCATTGACGACCTGGTTGTACCCCGGTACGAAGTTGCGCATGAGGATTAGGATTCTCATGAGCTCGTCTTCTGCTACCGAGACCACGTTGCTTCCAGTGACCTCAGCCACCGTCAGGCCAGCAGCCGCAGCTGCATGCAAGTCGACGTGGTCGGAGCCAATACCAGCCGTGAGGAGAAGCTTCAGGTTCTTGGCTTTCTTGATTCTTTCAGCAGTCACATACGCCGGGTGGAAAGGAGTTGATATTAGGACTTCAAGATCCGGGATATGTTTCTCTAGTTCTGTCATTTTATAAGAGTGTCATTAAAGAAACCATATAATTTTTTTTTTAATATATTTGCATTTATTAAAAAAAAATATTTATTCATAATTTTGATAATCTTACCACAGTCAGGGCCTTCTTTGTCATCGGTGACGATGTACTGATGACCTTGTGATTCAAGCCAGTTGCGGATTCCTAAGGCATTCTCGACGCAGCCAAGGAAGTTAGGGTTCTTAGCGTATTCGTTGGCCTTGTAGAACACTCCAACGATCTTTTTGGTATCACCAGAAGATGCCTGTTTTCATAAGTCAGCAGTTGAGGAAGCTATTTATAAATTTGAAAGTATAGTTTAAGAAACCCTAAACATATAAAAACTTGTAACTTGTACGTTAAATCACTTGATGGCCAACTTAATTAGAGCCTAAATAATTAAACGTTAGAGGAGAGATCGAAAGAATTCTTACGTGAAAGTGACGAGCAAAGTATCCCGAAGAGGAAGCACAGGCTCTGATGGCTGTTCCGGTGGCTCGTAGCATCGCCATGTTTTCAGTGGATTGGCTCTACTACTTAGAGTTGATTAAGAGGATATTTAATATGAGTTCGTTACTTCGTACTTGATTTTGTTTGTGAAGTCTAATGGGAGAAGAGAGCATTTAAATAGGACGATTTTTTTTGCTGGAACAATGTAGGACGATCGTGCACGCAACGGAACCAAATCATTCTTATCTCGAATTAGCTACAATCTTTTTGGTCTGATATTTTACCTTTGAAGAAACAATTTAACAGTCAGTCAAATTCTTTTTTCCATCAAAACAAGACAAAAGAGATAGTTTCTTTTAACGAAATAAAATAACAAATCAAGTTGTCTTGGGCAGGTGGTAACTTCCATGTGGTAGAGTTTTGGGTTAGTCTTTGTTTCTATCTTTTGAAAGATACTGTACAGACTGTTTTTGTTCAGAATTAGGATCCAAATGGTAGTCACAAATAGAATTCGATGGAATATAAATATATGGATGGAAAATAATAGAGTTGAATAAATAAAAATAACATTCTTCTCATTTATTTTTCCAAATCTCATATAGTAAAATACTCCTAAAAGAATATTTTCCACCAAACTAAGTTTATGCATTCTTTTGGTTTTCTTAGTGGAATTTAGTAGAAACTTTAAATGAATGCTTAATTCTATTAACTTCTATTTGTTCCTCTTAATAATACAACCATTTATACCTAAGCATAGTGTGATCTTACACAAATTGACTCAGAAACCTTTCTATTGCTACAGATTTTGTTCGGTCTTCTTCTTGTTTCTATGCTCTGACCAAAAGTTGAAGAATACATAAATAAAACTGCATTTTTACAACCGTAGAAAGCTTTTCATGTGTAACATTCTGGTTTCTGATAAATGAGGAAATGCTTAAAAGAATTGATTATTTGACTACTTATATCAACAAAGTGCAATTACTTTTTCGTTAAAGGTCTATAAGAGCAAAGATATTGCACAGTTCAAAGGAGGCTCTACAATTTAAAAATAAAGAAAAAATGTAAATAAAAATGATACGTCAAGTCTTATTCTTTAGAACCGTCTCAGGCAACGATAGAATCGTCTCTTTAACACTACTAGGCTAAGCCCGCGCTATGCGCGGGTTATGACTATTACAAAATTCTGTTACTTACATTTTAATTGTCATTTAAATTTTGTAAATATTATGTCTCTTATATTTTTTTCAGATATATCAAAATATAAATGTATATTATTCCTTATTTCCTCTAAAATAAAATTTTCTTAAAATATTTTCCATTTGGAAGTTGTGGCTAGTTGTAACTTGTAACACATTGAAAATCTTATACCCTAATCCTAAACTATAAATTAAAAAAGCAAACCCCAAATTCTGAACTTAAACCATAAACCATAAATCACAAACCATAAACTTTTATTCCAACATAAAAACATTGAATCAGAAGTAGCAAAAAGTATTTAAAAGTCATTCCAAACTCTCTTATATCTAAACTCTTAAGGGCCTGACTGGTTTAACCGCTGCGGTTGCGGTTGCGGGTGCGGGAGTTTGCGGAAGCGGGCGGTTGTGATTAGTAGCGTTATTAAGCGGTTTGTACGACTGGCATAACAATTGAAAATGGATGCGTTTGCGGGATACTTATGACTGGTTCACTTGCGGATGCAATAGCGGTTAAACAATAAATTAATAATATAAACACATTATATAATTATAAAAATATCAAAACTATATTATAATGAAAATTTTAAATTTATGGTTCAACATAATTAAAAATAATTTTTTTATAAAGAATAATATGTGTATAATACTTACGTCTATCTTTTAATTTCTATAATTTAAATAAAAAATGTGATTTTATTTTCAAAATATATATTTAATGTGAAAATTAAATTTATATTACAATTTTATTTATTAGATATATATGTATTAGTATGAAAAGAATATTTATCAAGAGAATTTTGATTTGTAGAACTTATAAATATATAAGTATTATATGATTTTAATGAATATTGACTAAAAGTACTAATTTTTTTTTATATTGTGATTTTATTATCCAAATCTTATTTTTTAATAAATATTATTATTTATTTTCGGATTTTATATAAGTTTGTGTTTTTTTTTTTTTTTTAATTATCCACCCGCAACCGCAAACGCTTGCGGAAGGAGCTTTTGATTTTGAGGGTTGTTGAGGGATCTTGAGCGGTTTAAAGCGGTATAAAGCGTTTGTGGTGATTGTTGTCAAACGCCAATAACCGCTACTACCCGCAAACGCTGCGTTTGCGGGTAGCAGCGGTGAACCAATCAACACCTAAATCTAACTCTTATATGAAAATGAAATCTAACACTTATAAATGATTACATATTTTTATAGAATAAATATATTTTGTTAACACTTATGACATATTTCAAATAAAATCATATGATAAATCTTAAACTCTAAATCCATGTATATATATATATATAATTCACGATTAGATAAGTTATAAGGTGACTGCTAATTTATTACTATTAGATTAGATTTCCTTTCCCTTTAATTTTATGATTATGGTTTACTTTATATTTAGGTAATACGTATAATACAAATATTTAAATTTAAAAAAAAACCATTTGTAACTTCAAAACCCTAATTCCTCCCCCAAAGGTGACTGCGACGACCACTCTCTCTTCCATTGGCGCCGTCTCATCTCCCTCTCCATGATTCCTCCCCAAAGATGACCTCGACGACCACTCTCTTCCATTGGCGCCGTCTCATCTCCCTCTCCATGATTCCTCCCCCAAATATGACCTCGACGACCACTCTCTCTTCTATTGCTGCCGTCTCATCCTCCAATAACCGCCATCTCATCTCCCTCTCCCTATTCCTCCCCCAAAGGTGACCTCGAAGATCTCTCTCTCTTCCATTGCCGCCGTCTCATCTCCCTCTCCCTGATTTCTCCCCCAAAGATCGCATTTCTCTTCCTCACAAACTCTTATCTCACCTTCTCGCCTCTCTGAGAAAGCTTCTTCCAAGGTCATGAACATCTCTACAACAACCTACATCCACCCAGATCTATCATCAGGCTATTTGATCCTCCGGCAAGTTCGAGATCCAAGTTGCATAACCGGAGCTGGAAGAGAAATTGAGGTCTATCAAAGCGTCTTCGTCGTCATCATAGCCGGACAGTGCATCAGCGAGGTGATGGACGATGCTGATGCGGCGGCGTTGCAAGGTTTAGTTGTGCATGGGAGATGTAACGTCGGTGGGAGTGGGAGGTTTCAGCGGCGAATTTCGACCAAGACGTGTGAGGACACAATTTTTTATTTTTATTTTCTTTAATATAATAGATACACGTGGCAGTTTTGTAAGAAACTTAAAAATGACAAGTGTCAGAAATCTGGAGAGAGTTATCCTCTCATTATAATATAGATTCACGACACATGTCATCATATTATTGATTTTGTTTTTTTTCTTCTAAGAATTGTTTTGTTTCTCTTTTCTCTTCTATCTTTGTCTTCCTCTTCTCGTTGGGTCCTTCTCGTCTCCTCTCCTCGATCAATCCCGTTTTCTTCTACTCTTCAATCACTCCGTTAATCTACCACATATTGGATTTGTCTTAGTTATTTTTTATATGATTGGTTTTCGAGATCAAGGGACTGAGTTTTTGGTAGTCATGGGTTCACATGTAGCTATGGGGATTTATGGGACTCTGTCTGGTTTAGTTTGATAAGTCTGAAATTGAGAAGCTTGGTTGAAATTTGCTGGTTTAGGTTTGATAATGATGGATTTACGGCTGCAAAAGTCTGTGTTTTACTAAGTGCATACAACATGTTCGATGAAATGCTTAAAAGAGAAGCAGATTGTAAAGACAGATTTTTAAAGAATCTCAAACCAAGCTGTGCAATGTGGAAGCTAAGAGCATCTCCATCAGTGAGACGTAGGGATGAGTATCAGAAAATTATTTTATTAGTTTAATTTAAATTAATAATTAAATTTTAAATATAAAAATGTGTCATCCAAACATTCAGCAACACGAGTATGTGATACGTATGTTACACGAGATACATCTCAGCCTATCTAACACTCTCTCTTTTTTTTTATATATTTATTTATTTTTATATGTCTCACACCGATGGAGATGCTCTAAACTTTAAACTAAAATTATCAATATTTTTATTGTAAAAAATGTTTAAAGAGCTTCATATGAAGCTGTGCGATGCCTTTGCTCTAAGTAACTCCAAAGTTAAGTATGCTTGGGCTGGAGTAATTGTAGAATGGGTGAGGTCAAAACACGGAGAAATATCAAGTGTTGATTGCAGGGATAGTAAAGAAATCATTAGAACCTCTCAAAAATAATGGATACGGACCCACAAAAGGGACGTGGATGACTCACTGGTAGGAGTGGTCTGAACGTTATACCATGGATCTTTCAAAGACCTGTGCAAGAATCACATAGTTTTCTTTTATCTATCCTTTGAAGTGGAGATCATGGGAGAAGGCTCGGAAAACTCATCTCCATATTCTATGAATTTAAAGAATTTTGATTCAGCGTCAAAATTGTAGATTCTACTATGAATTTGTGGAAAAAATATGATTCAACGTCAAAAGTACAAAATAGTAATGTTTAAATTTTGATTCATTTTGTAAACAATTTGTTTTTCAAATGATGGAGGTCCAGCTTACAAGTCATCACACATTATAAATGTACTAAAATGCACCATTTAAATCAAAATGTATACATGCAGTCAAAAAATAAATATTAAAATGTACAAATTAAAAAAAAAAAAAAAAAAAAGCGAAAAGCTAAAACGGGGTTGTCCGCCTATTCCCCCCTCAACTAAACTGGCTCCATCGGGATTTACACAGACTTTTCAACTCTCTCCATTTCCACTCAAACTTTTAATCGCTGTCGATTTCCCCATTTGCGTTTTTTATTAGCAAAATCCAGTTTCCGCAACAGTGATTGCCCGTTTAAACACAATTGACCTCCGAGTTTTTATCCGTAAACCCGAGGTTTATTTAACAAATCAAGACCCGATTCTTTTTTCCCCTAACCCGATTCCACTATACACTGTAGCAAATCAAAATTGATTTGGGAAAAATCAAAATTGATTTGGGAAAATCAAAATTGATTTGGGAAAATCAAAAATCTAGGATTCTTCAATTTGCATCTTTGAATCCACTTTGAATTATTCTAAGTTTGATCAGTAAATATGTTCACCAAAACATGAAGTAAATACAATATCTCTCCATCTCAATTGTAATCTTTGAAAATAGCATTAATAATCCAAAAAGAACAACAAGAGAACATCCATAAGGAGGAATCCAAATTCCAAGTTTTGAGCATTTATAATCCAAGAAAGAACAACAAAAGAGGAATCACAACAAAAGAAGAACAATCCGCATAAAGTGGAATCCGAATTCCAAGTTTTACTGTTATGGACATCTACCCACAATTGAAGAACCCTAGATTTTCGATTTTCCCAAATCGATTTTGATTTGCTACAGTGTGTGGTGGAATGGGTTAGGGGAAAAGAGAATCGGGTCTTGGTTTGTTAAACAAACCTCGGGTTTACGGATAAAACTCGAGTCAACTGCGTTTAAACAAGCAATTACTGTTGTGGAAACTGGATTTTGCTAATAATAACACAAATGGGAAAATTAACAGTGATTAAAAGTTTGGGTGGAATTGGAAAAGGCTGAAAAAGTCTGTAAATCCTGATGGAGCCAATTTTAGCTGTGGTGGGGGGGGGGATAAAACAGTTTTGGGATTAAAACAAAATCGGAGAAAAAGTGAAACTGTCAAAGATATGTTATCGCTGCTCTCTTTCCAAATCGCGGTTTCTTCTTCTCCAAACTCGACTCTGTAACTGAGAGTCAGAGACCCACCCAAAGCCCCCACCTTTGTTTCCTTTCTCCAATTCTCGCAAGATCAAAAGAGGTAATTCCATCGATTTCAGCTTGCCCATTGTCAATTTCACGTCCAGTGTCAGTAAAATCTGGAACTTTTCCCCGATTGCTCGGGTTTTCTGCTGCGAATTCATCATCATCATCATCCTATCTAAATCTAATCCTATCGATCGGGTGAGTTTTGTTTCTCGATGAATTCCGAAATCAAGGAAGATTTTCTGGATTGTATACTGCGGCTAGAGGATACACACATACGGCAAGGCTTCGAAGCGGGTCACGAAGCGGGTCTTGTGTCGGGTCGGGAAGACGCTCGTCATCTGGGCCTGAAACTCGGGTTCGAGACAGGCGAGCTCATCGGATTCTACAAGGGCTGCTCTTCTCTCTGGAATTCCCCCACCCTCCGCCTCCACTGGTCCCCTCAGCTCAACAAGCATCTCAATGATTTCCAAGCCCTGCTCGATAAATTCCCGCTCTCGGATCCCGAGGACGAATCCAAAGACGATTTCAAGGATCATCTCCGACTCAAATTCACCATCATCTGCGCCTCTCTCGGCATATCCAAGAAACAATTGGTCTACAATGGATACCCTAACCCATCCTCCAATCTCGATTTCTAGTACCAATCATCTCTCTCCCTCTTCTTCTATGTATTTGTATTGTAATTTGTAAGACAACACAAAGCTTGCTTTTTTTTTTATTGCTTCTGACCTTTTTCTAGACCTGTGATTGTGAATGAATGCTGGCCACACATAAAAAAAAGTTTTGTCCTTTAAGCCACCACCATAGATAACAAACGCACTCACACATATGTTTATCTAATAGGTTGTGGTCGGAGGAGAGGGGAGGAGATGCTGAGGAGAGAAATGCTTGGTTGTTGCAAGGTTTACATATCAGAATCCCGGAACAAGACGGCCCTTGAAGCCATTGAGAGAGCCGCTAAGCCTTTTTTTCCACCGGCTGCCATCGTCAACAAGTTTGAGGACGCTGCTTACGGCAGGGTTGGTTACACTCTTGTCTCCTCGCTAGCTCCCGAAGAGGGCTCCCTCAAAAATGTCGTCTTTGCAATGGTCAAGACTGCTCTCGACACTATCAACCTCGAGCTGCATTCTGGATCCCATCCCCGCCTTGGAGTGGTTGACCACATATGCTTTCACCCCTTGTCTCAAACCTCCATTCACCAAGTCTCTGCCCTTGCCAATTCCTTAGCTATGGATATTGGCTCCATTCTCCAAGGTTACTACTTACTTGATACAAAGCTAAGCTATTGAGTTTTGAGTTAAGACTTGAGAGCAGAGCATTTGATATATTGTAATACTAATAACCCTGGTGCAGTTCCTACATATCTATACGGAGCAGCAGCACAGGCACAAGAGGAGCAGTGCACGCTGGATTCGATAAGAAGGAAGCTGGGATACTTCAAGGCGAACAGGGAGGGACATGAATGGGGAGGTGGTTTGGAGCTGGAGCTGGTCCCTGTGAAGCCATTCGCAGGGCCACAAGAGGTGAGCAAAGCCAAAGGGGTTGTAGCTGTTGGGGCGTGCGGGTGGGTCAGTAACTATAACGTGCCGGTCACGTCAACCGATCTCAAGGCAGTGAAGAGAATGGCGAGGAAGGCTAGCGAGAGAGGAGGGGGCTTGCCTTCAGTGCAGACGATGGCGCTGTTGCACGGGGAAGGAGTCATAGAGGTCGCCTGTAACTTGTTGAATCCAAGCCATGTGGGAGGAGACGAAGTTCAGAGACTGGTCGAGAAGCTTGGCAGAGAAGAAGGTCTGCTTGTTGGCAAAGGGTATTACACCGATTACACTGCCGACCAGATCGCTCAAAGATATAACAACTTGCTCACCAATTCATCATCATGATACATATATATAACCTGTTTGTGTCACATCTTCTTTTTGATTGTTGTTACTCTTCAAATTGGTCCAAAATGTTTAAAAGCCAAATACTGGAATTAGAAGTGGGCAGTGAAAAACAAATTCAGCGACTTTTTCACTTAAACGTATATACAGAATCATATACTGAGATCTTAGACAAATTGACTCAGAAACTTTTTCTTTTCTTTTCTTGTTTCTGTACTCTAAACCAAAAGCTGAACAAATACATAAATAAAATTGCATTCATACAACTATACAAGACTTTCCATTGTCTGTTTTAACAACCTTTGAAGGTGGAGATGATGATCATGGGAGGAGGCTAGCAGAAGACTCATCTGCATGTTCTTGATCCAACTGTGACTCTGACGAAACCCCTGAAACTGTTCTTCTTTCCTCCGGGATATACCTCGCCCATCGCTTCTCCTTAACGAGCTCTAAGAACGGGTACAAGCAGAACCCGAGAGCGATGATGAAGCCACTGATTAAAAACGTCTTTGCGGTGGCTAAAAGCATCACAAGAATGAGAAGCATAGAAGGAGGCAGGCAGAGCAATAAAGCTCCAAAGGTGTTCAAAGGAACTCGATAAGGTCGGTTAAGATCAGGCTTCTTGATCCTTAGCTTGACAAAGGCTGCGAATTCCAGAAGCATACCCAACGCATACAAGAAATTCAGAAACTCAATGATCTCTTGAAAGCTCATCCACGACAAGAATATGACTCCTGTAGCAGAGCAAAGAATACTGATTGTTGGTGTCCCATACTTTGACCTGCAACAACACACAAATGAAACGTTAAACCTGACTTCTCAAAGCACACTCTCTGAGACTAACTAACTAACTAACCTCTGTGCGAAAAACGCAGGAAGCATTCCGATCTCGCTCATACCGAGAAGCTGGAATGCGTCACTACTCATCTCAGCTTCAAACAATCCAAGATTTGACATTGCAGCAGCAGCTTGTATCCATCCCTTGAGCCAAACACCTCCAATAAGCATTCCAACCTCAGCAAAATACCCATCACTCCACTCACCTGAAGAAGACGGGTTTAAAGCTCCAGTCCCTGCCATGAGCGGTATCAAATACGACCCCATGACCAACAAAACCGCTCCAAACAAAGCCTTTGGAAACGTCTTCCCAGGGGACTCAACTTCTCCAGCAAGAGTACTAGCTTTATCCCAGTAATTCAGATTCCAAAACATGGTATTGAAGTAGCCTCTCCAATTAACCTTTTGGTAATCAACAAACAACCAACGCTTAGGACTGATCCTAGGAACCGCAAGCAAAGCCATTACAACGAAAGGGCACAGCGAGAAAACCGCTAGCAGAACAGCTGAGAAGCCAACAATGTGCAACCCTCTATAGTTCAAATACGTCAATGAGAACGTGATGACTAATAGAGCAGGAACACGAGCAGCTACATGATCCAAAACAGGGAAGGAATGTTTCAGGTAGTCAAGGAAGAGCACAGGGTAAAGAGCATTGTCCATAACACCGCTGAACCATTTCCAAAACCCTTCTTGGAACCCCCAAAAGGGACCAAACGCTGAAGAGATCCAAACCACGTAGCCGCCGTTCTCTGGGAAGCTTGTGGCGAGCTCTGCTGTGATGAGAGCTTCGGGTATGCTCCAAATCAGAGGGAAAATTAGGAATCCTAAAAGGGCTAAGAGAGGACCACCACCTGATTTCACAGAATCCTCCACACCGAAAGGGCCACCGGAGACTTCATAGAAAATCAGAAATACCAGAGGCAATAGTGTCAGCTTTGGGCTTGGTTTCGTCTTAGCGCCGTTTTCGTCGTTTGCGATTATCTCTTCACCCATCAAGAGAAAGACCACCGACAGATTCGTCTTAGAGATCGCTCTCGGTGATTCTGTGGAAAAACAAACAAAAAAAGATGAAAACTTTGGAGAGATTCCTTAAACAAAATCAAACCTTTACCGGATAAAGCAAGAGCTTTTAAGAGATTATGATCGGAAGTCAGAGGATTTGTAAAACAGAAAGTCAAATTAGTCGATGGAGAAGCTGTTGATCGACATGGGTTTGGTTGGTATGATAACAAGCAAGTGGAGAATCTAACCTTGAAGGGCAAAGCAAATCAATTCTGTGAATCTCTGTGATGAACCAACCACTAAAATATATGAAGAAAGAAGGTGAAATTGATTGGAGAGATAGAAAGCTGAGCAAGTTTCCTTGTCAGATTCAATATGAGATTGTGACGTTAGATTGATAATATATTTGTAGAAATCTCGTTATTGGTGTGTAGGGACGAATGCATTAGTTTTGTAATTAAAGACGCCACATGGCTCTCCCCACTATTACAATTGCAATATCTCGATCCAGGACTTCGTCTTCGCCAAACATTTGGTTCGCTTCATTTCTAGTAATTTTTTATGATTTTCGGTTTTTGTGTTTTATGATTCGTCATATCCGACATTCTCGACAAATGTTATGTTACTTTCCCAGAAATTGTTCCATATGAAGTTTTTTTTTTGTTTTGTTGGTTTTATGTTCCATATGCGATTACGGTCCTCTGAATTTAGGGTTCATTTTGAAAAAGATTTATAAAAACAGAGTATTTGAGCTGAATATGACTTGCATTTTATTCATAAAAGCTTAACGATTACAACTTAGAGATGTTTTCTTTATACACAAACTGAGAGTGATACTCTCTTTAATCTAATGCCACATGTCACGCATCCACACCATCTTTAACCTAATGATACTCTCAGCTTTTGGCAATTTCTTCGCACCTTCCTTTAGCTTATCTTCACCTCTTTTAGAATTCGACCGTTGAACCTAACTGTGCTTGTTCTCCGGTTTGTCTTTGGGCTTGAACAACATCTTTTGCAGTTGTTCTATCAACTTGAAGTTGCTTCTCCCTTATGTCAAATATGGCTATATTATTACCCCCTCTCAAACTTGGCGTGGGTAGAACATCTACACCAAGTTTGAACCGCAAAGACTCAAACGTAGCCGCCGGCAAAGATTTGGTGAAGATATCGGCGATTTGCAGCTCAAACGGAATGTGTTTAACCTCTAGCAAACTAAGTGCTATTCGTTCCCTCACATAATGATGATGTGTTTCAAAATGCTTGAAACGTTTATGATAAACCAGATTAGCAATGAGATAAACAGCTGAGAGGTTGTCACAGTAGAGTATAGGTGTGGTGAGCATGAAAACAACTAGCTCCTTGAGAACTTGACCGATCCAAGTGATCTTTGATGCTGCATCTGATGTAGCTCTATACTCTGCCTCTGTTGAATTCTTAGAGACAGTGTATTGTTTTTGAGATGACCACCAAATGAGATTTGTACCCAAATACAGTAAAACCTCTATAAAATAATAATGTTGGGACTTTGAAAATTTATTATCTTAGAGAGATATTACTTTATAAATAAATTCAATATTTATTAATTTAGAAACATATTTTTTTAATTCATAATCTTCAAATTTATTATCCATATGATTCATATACTAAGAATTTAAAATAATATATTTGTTAATATGACATAAATAAATTTAAAATTATGATCAAATCTTTTGGATATCATAATAGAAACATATATTATTAGCTTATATAAATATTTATATAAACTTTTATACATGATAAAAAATTTAAAATTTTAGAAAAAAATATAGCTGAAGTTGAAAATAATATGTTTAGAACATATTTAACAATTTTACATGTATAGAAAAATTACATTATAAGTTTTTTATATAATAAAAAGTTAGAGATAAATATAAATTCATAATTTAATAATTTTCTTAGGCATATAAAATGTATAGTTTTATATAATTATTACTTTTAACTTATCTTTGGGATCATACTTTTACATAGAAGTTTAAAAAATATTATTATCTTATCATCTGATCGCATTTTGCTTATTTTTACACTGGCCCGAGTTGGGACCGGTGAAATTTATTATCTTATAGTGATTATTACTTTATCGAGGTTCTACTGTATGTGCAGTAGCCTCGAATTGATCTTCTAGTGATTGGACAGCCATCATAATCACTATCACTATAAGCTCTGAGAACAAAATCTGAGTTTATGCTGAAATTTATGCCCACAATGAATATTCCTTTAATGTACCAAATTATTCTCTGCAGCAGATTGAAGTCTGAAACTGATGGTTGATGCATCTTCTGACATATGAAGTTCAGTTCATATTGTATGTCCGGTTTTGTGAGAGTTAGATACTGTAACTTCCCAGCTAAACTACGAAAGTGTTTTGGGTTTTCAAAAGGTATCTATTGCGCTGGAGTGTGATGAAGTTGTAGAGGAAGTGGAGTTGACATTGGTGCACAATCACTCATAGAAGCCACTGCCAAGATCCTCTGCATATATCTGTTGAGAAAGAAACAACCCCTCTACATGAAACTGTGCCTGAATCCCAAGAAAATATGACATTTGGTCGAGATCCTTCATCTGAAACTGTTCACTCAGATCACTCTTGAATTTCGCCATTGTCTCTGAGTTGTTTCTTGTAATCACCATATCATCAACATAAAGTAAGAGCATGATTACATATTTGTTGCGAGAGTAAACAAAGAGTGATGGATCTTTGATGCATCGCACAAAGCCAAACTCCAGCAAATAAGAGCTGAACTTGTCGAACTATGCACGCGGAGCCTGCTTTAGACCATAAATCGCTTTGAGTAGAAGACAGACATGATCCGGTTTTGCCTTGTCTACAAACTCTGGTAGTTGTTTCATGTAAACGACCTCGGTTAAATCTCCATGTAAGAACGCATTCTTGACATCCATCTGAGTCACTTCCCAGTTCATTACAGTCATTGTATGTAACACCTGTCTAACCGTGGCTGAGCAGACAACTGGGCTATACGTTTCAAGATAATCAATCCCTTCTTCTTGATCAAAACCTTGAGCAACAATTCTGGCTTTTAATCTCTCAAGGGATCCATCTGCCTGAATCTTAGGTGTAAAGATCCATTTACTACCTAAAACATACATGGCAGGGGTATAAGGTACCAATGACCATGTTCTGGTCTCACCACAAGTATCGATTTCACACGTCATAACATTGTTCCAGCCAGGATGCTTCAGTGCCTCTGTAACTGTCTTTGGCTGAGGAAACACAACCTTTTGTGTGTGTAACACATATCTTGGATTTGGTTTGCGAATGCCATCCTTAGTGCGAGTAATCATAGGATGGTTTACTACACCAGCATATGTTATAGCTGGAGATGGTTGAGTTGGAGACGGTGAAGACGGTGGCAAACTGTTTGTCCTATCTCCTAAGTCGTGCACGCTGTCGCCTATAGATGCGTTTCCAATACACGCCGTACGCCCAGTGCATGCAGTCTCAGAAGAAATAGACTATGTGCTCACTTCAGCTTGAGGCTGACTCACCCGAGAAGAGGGCTCTCCAAACCGTGACAGAGAGTCAGAGCTAGTATCAGACCAAATACTCACAGAATCTAACGACGAATTTGGTGGAGAGACAGGTAGTTGAATTAACTGAGGGTGTACTGATGGCATAGCACTCGGAACGTCCCTAACCGTGGTCGTGTCAGGGTGCACAAACCCTTTGAACCACGCCTGAGTCAGAGGAGAAATATGACTCCGATGGAGATAACTATACGAGTCACCAAAGGGAAATAAATCCTCATCAAAGATAACATTTCTACTGATAAATACTCTCCATGTAGGTGGATATAGACACCGATAGCCTTTGTGCTTTGCTGTGTACCCTAAGAACACACACTTGAGGGATTTTGGATAAAACTTGTTAGCAGCATACTCTCTCAAGATAGGGTAACAAGCACATACAAAGGTTCACAAAGCAGAGTAATTGGGAGCACTTCCATGCAGTTTTTGATAAGGCGATATATCTTCTTCTAAAGCTGTTGTTGGAAGCAGATTGGTAAGAAAGTTTGAAGTGAAAAACGCCTCCACCCAATACCGCGATGGAATCTTACTCTGGAATATCATAGACAAGCCAAGCTCAGTAGATAACGATGCATGCGTTCTACTAAGCCGTTCTGTTGAGGCGTGTGAGGACAAGACATAAAATGCTGAATCCCATGGTTTTGTAAATGCAAAAAAAAAATGCTTTGCTTGTGAATTCTCCACCTCCATCACTTTGAAATGTATCAATCTTTGTGTTAAACTGATTTTTAACTAGTTTATGAAACGCCACAAATGTAGAAAAGAAGTCTGCTTTAAGCTTTAATGGGTAGAACCAACAGAATCTTGACCAATTGTCTTTAAGAATTACATAGTATCTAAATCCTTGAACAAAAATTGTTGGAGCTGGACCCCAGAGATCACATTGAATTCTCTGAAGAGGTTTAGAAGCTACAAAATCAGATGCAGAAAACAAAAGTCGTGTACTCTTCCCAAGGTGGCAAGGCTCACACATCATGACGTTCAACTAATGCAATTTGCATCAATAAACGTGCCAGCCTGATGTGTGAGCCTGGCCTCTTTAGGAAGAGTACACGACTTAAGGATGTCTCAATCTTCTGTGCCACACCAAATTAGAAGCTGCTTTATGTCTTGATGAATAATAGACTTCAAGTTTGGTGTCTTTAAAAGAGTAGAGGCCATCATTGCTTCTTCCCAGCAGAAGACGCCGTTTAGTATCCTTGTCCTTAATTACAACCGCATCAGAATCAAACTTAAAATAACAAGGGTAATCGCTTGTAACTTTAGACACAGAAAGCAGAGACTTTGCAATATCCGGACAAACTAAGACATCAGTAAGAGGAAGTTTACCTGAGGCAGAAGAGATAACCGTCGAACTTGTGTGAATGATTGGAATAAATTTACCATCTGCCACCATGACTGTTTGAACCATAGTAAGGCTGTGAGTGTTGCAAGTTGTTGACAGAACTCGTCACATGAGCAGTAGCACCTGTGTCAGGGAACCACTCATGACCGGTTTGATCCGTGATATCAGTGATGCGCATTGCAGCCATAGCAGTAGGGACTTCCTCTTCCTGATACGCATTATCAAATCAGTGTCAACAAGACAGAGAAACATGACCCTTCTTTCCACAAATCTAACACAATGGTCGAGTCCCAGAGTATGTTTGAGGCCCCACGTCCTCTGGTGGAAAATCTACGGCCTCTTCCACGACGACCATAAGTCTGACCTTGGCCGCGAGTGGTGTAGTTAACTTGCATCGTATTAAAGACCAGATGAGGTGACACTTCAGCACCAGCTGTGAAAGTCTGGATCCTAGCTTCTGCACTTATCAGCCTTGGTGAAATACCCCTGAAGATGGGAGGTGGAACCATATCCATGTCTCCTTCAATACTAGCCTTGACCGATTCATACTCCGGGCCAAGACCCTTCAGAGCCGTAAAGATCTTTATCTGCTGAGGAACCGTGTGTCCCACCGGCTGAAGAAGAGAGCAAATGGTTGAGCTCTCTGTGAGAAACTCCATCATTGGTCGTCCTTGCTTTGCAACGACCTGAAGAGCATAAAGTCGAGCAGAGGAGACGTTGTTGAAGCGATTCGCCACTGTAAGCCACATGTCTCAGGATGTGGCACATGGGATAACCAACGCAAGCACCTCCTCGGAGAAGGATCCAATGAGCCATGCCTTCATGATGTGGTCGGTTTGGAGCCAAGTGTGGTAGTCTGGATTTGGTACCTCCATAGATTGACCATTAACACCCGGCACTTGAATGACCGCCAAGGGCTGTGGAGTAGATCATGTGACAAAACCAAGGAGACCTTGACCGGTGATAGGTTAAGTTTTACCCTATATTATCACTGCAAGTGCACAGTAAATCAATGTAGTATAAAGGGTTTATCGAATCCAAACGTCTATCAGTTGCACAACGAATTTCCAGATTCAAATCAGGCTAAGTAAGATATGAGTAATGTAAAACAAATAAAAGAAAACAAAGTAGCAGGTGATTGATTAACGAGGTTAAATTCAATGAGACAAAGGTTAGGCCTTGGGAAATTCGCAGGTTGAATCCGAATTGCAGAGTAAATATCAGGATATTAATGAAGAACCATTCTAGAACTCAAATCACAATTGTAAAACCAATCAACTTTCGTTGCAGAGATTATCTATGTCTAAACTTAGAATCCCAAATTTCTTTGCAAATTCAACAATTCAAACAAGCATTAATGATCAGGTTTGATAAGTTCACAAAATCTCTAAACCAAATTCCTTTGCAGATAGATATTTTGCTCATCTAAGATAGTTCAGGAAATCAATAACACTTTCGTGTCTACCAATTAACCTAAGATCAGATTCTAGGTCGCGAAGCTAGAATAAGCAATAAACACAATCCAGATGAAGAACTCTAATGATTATCCTAAGCAATTGCAATTCTTCTTCAACCTTTGAAAAACCCTAAACCTAACAAGGAATCTACTCAGACATGGTGATTGAGACAAACATCATGAATAAATAGATTGCATAAAAGAAATAAGAATAGAGATAAAGGAGTTCAAAATCTTCTCTGAAGGAGTTTGATCTATCTCTCCAAAGCTCTGCTACAAATCTCTCTCTAAGTCTCAATAGAATAAAAGTATGAAAAGTATTAGCCTAACAATGGCTTTAAAAACCTAAAATAATGTCTAAAACACGATTTGGGGTTGTAAATAAGCAGAACTTCTGGGCCAAAACTGTAATCTTCAAAAGTCTGGATTTTTGTCTTTTAGTTGTGTCGACCGACACAGATGAATTGCGTCGGTCGACGCAAGACTCTGAAATCGTCTGTTTGTCTTGTTTTCCAGCAGCTTCCCAAATATGCTCCAAATAGCTCCAAAATCTCCAATTGTGCTCCAAAACATGCTTAGACCTGTATAGACTCCAAAAACACCAAAAAGACTCTATATACAAGACTTATATCATGGCAAAAACCCATAAAAACCATGATATATCAACCAGTGAGGTAGATCTCGAATTGAAACTTCCAGAGAAGATAGGTGGCCTCGGTTAGTTTGACTGTGACTACACTCGAGACACCTGGAGGTAGAGCCGATTACGGCAAGAGAGCTTGAGACTCCATGACAGGAACTTAATCTCTGGTCTCTAATACCATGAAGAGATTTATCGAAACAGAGTATTTGAGCTGAATATGAATTGCATTTTATTCATAAAAGCTTAACGATTACACCTTAGAGATGTCTTATTTATACACAAACGGAGAGTGATGCTCTCCTTAACCTAATGACACACGTCACGCATCCACACCATCTCCAATCATTGACCGGTTCTTTGTCGTGACTGTTTTATCCGTACTCTCAAATTTTGGCTCAAATCTTCACCTCTTTTAGAATCCGACCGTTGAACCTGACTGGGCTTGTTCTCCGGTTTGTCTTTGGGCTTGAACGACATATTTTGCAGCTGTTCTATCAACTTGAAGTTGCCTCTCCCTTACGTCAAATGTAGCTCTGTTTTTAAATTTGCTGTCTAGTTATATAAGGCTTTGGAATTAAGAATATAGCTATGGTATTTTAAAAATTAAGCCACTAAACAAAGAAAAATCTTTGCTATCATATTTTCTCCCACAAACGGGCGGGAATATTTTCCCGTCGATGTCTCTAGCCTTGTTCATGAGCGGGAAACTTTCCCCCAAATTTTTTTTGTCGACGTCGACCATTAACACATGCAGGATTTACATTCACAAATTACTAATGAACGTCATTTATACTGAAGCTTGGCAGGGGCGTGCTGACAGTATATTGAAAGAGGCATTTGCCAGAGGCCCCCAAAATATATAGAGTTAAGGGGCCCCTATTCCCAAAACACAATGTATCAAAGTGGCTTTACCCGAGTTCGAACCTTGAAATGCCCATTTTTTATTTTGAATTAAGATTTTCTAAAAGCTGACAACCTAAAAATCCTACCATCCATCTTTCTCCTTTTCTCACCAGCTTATTTACGTATTGTTTTTTTTTCTTCTTTATTTTTTCTTTATTTTTTGCCACTTTTTGTAGTTTTACATAACAAAAAAAATATTAAAAAAATCCTATTTTTAAAATCTGCCTTGAGCCCCCATAGACCTTGGCACGGCACTGAAGCTTGGGGACTATACTATGAAAACTCTTAATCATTAACCTAAACTCTAAACCTTAATAATTTAAACACTCAGAACTAAAAACTAAACCCTAATTAGTGAACCCAAACAAATAAATAAACAATACTTTCAATTTAAAGTTTAGGGTTTTGTATTTGAGGTTTAATATATGTAAAACTAAACCCTAATTAGTGAACCCAACATAAGTTTACAAACCCTAATTAGTGAACCCAACATAAGTTTTACACATCGATTAACATAACTTCAACTCCAACATAAGTTTACAAACCATGGATAATATCAACAAATACCTAGATTGTAATAATAAGCTTTATATTACTCTTAACGCAACCAAACAGCACCCTCTTCGCTTTTGTATTCCGATTATTTTTTTGCAGATTTGCAATCCACGCCAAACAGATCTCAAAGCTATAACGCCCAACAACAATCAACTCTAGTTTCTCTTTCTTTATTATCGCCTTGTGTAGGTTCTTCATAGTAATAGAGATAAATTTGATAAATGAACAATCAAGGAGAGCACCATAAGTTCTAATTGAAAAATAGAGAAGGGTGATGAAGGTGGATGAGTTTTCTCCACCACATGCTCTAATTTTCTTTTCGTTCGTGAATAATTGGACTGTTAGACGACTTTCTAACAATCCCTATGAAATCTGAACTAATTTTTAAAACTTTAAATTCTCTCATCGAATAAGTGTTTACGAAAAATTGCAGAAAATACAAACAATATCGTAGCCATGACATTGCTATGATTACTTTGCTAAATATGCCGTCTAAATATAGTCATCCATTACAATTTCCCATGAAATTAAAACATTTTTTTGGATCATATCAATTTTTCTTTTCTTTTCTACCTACTCACTCAATTTCAAAAATTGTATCGTTATTAGGTTTTACAAAACGAACTAGAACTTTCGTTAACGAAACTAGTTTGGGATTCAATTCACAGAACCAAACCAAATCTTATTATATAAAGCTGGATGCGCACGACGTGGTTGCGACACATAGGATTTTTATAAAATTCAGGATCGCGACATGTGTCACTTTTAATGTTAAGTCCGTTAAGATCATGACACATGTTTTGAAAAAAAAAATATTTTATTTTAGTTAAATATTAGAAAAACGAAAATTAAGAAAAGAAGAGGAAATTTTAATCTATTATATTTGTGAAATCCTAACAGAAAAAGGATTCCCATTCATCAAAATTATATTATCTTAACACATATTAAATTCAAAATAATGTAATAATAAATTTCTATTAGTACATGAAATAAATTATGTAAACTAAATTTCCTATAACTGCATGGAATATGTTAAGTGAACCCCTATAAAAAGAAATTTAAGGTAGTCTATTTTTTCTCATCCACAAACTCATCAAATCTTTTTAATTATCTTTCTCTAATTAAAAAATCATGTCTTTGAAAGTTCAAAAAAGGTGGAGAATATTTGACTGTAAGTCAATTGGATCGAAATAGATACTATCGCCGTACTATACATGTTATTCGAAAGTGGAAAGCTAGAAATCCTAAAGAAAAAAAATTATTTGTGAGAGTTAAGTTTTTATTACTTGATGGAAATGTTATTAACATATTATATTGATATTTATTATATAAATATGTATATAATCATAGATTAACATTAAATTTTTACATTTGTTTGAATCAGGAAAACACAATTCAAGGACAAATAGAAAAAAAAATAGCAATTTAGAAAAAATGTTACATCCATTAGGAAAATGAAAAAGAAAACATATTCCCAATACGAAAAGGAATAAATCAAAAATCAGAAAAAAACATGAAGCAAAAAAAAAAAACAATTGTTACACCCATTAAAAAAATGTGAAAAAACATATTCCCATTAAGAAAAGGAAAAAGAAAAAAATATATATAATAAGTTATAGCCTTCATGATTTATATGTGTAATTCTATCTTTTGTTTAAACTTTATCTTTTATTACAAAATAGAAAATCATATATTTTAATGTTCAAGATATCAATAAAGAATATTTAACTTTAGATCAGTTGGGTTGAAATTGAAATTTTTGTTGCACCATTTTTCTATTATATGATCATGTGATAACATGTGTTAACAAAAGAAAATTATAAAAATATAATCACATAAATAGAAAACTAACAAAATAATTGTAAAACAACTAACGAACTATGAATAAGAAAATTTTTATGGTCTGAGGCAAAACAAAATTGAAAAAAAAAACATGATAAATAGAAAATTAACAAAAAAATTATAACATTAAATATATAAATAATTGACCAATATTATAATTTTAAATATATTAATTTTCAATTTTTTGGTAGGTAAAACAGTATTAAGAAAAAGATTTCATCAACTAAAATCTCTTAAATAGAATAATCAAATTTTCATGAATTAATTAGCCTATCAAATTTAGATTAGATACGTATAAGTCTTTCTATATTAGATAAAAGAAAAAGAAAATAAATTAATTCATTTTCATATCATTAATTAAAACAAAATGTTAATTGTAATTAAAATGTAAAAATATTACCAGTTTTATTTTATTTAGAGATTTGTTATCGAATTTGAATATTATTCTACTTACTTTTAAAAGTGACAAGATTTGGTTTAATATTTTCCTATTGTTTATTTCAACAATATTAAAACAAACCCGCGTATACGGGGCCTAATCTAGTTAAATCATAAAAAGAAAAACAGAATTCACATATAGATAAATTAAACCAACTAAGCTGTGGAAACTAGTTTCGGCTAAAAAGTATACGTGGAATGTGTGATGAGAGCGACGACACAGGCGACGGCGGAAGCGATCTCCAGATCTAGGCTTTAGATATGCTTTTCAGACAAGTTTCGGTGGAATTTTCGGTTTTTCTACGGGTTCATCGGTATTTGGAGAGGGGATCTCATCAAATCTCCTCCTCTAATGAAAGTCCTCACACGTATTTTTTCAGATCGGAGAAAGATCTCACAATAAAAATTATTTGGGAGTCTGACATGCAGATCGATCGGATCTTGCTGATGATTCGAGTGATATACTATGGTTTCAAAGACGGATCCCTGGGCGATGGCGATGGCGTCATTGGAAATCTCGGAATCTTTTTCGGATTGGATTTGTGTGGCGGTTTAAGGCATTCTCTTTCGGCCAAGACTCGGGGTTATGGAGGAGGTTTCGATCGATCCGACGGATCGGGTGTGGGGTCGATTGAAATTGAGAAATCTGTGAGGTCCCACTTATTATTGATGAGGAATGGAGAGAGGAGAAAGAAGGATACGGATCCGTTTGATTCGAATCATTTGGATGGTGAATCGTATCTCGGTGAACCGGATCTGTTTGATGTGCATCGAAGATCTCGGAAGAATTGCTCTTGGAAGGAAGAAGTGGTCGGTCGGAAACCAAAGGAAAATGGGGTTAACTCTTTCATCCGATTTAGGAAAAATCACAGTAATGGGGGATCACCGGAGACCCATGCGATTCGATTTCAAATTTTGTTAAAGGTAATTCACTTTTCCGGAAGTATACAATGGGTTTTTTCAAGGAAAGTTGGGGATTCTCTGATTGATTGGAGGGATTTCGGGATTGATTCACACGGATTTTCGGGATTAATGATTGATATCACACCTCAGTATAAGAAGACATCGGAAAATAGCGGAAATACGCATTCATCTCTTTCGCTCTGTTTCTCTAGTTTGTGTCTTCTACAAGCTTGTCTCTTTGGTTCTTGTTTTAGCTTTAACACAACTCTGTGTTTTTGCGTTCTCGTGCAAGGAATCCTAATGGCTCAAGGTGGTTTAATCGGTGACGGTGCTTCAAGCAAGGGAAACAAGAGCTCTGCCGCTCGGTTGAAGATAACTGTGCCACGCTTTGACAACACGGTCTTGATCAGGGGCTACTCCCGGACTCTGATAGGCCGGTGCATGAATCCGGCGGCTCAAGACGTGCAAGCCTTGTTACATCACATGCCACGGTTCTGGAAGATGGAGGATAGAGTGGCGAGTGCGGATCTGGGAATGGGAAGATTCCAGTTCGATTTCGATAGTGAAGAGGATATCGCAGAGGTTTTTAAGCTAGAGCCGTTCCACTTTGATTACTGGATGGTGTCACTAGTGAGGTGGGAACCGATTGTGGATCCTGCTTACCCGTCGGTGATAAAGTTTTGGGTGCGTATGATGGGGATTCCACTCCATTTCTGGGCAGGAACCTACATTCCGGTGTATCGGGGAAGCCATTGGTGAGGTGGAGGACGTGGATATTGATGGAGGAAGGGTTCGGGTGTGCTTAGATGGGTACAAGCCACTCATCTTTGAGACATCGGTGGAGTTCCACAGTGGAGAGGAGACAGTGGTGACTCTGCGTTATGAACGACTCTTTGGCTATTGCCGGGAGTGCTTCAGCCTGTGTCACGATGTGGTGCAATGTCCGGCTCTCCGCAGGGCCAGAGAAGAGAGGGAAAATCAGAAGAGGCGGGAAGAAAAGCCCGATGGAGGCCCTATGAGTTACAAGGGAGTGGTCATTAATGGACCGAGGGAGGAGAATGGGAATGGGAGGCAGTCACACACCCATGTTGGTAGTGGTGGTGATTTGAAGGGGAAGGGGAAAGTGGTGGAAAACAGAGACGAGAGAGCTAAAAGACAGGCTGTGTTTCGGGGCAATGGGAAGCATGGCGGAGAAAGTTCAGGAGGCCAGAGGAAACCAGTGGGACATGTACCACCAGAGCAGAGGAAGCGGATCAACAGACCCACAGCTCCGGCTAGAAGCATGATGGCTCCATTGTTGATTTCCACAGCGCCGGGAACAGAGATCCAAGTCCAAACCAACATTCCGCCAAAAAGGTGCGTAAAGCCATTGATTTCACGACAGCGGTTGCGGGTCTTGATGAGAATGGAAATCAGCAAGAGGAAACGGGGGTTGAGCAAGTGGCGGAAAATGATGTTCCCGTGACCACTTTGGGGAACCAAGAGGAGGCGGTTCAAGAGGAGGGCGAGGAAGGAGAACTCTGGTGGAATGAAGTGATTGAGGAGGAGGAAGCGGAGAAGTTAGAAGAGGAGATGGCGGATCAGGTGGAACAGCGAGAAATCACTGATATGCAAGTTGACGGGAGTGAAAAACTGGAGACTCTAGTCGGTGTGGAGCAATTTGTGGAGTTGGAAGCAAAGGAGGTGGGGAAGGGTAAACAAGGGATGGAGAGGAAAACAGGGGCAAAGAAGAAAGTGTTTCGGACTGCAGTCGGTGTTGGAGGAGGTCCACTCCGGCGTGTTGTTCATGGTGCTAAAACACCGAAACGCAAGACGACTGCAAAGGGGACAAAGGAGACAAGGTGATCGGGAAGGATAAGGAGACGGAGGGAGATCCATCGGAGGGGTCTGAGACCAGACCAGAGTTTCTATTTCTTTCTGAAACAAAGCAAGACTATTTTTTTGCAACAATTTCAATTTCATTTTGGTTTTGATAATTTGTATACGGTTGACCCATGTGGCACAAGTGGTGGTCTAGCCTTATTTTATAATAATAATTTTAATGTTTCAATTGTTTCTTCTTCAAAGAATTTAATTGACACACAAGTAACCATTGAAGGAAAAACTATGTTTATGTCATTTGTTTATGGAAATCCGGTTCCAAAATTAAGGGATTATTTATGGGAAAAACTTACAAGAATAGGAATTACAAGAGATGAGCCTTGGTTTTTAATTGGTGACTTTAATGAAATTACGGGAAATCATGAAAAACAAGGAGGAGCAATTCGGTATGCTTCGACCTTTATGTCTTTTAATCTTATGATAGATGATTGCGGTTTGGTAGATTTTCCGAATCATGGCAATACTTTATCGTGGCGAGGGAGGCGATGGGGAAAAATTGTACGGTGTCGATTGGATAGGGCTTTAGCTACAGAAGATTGGCATGATTTTTTCCGAAGTCACATGTAGAGTATTTAAAAATGGTGGGATCGGATCATCGACCCATCTTGGCAACTATAGATAATAAACGCTCAAAAGGTCGTCGACAATTTAGGTTTGATAAACGATGGATCGGTCAAGATGGGTTTTCTGCAGCCATTGAACGAGGATGGACGGATCACAAGAAGGAGGGGGAGTCCAAATTAGTAGATTTAATTAGCGGATGTCGTCATGAAATCTCGAAGTGGCGACATGTTACGAAACCATATGGAAAAGAGAAGATTGCAGAGTTACAGAGAGCCTTAGAGGAAATTCAGAATGATGATAGTCGGACGCAGGAGGATCTCATCGAAATTACTCAAAAATTAAAGGACGCGTATAGGGATGAAGAACAATTTTGGAAGCAAAAAAGTCGAAACCTCTGGCTCAAAGATGGAGATTTAAATACTAAATTTTACCATGCAACGACGAAACAACGTCGGGCCATAAATCGATTGGTGGGCTTACATAACAAAACAGATGTCTGGGTTACGGGAGACAAAGAGATGGAAAAGGTGGCGGTTGATTATTTTTCAGAGCTATTTACAACTACAGCACCGGATGACTTCACAGAGATACTAGAGGGGATTCCAGGTTTAATTTCGGATACGGATAACGCCCTGTTAACAAAGCCAGCAACCGAAGAGGAAGTACGGGCCGCATTGTTTTTGATGCATCCCGAAAAAGCACCGGGGCCGGATGGGATGACAGCTTTGTTTTTCCAACGGTCATGGCCGTTAGTAAAGACGGATGTCTTGGGGTTTATAAATGATTTTTTAGTTTCGGGAATCTTTGATGATAGGTTAAATATGACAAATATATGCCTAATTCCAAAGACAGAGCGACCAACTCGCATGACAGAGCTTCGGCCAATCAGTTTATGTAATGTGGGGTATAAGATCATTTCAAAGGTATTATGTGAGAGGTTGAAGAAGGTGCTATCACAATTGATTTCTGAAACCCAATCGGCTTTCGTCCCGGGAAGACTTATTTCCGATAACATTTTGATAGCACAAGAAATGTTTCATGGGTTACGTACCAATAAGTCCTGCAAAGGAAAATTTATGGCAGTTAAAACGGATATGAGCAAAGCGTATGATCGGGTAGAGTGGCAATTTATTGAGGCAACAATGCGGAAAATGGGATTTGCAGAACAATGGGTTAGCTGGATTATGCGATGTATTAAATCGGTTGAATATAAGGTCCTCATTAATGGACAACCACGCGGTAAAATTGTTCCTAATAGAGGTCTAAGACAGGGGGATCCATTATCCCCGTATTTATTTATTCTTTGTACAGAGGTTTTAATATCCAATCTCCAGACGGCGGAAAGGAAAAAAACTCTAACGGGCTTAAAGGTGGCCCGTGCGTGTCCACCTGTGTCACACTTATTGTTTGCGGATGATAGTTTATTTTTCTGTAAGGCGACAGTGGAAGAGAGTGGGGCTCTTTTAAAGATTCTAAAAGATTATGAACGGGTATCAGGACAAAAAATAAATTTTGATAAGTCTTCTATCCAGTTCGGTCATACAGTGGACACCATGGTGCGCTCAGAAATCCATCAATTATTGGGGATTCATAAGGTGGGAGGTATTGGAAATTATCTAGGCATACCAGAGAGTTTAGGGGGGGCAAAGACAAAGATTTTTAGCTTTCTCATTGATAGGCAACAAAAGAGAATAAACGGATGGACCTCAAAGACTCTGTCTAAAGGGGGCAAAGAGGTGATGATCAAGTCAGTGTTATCGGCGATGCCTACACACGTTATGTCATGTTTTCGGTTGCCCAAAGGGGTCACTAATAAACTTACAAGTGCGGTAGCAAATTTCTGGTGGAGTACAAATTCTGAAACTCGGGGAATGCATTGGCTGGCATGGAGAAAATTGTGTCGTCACAAGAGTGATGGGGGTTTAGGTTTTCGGATTATTGAGGATTTTAATACAGCTTTACTAGCGAAACAGTTATGGCGTCTACTAGACAAGCCGGACTCACTTTTTGCGAAAGTTTTTAAGGGGAGATACTATCGGAATTCTACTCCCCTAGATCCAATACGATCTTACTCCCCGTCCTATGGATGGCAGAGTATCATCTCAGCTCGATCTCTGGTAAATAAAGGGCTCATTAAAAGGGTTGGCTGCGGATCTTCCATCTCTGTATGGTATGATCCATGGATTACCGACGCTCGCCGAGGTCAGCTATTTGTGCAGGAATTAATTACTATCCCCACTTGATGGTGAACCAGTTAATTAATTCCCAGTCATCAACGTGGAATATTCCACTATTAAAGCAATTGTTCGAAAGTGCAGAAGTTACTCGGATTACGGGCATTACAATTGCAACCGGGTACAAACCAGACACTTGTGGATGGATGTTTACAAAAACGGGACGATACACGGTTAAATCGGGGTATAGCGTTTTACAGGATTTCCCAGATGAGGAGGTGCCTCTGGTCTTTGGACCAGATGTCAGGCGGCTGCAAGCACATGCATGGAAAGTAAAATGTACTACCAAACTTCAACACTTTCTTTGGCAGATTATCACGGGATGTCTTTCGGTTGGCGCCCGTTTAAGTAGTCGGGGAATCCGAGTGGATCCTTTATGCGTGAGATGTGGTATGGGAGATGAGACGATTAACCATATGTTATTTGAATGCCCACCAGCCCGCCAGGCTTGGGCGCTATCCCCTATTCCAACGCCTCCCTGTTTTCCTACTGGGGCTTTGTTCTCAAACATGGCCCATCTCTTCTGGAGCCTCCCAGAGGCTGATGACATGATGATCTACCCATGGTTACTATGGTTTATTTGGAAGGCGCGGAATTATAAAGTTTTTTCAAATGATGATCATGACCCGCGAGAGGTTTTAGAGTCTGCGATAACAGAAGCCCGTGCATGGGCTTCTGCACAAACGGTTCTGAACCAGTCCGGTTCTTTCCGGCAAACAACACCGCGATCCCGATATCGGGTGAATGGTGTCAAGTTGATGGGGCGTGGAAGGAGACAGAATGTCGTGCAGGGCTTGGTTGGTATAATTTCGATCCAAGTTCAGGATCAATTCTGGTGGGTTCCTGTAATTTACGGCGGGTTTATCCCCCTTGCAAACAGAATTGGAGGCTTTGGTGTGGGCCATGCAACTCATGCTGGTTCATAACAAACGGCAAATGAATTTTCAAACAGATTGCGCTGAACTGGTGAAGATGGTGGCGAAACCTGAAGACTGGCCGGCGTTCGAGGCTTTGCTCGAGGAGGTGGAGAAGTGCAAACGGAAGTTCCATGTTTTCTCCCTCACCCACATTCCAAGGACGAAGAACACAAAGGCAGACAAGCTAGCACGAAGTGCTCGAGATCAGCCTTATGATGTGTATTATGTAAACTCAATTCCACCGGTTACGCTCCCCGTACCGTGATAGGAATTTAGGCTGTCGACAAAAAAAAAAAAAAAAAACCAACTAAGCTTAAACTCGATGCCCCACATCACATATTATAACTCACAAGATTGCAACATGTGTTTTGAAAAATAAAAGGAAAAAAATCTAATTAAAAAGATGTGAAAAAAAAAACTAATCATCCATATATTAATGGAAAAATGTTCCATATTCACCGTATATTCACCGAAAAAGAAAACAAAATATTTTTGCATGCCATATTCTAACAGAAAAACTTCTATATTCTAATGGAAAAAATGCACATTTACCATATTTCTTGTAAATATAAAAATTATGTTTGATAACTCTTCGTGACACCGAATGTTAAACCTAATTTAGTAGTATTCTATATTGAAACATCAGTACCAAATCTTTCGCATGATTTGGTAGGGGAGATATTATCTAGGATTCCGATATGCACTTTCGGAGCAGTGAGATCCACTTGCAAACAATGGAACGCTTTATCAGAGAATCAAAGCTTTAGAAAGAAGCACTGTGGTAAAGCAGCCAAGGAATCTCTGGTGATCATGAATTATGATTCTAGGGTTTGTTTAACGAGTGTCAATCTTCTCCATGGAAGCAATAACCACAGTGGTACTTATGTCAGCTGCTTAGTTGATCTATCTTTAAAGCCAATAGGTAAACTTAAACAAGTGGAGATATCTAAAGTCTTTCACTGCGATGGCTTATTGTTATGTGTCACCAAAGATAACACTAGGCTCGTGGTATGGAACCCGTATTTGGGAACAAAAAAATGGTTCCGATCCAAAAACTATCCCCACGTATTATCTAGGTGTAGGTATGCTCTCGGGTACGACAAGAACTAGAACCAAAGAATCTTGATGTTGTTAGATAGGCCTGAGGATGATTGCAAGAACAGAATTGTTGAGTACCAAATCTACAATTTTTATTCTACACGTTCGAGTGAGTTTGGTGTCATGAATTCCAACTGGTATATACCGCATCGTCGCCAAGGTATATACCGCAGTGTGAAAGTTTCTTCGTCGTCGACGAGAAGAAGAAAGTAGCAGTGGTTTGTGATAAAGACTGGGAAAAAAATAACGACTACACATCTTAAATGGTTGGAGAATCTAAATGTTTGCGGTTTGCGTGCTCTTACGTTCCGAGTTCGGTGGAGGAGATTCAGAGAGTTCGACTAATCCATTAGTTTTTTTTTTTTTTTTTTTTTTTTGTTTCTTGCATGATCCCCTTGCGATTTCTTCTCTCATGTCCTTTTTGAACGAGTCTGGTTAATTATTTTTTTATTTAGCTAACAAGAGACAAACTGGTTTTGCTCATCATCAGAAAAACTAATCCTTCACTGATTATAGATCATAGAGGTTAATATATATACTGATTTTTCCAACATACCGAAACCATATGTCATGTCCTCTTTCAATGCAGAGTCGCTCAAGATCTTCTGGGCATAGCAACAATCATTCCACCTGCTGCAGGTTATAGTGATTCGTTAGAGGAGAATCTATCATACATTCTGAACTTAACCGAAGACCATTTGGTTGAAGAGAGGATTAGACAAGCAGTTCCGTGGGTTTTTTGGAATGTTTGGAAAAACAGGAATATTTGGTTGAAAGAGGACATGACATATAGTTTCGGTATGTTGGCGACAGAGTCGGCAGTTGCTATCAACATATAAACCCCGTGTTTGTAGTCTATCAGAAACCGCTAAAGCACCAGAGATTACTCTCCAGAAAAACATTCTGATCTTAGGGGTCGACTTCATCTTCCAAATCCGCTTTTTAAGATCAATTTGAAACTGGTCCAAGGGAGATCTAGTTGTGGATGAAGGAGGTTGATGATTTGCTAGAAACCAATCACCACTTTTCACTGTATACGCACCATGATTGGCATAAGCCCATATATATCGGTCTTCAAGCTGGTTTAGCTTGTAACGGATGTCCTAATACGCCATCGTATCCCGGGAGTCTGGGTGACGGGTGTCACAATTGGTATCCTAATGGCCACTCCGGTTCTGACCCGGAGGGTCAATTCACTTAAAACCGTTTTCTGAAAAATGTTTACAAAATGTTTTTGGGCCCAAAGTTTTAAAAGAAATTTCAAATCACCAACCTAGCTTCAATCTAGTTCTGTTCCTTCAATCGTTGTGTGTTCATAGCGTTAAAGTTGAACTTCTGGAGGTTTTAAAGACGAGTGTTCTTGGTGTTATTCCGGTTTTGTGTTTCCAAGTTTTGAGGTCGACAATGACGGGTTTGTCTATGTGTCAGTACGTCTTAGCTGAGGGACCGGTTGAGTGTTTCAGAGAGCTAGGACGGATGGGTCTTTAGAGCCAGAGATTTGTGCGTGTGGCCGAAAGACTGGAGAGTTATAGACACCTACATAGACCTAACCTTACTGTCTTTTGAGAAACTTTCGAGCGGTGTTTCGTTCCTGAGCGTTGTGCCTTGTCAAGCAGTTACAGTGGAAATCCTTGATCGTAGAATTCATGACGAATTCCTGTTAAGTGTGGGAGAGTTGTGACATCCAAATTTTCTAAAAAGGGCTCAAATTTAAGATCTGTTTCTAAGGCCCATCTAGAGCCCATATCGTTGCACATTTGATGAGTGTGTGTGTGATGAAGAAAAGCCCTCGCCTCCACCCTTGCGCCGTCGAGAGAAGAGAACCAAGGAGAGGAAAGAATGGAGAGTTCTGGAGGAGAGAGAGAAAGAAACTAGAAGAGGGAGAAAGGAAGAAGAGATCGGGAGAAGAAGAAGAAATGATGTGAAGAAGAGGAAGGAGAGAGAGAGAGGGAAAGTGAGAATATGATCGTGGAGAGGCCGAGACCACCAACGACGATGCCGTACTCCACCATCGGTCACCACCATGATCCGAGCAGGTAAGCTCAGAATACGCAATGCGTCAGCTGCAGGGAAGAGATCCCGTACTTTGTTCTCATCCGGTCAGAAACCCGCAACTCGAGATCGTAGATGATCTGTTTAGTCACTGGTCCATCTAGGATCCATTTTTCTGTCCAGACGCGTGTGTTCTTTCCATTCCCAACCGATTTTATCAAACCACGGATCAAAAGTTCTCTACCATGTAGTATGCTTCTCCAAGCGTATGATGGTCTATACCCTTTGCCACTCTCTAAAAATGTAGTAGAATAGAAATATCTACCTTTGTACAGTTGTGCCAATAGAGAATCAGGGATGTTTAGAATCCGCCATGCTTGCTTGGACAGGAGAGATTGATTAAAGTCCCCAACATCACGAAAACCTAAGCCTCCACTGTCCTTCGATTAAGAAATTTTCCTTATATAATTCTGAGTAGATTTTTGGTGTTACAAAAAATTCTGCATGTTTTCCTTATCTCTGTCTGTATTCTAATTTTAAAATTCGTAAAATTACATATAACATCACTTTTATATAATATATATAGATTCGGCAGGTCTTAGTTAATAACGCTAATATTGAAACAATGGCGACGGTGGCCGATCTTTCGCATGATTTGGTAGAGGAGATATTATCTAGGGTTCCGATATTCGCTTTCGGAGCAGTGAGATCCACTTGCAAACAGTGGAACGCTTTATCAGAGAATCAAAGCTTTAGAAAGTATCTCTGTGGTAAAGCAGCCAAGGAATCTCTGGTAGTCATGAATGATAATTCTAGGGTTTGTTTAATGAGCGTCAAACTTCTCCATGGAATCAACAACTACAGTGGCTGCTTATCTAGGTATTATCTAGACACTATAACGACGTATTATCTAGGTGTAGGTATGCTCTCGGGTACGACAAGAACAAGAACCAAAGAATCTTGATGTTGTTGGATAGGTATGGGGATGATTGTAAGAGCAAAATTGTTGAGTACGAAATCTTCAATTTTTATTCTAAGTTTTCGAGTGATTTTGGTGTCATGAATGCCAACTGGTATATACCTCATTGTCGCCAAGGCTTGTCCTTGAAGGGAGATACGTACTTTGTTGCTAGAACAAGACTGGAAGCGGAAGGAGAAGAGGTTACAGATTTTTTACTATGTTTTGATTACACGAGAGAGAGTTTTGGACCGCGTTTGGATTTGCCGTTTCACTCTTGCCCTAGTGATTCTGTGATTTTGTCTAGTGTTAGAGAAGAGCAGCTTGCAGTGCTACTTATGCATGGGGATACATATGTGATGGAGATATGGATCACAACTAAGATTGAAGCCAATGCATTGTCGTGGAGTAACTTTTTGAGAGTTGATATGACACCGTCAAGTGGAAGATATCAGTTTAAGTGTGGGAGTTTCTTCGTCGTCGACGAGAAGAATAAAGTAGCAATGGTTTATGATAAAGACAGGGTAAAAATGTACGACTACGCATCATACATGATTAGAGAGGGTGGGTACTCATACTACAAAGAATTAGGTCTTGGAGAATCGAAATGTTTGCCATTTGCGTGCTCTTATGTTCCGAGTTCGGTGCAGATTCAAAAATTTGACTAATCCATGAGTTTTTTCTTTTCTTTTCATTCATTTTTGTGATTTCTTCTCTCATGTCCTTTTTGAACGAGACTGGTTAATTTTCTCTATTTTTATTTAGCTAACAAGAGGCAACAAACTGGTTTTGCTCATCATCATCAGAAAAACTAAGGAGGGGTTATTGGGAGTAGAAATTGTGATAATTGTTAAAATTTTCAAAATCAACGGATTTTGGTTAATGGATTTTGACATTGTTATTAAAACTAATTGTTATTGGTTTGATGACTTTTAAAATCTTTAAAAAATCCATTGTTATTCAATAAGTTTGCAATTTGAATGATTCCATGAATTGTTAAAATCTTTTTTATTGGGAGATGGAATTTAAACAAATTAACTCATGAAATTAAACTTTCAAAATACTAGCTATAACCTTTAGATTCTCAAAGTCCATTACAATAAAATATTTTGATTGATTTTCTAAATTTACATAATCTTTCCAAAATTAACAAAAACTCTTTATAAATTTAACAATTCTCCTAAATTTTAAAATCTTTAAAATCCACACAAATTCTACTCCCCTTTCCTGATGATGAGCAAAACCAGTTTGGTTAAAAAACCAAATTTTTGAGAAAGATGTTGGCAAAAACAAGTAAAAACTAAATCAAACCAGAGTCTATATTCAAAAAATTTGGTTATAATCAAGTGGTGATGGTCTAGTGGTTTCCACTTGATAGAGGAGTTGTCATGTTGGTCTAGGCAAGGGATTAATTCCCCACAAACGTGGAATTACTTAATTTAACTTATTTGGCCACATGGATATGTTCATTTGTTTTCGCCACATTTGAATACACAGAGAGAAGGTTATCGGTGGGGTGAACCTCCTCTAGAGATTAGTTTCAGCCCTTCCATAGACTTGAGATTTACCCTGAATTATCCCAAAAAATAAAAAACCTAAATCACGGCGCGGTTTGTAAGAAGAATATCAGCAGATGCACGAGCCAAACTTCAAAAGGTCATAGGAAAACCTTCCAACTTCCATGAGCTGTTTTGACCACCTAATGAAGCATCTCTAAAACCGCTCGTTCAAATGCCCTCAAACAGAGGCCATAAAATATCAAGTTGGACGCTGAAATTTCAATATGATATGAGGAAATCTTCACAGATTGAGCTATGGTCCATAGCATCACCTTCCGGTTGATCAAAACGGACCCTACTCGACCGAAATGCCAACCGCAGTGAACCAGGCCTAGAAATTGAAAACCCACCGACCAATCATGCCTAAGGAAGTGTTTCATTCACCTGTCCACCAGAGATCTTCATACCGTATGGTCCAACCTTGGTAACATCATCCTAAACTCTATCTTTTATAGTTTTTCTTTCTTAATTACCTCTCTTAATTCGATTTTCTTACACCGAGATGGTGCAAGTTAAGTCTGGGGGATTATTACTAATAAGTTTGTTCATTTTTGGTATTTTATTTACATTTCTTTGAGTCATTTTTATTGAGTCAAAATTTGTGTCGAGTATTACGACATTTTCTTGGATCTAACCATTGTTGTGCCAATATTTGAGTGACCATTGAAGCTGTATTGGGAGCATATCTTACCACAGGTACACCATGACTGGATAGATTTACCAAAAACGTCCACATCTCTAGGACATATGAAAGATCCATGTTTTACTTTGCACCAAATGAATTTAACCTTTTTCAACTAGGGGCTTGACATACAAAGGGCATGACTTCTCATCCATAACAACAAGAAAAGTCTGTGTGAGTTCGGTTTCCTCTCTCTCTCCCCTTCAATATAAAGAAAAATATCAATGTCCAAGGTTCGGAGATTATGTGGGAACCACCATCAATACTCGCGTTTATGGAAGACCTATGGATTCAAGTAACCGGGAATTCGGTGGAAACCACCATCAATGCTCGTGTCTATGGAAGATCTATCCAAAGAAGAAAAACTCTAAAAACCACAAAGGAGAAGTTGTCGATAGAAAAAAAAGTTGCTACCCTAAAAAAGGGATAAATTGACTTGAAAAAGTGAGAAGAGAGAGAGGTAAAAACAAGAAGGAAGACATGTGTGTTATCAAAAATGGATGGGTAAGAGTCTATGAGCCCTTTGATTGATACTCCCTAAATGAGACTACACCTTTAGAAACTAAAGGAGTCGAAGGTGGCGAATTTGGATGGTCCTATGAGAAGTGGATAGCTTTGGGATGATTGCTAAACTTACGGTAAGTACTCTAAATCTTAGTCTAAATGACAATTTTGTTTCATGTGGATTATTAAGGTAGAGATCTTGGATTTCCAAACGATTTTGCGATTTCTCATATTTTCAAACCTCTCTTTTATGCTTAGTTTGTTTGAGGTAAGTAAAAGGCTAAGGCTCTAACTGGTGACCAAGGAACAAGGGGAATAAGACAATTCCCCTTCATTCCTTAAAAATTACACCATTTATAAGGAATGTGTATTCCATATTATTCCTTACTATTCCATATTAATTAGGGAATTATAGTGTTAAAATATTCCTTATAAAATATGAGGAGGAATGAGTTCCATATATTTTATTCCTCTTCATTCCATTCTTTCTTATTCCTTTTGTTCCTTTACAGGTCACCAGTTAGAGCCTAAGTGTATGGGAGTTGATATATCCATATTTTACATATTTTTATCTATAGTTTTTATATGTTTTAAAGTATTTTAATAAAGATTTTATGCCTTTAGAGATAGTTTTTTGTATTTGTGGTTTTGGAGTCTTAACATATTAAAATGTCAAAAAGAATACAAAAAAGAGCAAAAGAGCCTCATATATACCATGATCTAGCCAAGTTTCCAAGTCTAAGTAGCATCAATAAAACTCCAAGAGTCTGATTTCTGTGATCGGACAGAACGGAATATCAGAAGTATGTCTGCGGATGAAGGTCTTCCCGACGTTCAGAAATTATGAATTTTGTCTTGGTGGATAGATGATTAAGTTAGTCATCACGGCGAAGTGGAATGAGATCATTTGGATCTACCATCAGCGAGATATACCCATTTTACCAAAGACATGTCCATCTGGCGGAGAAGCAGAGCCCGTAGAAGATTTGGTGAATCCCGCGACTCAATCCAGCCCGAGTGGCTTAGCCTTATCTTAACATGGCCCATACACGCTCACACAATCTAGTCCGGCTCATGGGGACTTTCCTATTCTGGTCAAGCGGGGCCAATTCATAGGTCCGTAGTTTCTACCGCCTCCCATGGCGGAAACACTGAAAAATTTTATTCTGTACTAATCAGCCGCCATTGCCACCGACTATGATTTTTGATAGATTTGTATCAGAAGAGACAAAAGACAGAAGAGAAGAAAGAATGTTATGTTTCTCAATCTTTTGCGTGTTGGATTTAATTGAGTTTAGTCTTAATGTTTCTAAGTTAGAATAAAGTTTGTATTAAACGTTGTCTTTGTAAAGTCGTGACTTTTGGTTTAGGGTGTGTGAAGACACAACTCTTTGTGTTGTTGTCTTAGTATATAACCATGATGTAATACGATGTAACAACAATCAAGTTTCAGATTAATAAAATCCAATTCCTCGTAATTGTTCTTCATCACAAGACAAGAGATAAACTCTTATCTCTTGCTCTGTTTTCTGTCTCATCTTTTCTTCTCTCTGTTTCTAAACACAAAATCTAACATTGCATACAGACAAAAACAAGATTGGCGGACTCTAATGTGTTTATGTTGTGATTCTATTGAGAATAATCCTTCCTTGTTTTCGTGATAAGATGCCCTAACATGGATTTTTCTTCCTTGACTGCCAAGCAACAAACAGATCATTCCTCTGTTTCCTCTGTTACTCTGGTCCGTAGTTTCTACCGCCTCCCATGGCGGAAACACTGAACAATCTTATTCTGTACTAATCAACCGTCTATTTTCTTCAGTTACCAACTCTTCAATGATCTCTGTTTACGAATTTCGTTAGAGTTAGATGCTTCGAATTTGAGTTTGAGCAATATCAGCCACTTTTACACGATAACCAACCAGTACCACCGTAATATGTATCAAACCAAAATATGTAAAAGTTGAGTTTTACAAAACCACAGTACGTAAGAGTTGAGTTTTACAAAACCACATTATGTAAGTCTGATCGTGTCACCACCTAAGCATGTGTAAAGCTGAATGGCCGACAACACTCAATCATCCTGGAAAAAGAGGAAGCACAGATAACGTGAAAACACAACACAACAACATGTGACTGAAGGAAGGTGTAAGTAGTGTAAAGCAAAACCTGTTCTTATGGGATCGAAAATTTCCTTTTGCGCGATGTGAAGCCTGCATCAGTCAGAGTGAAACGGTCATATGTAATTGCCTTTCCATCTGGCTTAACCATCATAAACTGATTGCAGAGGGTGCATGTAATGGTGTGGCCACTAGTAAGGTTGTGCTTTATTAAGCATGAACATTTGCGGTTGGTACACCATGTGATCTGCACAAATAAAGATGAGAAAGAGACATTAATAACAAATACCAAAGAGTAAAGGGTCATCTGAAAATCTGTAAGTGAAGTTTTACATTCTTCTACGATTCCACAAAGCTTTGCACAGTCAGCAATTGAAACTCAAACGATCTACTTGCATGTAGACAACCAGCAACCATCTTTGTGGTAACCATGAAAGGGGCAAGTAATATCAGGGCAGTAGAAGGCAATATCACCAACTTTGATCATTTTCTGCAAGTAGTCGGTGAGGCATGGTTTGCAAAAGGAATGATTACAGCCCAACTCAAAACAGTCGACAATAGTCTCTGACACATGTCACACTTCTTAGCATGTATCATGTATGAATCAAAATCAAATTTCCAGAGTCTTAAGAGAGAGAAGAAGAAATGAATGTACAGTTAGTTACATATGTAAACTTCTTCTTCTATGGTAGTTTCTGACTCAGAACCTTCTCCTCTTGTATCTTATATATATCCTCTTGATAATTCAATAAGTCTCATATTATATTACATATATATAACCGAGCTAATGAGACTCAACCATAAAGTTAAAACCACTAAACCAACTAATCAACAAGAAAGCAGAAAGTTATTGAAGACTTACAAAGGAGGTATGTACAGATTTTTCACTTTTGTAGCGGCTTTGGGTCAGGATGAGAATTTCAGCGAGTTTTGCAAATTCTTCAGATAAAGCGTACTCGTCCCAGTGGTAATGGACCAGCAGACAAAAGCAGCGGACTTGTCTCAGTGATAATAATAGTGCTTGTGAACGGTGCTAAGGGAATTGGAACTAGGTAGAGTACCGATGTTCCAAACTTTAACCCAATTCATATTATTGAGAACCTGGGGCACCTTCTGAGAGGGGAAGAGTTGGTCAAGATGGTACCTTGGTACCAAGGATTCAAAGGAACGATTACTGCTGTAAAATCTGAATCTGAATCTGAGTTAGGAGGTACCAGATACCTAACAGAAGGAAAGCTTCAATTTGTTAATGACAACACTCATATCATAAGGGAGCTGCCTATAAAGAGGTGCATCAAAAGTTACAAAGATGTATTAAGAAAACTGATGGAAAGCCGTCAAAAGTTATATCATGGTAAAACGAGTGGTTTTGTTTGTCTAGTTTTTGTATATTCCTCCCCTAGTGTTACGTTTTATAATTCTCTTATTCTTCTCTCTGCAGGAATATAAGGATGTCGAAGCTAAGGAGTGCAAAATTGGGGGATATTGTTGTCACACTAGGTAAAGGAAAGCGTCCAAAGACTGATGAAGACTGTTTCAAAGAGAAACATGAACTAAAACTAACAAAGGCTCTGGTGGTCTCTTGTAAAGAAAATGGTTCTATTGGACAGCAATGGCCAGCTTAACAGATATGGCAGCGAAAGTAAGAAATTCAATGATATGACTCTCTTACCTTTTTTTTCTTTTTTGCAACTTGAAATATATATTAACCTACTGTGTTTCAGTCATTGCAGAGTTGGACCAGGTAGACAAAAGCATCATCCAAGCTTATGTTATGTTTCGTGCTTATATGTTTAGCTGCCTCTCCTGGGTAGGCTATGATTCTTTCTCCATCCAATTTAAACTTCTAACTGAAAGAGTGAAAAATACAAAAAACTAAGAACTGGTATAAACAACTATTATCCAATTCAGGCTATCTACACCACCAATCAGTGAGAAATATCACATAACGTGCCACTAATTTGAATCACAAAGTGAAATCCAGAAAAAAATACAAAAAACTAAGAAGAACAAGTATGAACTATGATCCAAGTGAAAATCCAGGTTATACACCACCAATCAATCAATCCAATGACAGAAATCCTACCTCCTAGTGAAAATAACATTCTTTTGAAATTTGTATTTTTGTAACATTTATTAACAAAAAATACATTATTTTTTTTGGTCAAAACAAAAAATACATTTAATAGTCTAAAACAATAAATAGTAAAGAATAAAAACAAAATTTCAAACATCAGATACTAAGAGCATCTCCAACGGGAATATCAGCTTCAATCTCTTTTTTTTTTTTGGTCAACAACAAACTTTTTCATTCATGCTTACTCTCCATTAAAGGAGAAAATGTTCCAAACCAAAGACAACAAAGCCAAACTGGCTAAAAGAACCGCACTAAACAAAGCGGAAATAGAGATAACAGCAAAAACGACAACATAGATAAGGGCAAACCAAACACTTGAGCCACCAAAACCGAGGAAGAACTCCACGACCATAGTATGAATAAATGAAGTGGTGCCATGAGCATTGTAGGATACATCAAGTAATCCTAACCCCAAGATTGAAAACGCATCTAGTGCAAGTTTAACAATCCTGTTAACGGCAATGAACTTCATAGTGACAAAGCACCAAGCTACTGAGCCTACAAGACACGAAGTGTTTGACAACTTCGAACTCCAACACCCTGCAATAACACCACTCAAACCAAGCACCAATTTTGGGAGGGAGACAAACTCCATAAAGGAGAGATCATCCAATATCTCATAGAGATTAAACATATCCAGAAAATTTACACCAAATTGCCACAAATTTGGTAAATTAGATTTCAAAATATCAATCACTAAAGTGAGATTTGGGAAGAGACTGCATATAGCAGTAAGGTTTCGCACAAAGACGCTAAGATCCGAATCAATCGGTAATGTTGGTAACTTATCAAGAAACTCCAAAGCCAAAGTTGCTCGTTCCCCAACAATCTCAATACAAATCAGAATGAGACACACACGTGCTGGGAGAGAGGAGCAAACCTGGAAAGGATGGAGAGAAAAGACCGGCGAAACTGGGAGCCCAGATCTGATTGGCGGCAAGGGAAGCCAGAGGAAATCTGATGGACAGGGGATATGAAGGAGCTGAGGGGATAGCGGTGGAGAGAACCATGTCGAGACCACGGTGAGAGGCTTAGATCCTCCAACATCAGGTGGATCTGGAGGATCCGGTGGATCCGGAGGGTTCCGGAGAGAGAAGCGCGACTCACACTCTGGATCTGACAGCTCCGGCAGTGTGACCCATAGAATCGGACACCTTGTCCTCTGAGGCGCCATGGAATCCGATGAGAGACCACCGGAGCGGGAGATAGACCAGAGGAGGAATGGCATCACGGACAGGTCAGGAGGTTTCGTCACAGGGAGAGAAGGCGGCTTCAACCAGGAGAGGAGGCACGGCGGAGAGGAAGCACGGCGGAGATCCATGTGTCTTCAGGGCGACGGCGGCTGAGAGGATGTCTCGGGACATGTGCCTGGGAGGATTAGGGCTTCTCCGTTTTCATCGTTTTTTCAGCCTCAGTCTCTACAACATAAAAATAAATGAAAAATGTTAAAAAGGAAGAGAGAGAATGTTAAATGAGGTGAGACGTTTCTCGTTTGGCATACGTCTCAAAGATTATAAGAGACTCTAAATACAGCTGTTGGTGTGTGTATGGATGACACAATTATATATTTAAAGTTTAATTATAAATTTAAATTAAATTAATATAATAATTATGTGATACTCATACGAGGGTTTCACTCGATGAAGATGCTCTAAGAGCACCCTCGTTGTAGGACTGGGGAAGAACTCTTTAAAATTTTAAAATAATAATAAAAAAAGATTTTCGAAAAAATAATAAAAAAGTAAAAAACGACCCAATAGAATCACGACACGTGTAGAGTCGTGTCAGAGAGATGACTCTGCAGTCTCTGCGCAGAGAGACAATTCAGGGAGAGTCTCGCCACATGGGCTACCACATCATTAATTATTATTATTTTTTTTTTCTAGAATCTCTTTGGGTTTCTGCAATGCAGAGAGCATGTATAATGGAGAGCTCCATATGGAGCTCTTTAAACTTACTTTATAATAAAAAAAATTAACATTTTCAGTTTAGAGTTTTGACTCCACAATGGAGAGCTCCATATGGGTTCTTTAAAATGTAATTTTTTTGTTTTTACCAAGTGTTATAAACTCACCAAACATAATTAACACAAACATCACAAAAGAAACAAGTCAAAACATGATATTGAAATGGATCTATTTGAATATGATCATCTATGTCATCTTTTTTTGCTTCAACAAACTGAGAGTAGTTTTTCAAGAACCGTGCTCTGTGCAAGAAGGAAATAGAGACAATAAAGTTTCGTCGTAATTACAAATCCATGATTATGTAAAGAACTATCACCATCGAAGACCTCTTCTCGACTAATACATCATGCACAAACTTTGATTAAAAACCATTTGGAATGTAAGAGTGTTGACAGTAAACCACAAGAAGTTTGATCCAAGTTTCCAACATATAATCTGCTCTCATTCTTTTCATCTACAAACCCATTTGTATCCTGAAGCATATATGCAAGAAAAAAAAGTAGTTAGAAGATGACACAAATTAGCATAACAGAGAAATAGCAAACAAGATAACTGAAGAGTAAAGATATACAAGCGAAGAAAATCGAAACGCAGCTCAAATATCAACGAATTCCAAAGCTAAAATGATCTTACGATATCTGCATCTGAACAAAAACGAAGGTAAAAATCTGGGAGACAATTGAATTTCAATCAAATATGCAAGGAGGCAGAGAGAGATCCCGATAGGATTTGATTCCAACAGTTTCATCCGAGTCTAAAGTAGACTGCACACGACTACAAGCAAACGATTTAAACACACAGATGCAAGAGTAAGATGAAGGCAAGGGAGAAAGTTACGAATCAATTACATCCAGTGATGTTTCCGAGATGAGGGACATCGAAATTGCAAGCGTCACCGTTGATGAAGAAGAAACGTCGTCACAAAGAGAAACAGAGGAGGGAGAAGGAGAAGAAGAACGTCGAACAAGAAGGAATCGGAGATCAAAGAGGAAGGATTTGGAGTGGAGCAGAAGTTGAGATCGCAGAAGATCTTCACCGGGAAAACGAAGAAAAATAATTTCGAAGAACAAAAAGAAAATAATAATGCCGACAATTATTTTTCCGCAGAGCTTTCTCCTGCTGACAGCTGGCTAGTAGAGACGTCTCCACAGTCTCTCCAGGGAGAGACGGATCTGGGCCTCAAACTTGCCATGTGTGTATTTATTTTCCTTTTTTCATTATTTTTATATTGTAGATACGCCCATAAACTGTCCGCTGCACTTGCTACCGAGTGACTAGTACATTGCACCACTAATCTAGAAATTTGTTTAACGGCGAAATTTGCGAACAAATGTGTAGCTACAAGTCAATTAAAATCGAAAACAATAAGACCTCTTAAAAGTTCATCAAACCTCCGGAAAAAAAAAAAGAAAAACTAAAGTTTCAAAAAAAACCCCAAATCCAGAAACCCAAACCCCACCTCCAATTCTCTCACATCTCTCTCTTCTTTCTCTTCGCTGTGAAGCAAAGGAAAATGCAAAATCCTGGCGGAAAATCATCTTGTTTGCACCCAAATCTGTGAAATTAAGCTCTGGCTAAGTGTGGGAAACTGACAAATCTCTGTAATGCACTGTGAGGATCACGAAGAACAAGAGGAAGCAGAGGAAGGAGACGAAGAAGAAGACGAAGAAGAAGAAGAGAAGCGAGATATTTCTCGCAGCTAGGTCAGAGAATGGTGGCTGCGATTCCTCAAGCAGCAATCTCCACCACTGACATTAGGAATCCACCTCGAGATCGGCAAGACAAACCTCAACCCACAGCTAACAATGGCGGACTACAACGGAAACCTAGACTCAAAAATGTCCCCTCCCGCTACTTATCCCCTTCTCCTTCTCACTCTAACACCACCACTACCACATTATCCTCGACGACGACGACTTCTTCTTCTTCGTCTGCAATACTGAAGACAAGTAAGCGATCTCCTTCCCCTTTGCTCTCTCGCACGGCGAGCTCCGCTTCTAATTTGAGTAAAACACCTTCTTCGCTACCCAAACGGTCGCAATCGGTTGACCGTCGTCGGCCGTCGGCATCTCCTGTCACTGGCACCGCTTTGTCAACGGCCACGAAGATGCTTATCAGCTCCACCAGGAGTTTATCTGTTTCTTTTCAAGGGGAGACGTTTTCGCTTCCGATTAGCAGGAAGAAGGAGACCACCACGCAGGTTTCCCACCGGAAATCTACTCCGGAGAGGCGGAGATCAACGAGGGAGAACTCAAAGCCGGTGGACCAGCAACTCTGGCCAGGCGCTTCCCGGAGGAGCAATTCCGAATCTGTGCCGATTTCGCTTACTAGAAGCGTGGATTGCGACAGTGATGATAGAGGAAAGCTTGGATCTGGATATCTGGGAAGGACAATGTTGCAGCATTCTCTGATTGATGAGGGTTCTAGGGTTTGTGCTGATGAGAGACTGAGTTTAGATTTGGGAGGAGCTGTTGAAAATTCCGAAATGAGAGATGAGAGCAAGACGAGAACAAGCACACATTCACGTTTGCGTTCTAGCGTTTCGTGTGACTTTGCTGCATCTGATACTGACAGTGTTTCATCTGGTAGCACTAATGGTGCGCAAGAATGTGGTTCTGGTGTCAATGGTGATATCTCCAAGCGCAATATCATGGCTTCAGCTAAGTTCTGGCAAGAGACTAATAGCCGGTTAAGGCGGTGGCAGGATCCCGGCTCACCACGATGCTCTAGCCCGACCCCGAGAGCCAGTAGTATGTCATCAAAGCTCAGTCGGTCGAAACGGTTCTCTAGTGATAGTCCATTGGTATCGTCTCCTCGTGGTATGGCTTCTCCAGTAAAGGGTGCTACACGCCCTGCTTCACCAAGTAAGGTTTGGGGATCAGCTGCATCATCTACAGCTAGGGCACTTTCTAGTCCTTGTCGAGTTAGAAATGGAGTTTCTGAACAGATGAACGCTTATAACCGCAGCTTGCCTTCGATTCTTTGTTTCTCTGCTGATATTAGGAGGGGGAAAATTGGGGAGGATCGTGTTATGGATGCCCACTTGTTGAGGCTTCTGTATAACCGGTATCTGCAGTGGCGATTTGCCAATGCAAGAGCAGATTCCGCTTTCATGGTGCAGAGACTGAGTTCAGAGGTATCCCTCTCTTTTACATTACTGCATTTATGCTATGTAAACAATTTTGGATTGTATGGTTGTGCCTGCTTGGATCTTTAGTGCTTTAAGCAACTGCAGCAGACTTAGGGAAGGCATGGTAAATGCTTAGGCCTCTAAAGTGCGCATTTCTTTATAAGCAATGAACACGATTATTTAATCTATCAACAGGGCATACTTAATACTTCTCTTGTACGAGGAGAGCCCTAATGTTAAGCCTCTTGGTCCTAGAGTAGTGTTTGATTTAGCTGTTGTGCGTGCCTTTTCTACGTTTTGCCCGATTCTGCTGCAATGACACAGATGAATGGATGAATGAGAATAAGAATGATAAATTTATGATAGGATATTCCTATAGATAGCTGAGTCATTGATTTGGTCCATTATAGTGAAGACACGATTTCATTTTTTTTTTACAGAGAAACCTGTGGAATGCATGGGTATCAATCTCGGAATTGCGCCATTCTGTCACTCTGGAACGGATTAGGTTGCTCTTGCTGAGGCAGAAATTGAAACTAGCTTTCATCTTGAAGAAGCAGGTAAGCATGTGAACTTCAAGCAATTTTATAATTTTTATCTTGTAAACAAGAAAGGTTTCCATGTCTAAATTCCGTACCTTATAAATTGATGGCACCATCTAAAGGAATGTGGCTTATTCTTTCTAAAGTTGTAACAGTATATGCAATTCTAACTACTCCATAGTGATAACTGCACCTCTTCTGTCCTACAAGTTAATGTGGAATGTTGATGGTTGTTTTTGTTAGGTACATTTTTTAGTTCTGCTTCTGGAAGTTGGTATCGTTTAGCGCTTAAAATCATGTTCACAATAGCATTCTAAATCGGTGACAAGAAAACACGTTAAGGAACATGAAATCATGTTTATTTCAAAGTGCAAAACTTTCGACGTGTGTAATTGAAAATGACTTGTTTTTGAATAATTATGTTTGTTATTACTATATTGACGCTAACGGCATCGGCGTATTTGGAAATTGTAGATGGGCTGTCTAGAAGAATGGTCTCTTCTGGACAGAGATCATTCAAATTCTTTGTCAGGAGCAACTGAAGCCTTGAAAGCCAGCACGCTTCGTCTTCAAATTATTGGAAAAGCTGTGGTGAGTGCCTCTTTGCATGACTCTGATATGTTTGTTTTGTCTTATTTAGTATCCTTAGGTAATGAACATTAGATTCCATTTTCTTCATGTTTTTTTGTGTTGTTAGGTTGATATTCAAGATCTCAAGCATGCTGTTAGTTCAGCTGTTGATGTCATGCACGCTATGGCGTCTTCCATATTCTTGTTGACCTCAAAGGTAAAATGACTCGTCTTAGTGATTACAACGTGAATGTTGACTAAGGAACCTTAAATCCTCTAATTGCTTGTGATCTTATCTCCTTGCCACTTTAACCTTAGAATGGAAACTCACTATTGCCCGTTCTTATATGCATATGTTCAAAACCAACTTTTGTTTCTAAAAGACTGAATTGTTTCGAGTAATCAAAGCCAGTTTTTTGCTCTGGTCAGAAACAAGAATCTGTTTGTTTGTCAATGTACTTGTCTTGAGTTGTTTCTATATGAACTGTTCGTGTTAGTGGTCCATACTTTTATCCCCGCTTATCTTGGTGCATCTTTCTTCTGTCGTTGGTACTTGGTAGGTAGATGAAATGAATTCAGTGATGGCGGAAATGGTGAATATCACAGCAAAAGAAAAGGATTTGCTCGAACAATGTCAAGGATTCTTATCAAGAGTAGCAGCTTTGCAGGTTGAAGAATGCTCTCTCTGCTTTCTGCTTGCAGCTTTGCGTTTTCTTCCTGCTCAGCTTTTTATAAGCTAATCAATCAAAGCTTCTTGATAGGTTACGGAGTGTAGCATGAAGACGCACATAATACAACTAAGCCGGATACAAACCAACCTGACTTGACAAAGTGTAGAAACTGATCTTCTCACCACTCACCGACTCCACAACGTGATTCCCCTAACAGTGTTCTACATTCCCACGGCCTTTATCGTTTTCAACTGGATTAAGGTGAGAGATTCTTGGGGATATCTGTTTCTTTACGTAAGTTCTTGTTTCGGAGATTTACATGAAGAGTAAAAGGTAAAAAAATAGAATGTGGTGTTTGTTTTATGTTACCTGTGAAGTTTAGCTTTAATTGTATACAGAGAAGCTTTCTAATGAATTTTTGCCTTTTGTTCTCTATAATGAAGAGAGAAGAAGTAAGTGTACATAAAAAAGGAAGGTTTTTTAACTTTTTCATTAATATCTGTCTGATCACTTGCTGGCTCACCGATTTGTCATGTCGTTTCTCCTTATGGTTATGTATTGTCGTTCCTTCTTTTTGTGTGTAGACTTCTTGTCGTTTTTTTTAGCGCCGCATCAGTGCGTTTAGAGTACGACTACGTTGGTTTTTGTCATTTTTGTGCTTAACGAACCAGACAAATTACGTCATTCTTCTTATATGTTAAGTACAACCAACAGAGACACCAAGACTTGGTGACCAAGTGATGGGATTTTTTTATTTATAGTAATTATTATTATATTTTTAGATAGACAATAGGAACAAAAATAAAGCCTATTTTAAAGGGTGTGTTTGGATAAGATTATATTTGGCAACACGTCAAGAACATCATCACAGTTTATATGCAAAATGAATACGAATGGAATGTATTCAAATTGGTTATTGTATTAGTATTTCAGTATTCTCATTTATTATCTCAGTAAAGTCTTAAGTTTCCTAACTTTTTTTTCTACTTGTCATTTACATACTTCTCTTCCAAAGAGTTTGATTCTCTTTTCTAACAACTTCTCACTTTATTTCTAAAATAAAATCTTCGATGATGTAAAAAGAGTATTGTTGTGTTCTTTTGGCAAGATATCACAGCACCGCCAAACGAAAATGGCACTCACTTTAAAATTAAATAATTCTGTCTTCCTGTGTGTGGAAAGAAATAGAATATGCTGAAATTTAATAAAACACATAATCAACTGTACAACATATGTGAATATGTGATATGTGGTTCTATCGAATTAGTGACGCGTATTAATGAATGACTTAACACTTAATAACGTGTTTGGTTCTCATTAGTGCGATTAGGTAGAAACCGTACACGAGCGTATACAGTTTCTATCTCTCTGATTTCGTGTCCTCTTCAGTAGAATCGAAGCAAAGCAAACAAAACCCGCTATTAAACGATCGATTAATTAGATGTTTAAGCTGAAAAAAAAGCAACAATATCTGGTAAGAAATTAGGCTTTGGTTAATATTTAGTGGGCAAGGAAGTTACATACCTTAAGTACATACCTAAGAACCAATGCACAGATTCGTGGTCACATCTCTATTTATGATTCGAACAAAAAATTAAATAATGATGCATGCATTGCTAAAACGCATGTGCAATTAATTATGATTCAATACGAATAAAGAACAAAAATAAAGCTAGGCAATACACTCTGGTTTAGTGGCCAATAACCACATCGGAAGGTATGATAAAGAATAAATATACAGTTTCTTTATTAAAAAAAATTGAAAATTGTTATTTATGGACCAAACTAAATAATACATGTGGTAAATGCTAATGAAGGCAACGAATCCACATGGAAGGATTCTCGTTCCCCAACTATTTCTGCTCTGTGTTCACACACAGAATGCCACGTGTCCTATATTATACAGAGTGGACTCGAGAGATTAGCTAACAATAAACCGAATTCCTGACTAAATCAATCATCAATCAAATTTGTATCAATCCCTAAACATGTATGAATAATCCAATCGAAAGTTGTAACAAAAGAAAAAAAAATGAAACTATATGGTTTTTAACGAAAAATTACAGAAGAATTCTTATGTATAATAGACGAAATTGTTTAGATTTTCAGAGAGAAATCTTCTTTCTTGATGACTTGGTCGCGATAGGTCAACAAAAGCGGTTTTTTACCGGTCAACGGGCTTTGTATCTCTTCGTCGACGACTGGATTGTGATGAAGACTGAGTTCCGGTAGCGCCGGGAGGTTTAGATCGATGAATCCACGGTGGCTCCGTTCTTCCGATACCGTACTTGACACGCTTCCACTGTGGCTGATCGATTTGCTTCCTCCGCCGAGGTTGCCTTCGTAGTGACAACGTTTATGACCACCGAGAGCTTGACCAGTCGGAAACACTCGATTGCAGATTGAGCACTCGTGGATCTTTCCGGAGGGAGCGATGGTTGTTGTGGAATTGGGATTTTTGTCTGCGGCAACGGCGATGCTCGGAGCTGTTGTTGAATCATCGGCGGTTGTGTTTGCGGTCGGAGGTTTGATTCGGTGACTGGCTTTGTGGCCCCCTAAAGCTTGATACGAAGGAAACGCTTTCCCGCAAACGCTACACTTGTACGAAACCTTTGTCGATTCTTGTGGCGGCGGTGACGGTTGAAATCGCGTCTGCGTTTGGTGATCAGAGGGTTGATCTTTGGCGAGCATGAGGAGACACAGAGCGAGATACTCTTCCTCTGTGAGATCCTGGTTCTCAGTTTTCGGTCGAGATCGAGGCGGTGAGGAAGACGATGAAGAAGGGCTGTGAGAACGCTGGCGTTTCGAGCGTTTGCGTTTCAGCCAAGGCTCCATGAAAACGGCGTCGCTCATCAAATCATCAGTCGCTTCGATTCTGTTTTTCCGGATGGTGAACGAAGTCGGAGAATTCATCGCTTCGAGAGCCATAGAGAGAGAGAGACGAATCTTTTCTTCTTCTGTTTGAGATGAGAAAGTGAGAATTTTTCTGAGAGTTTATCGCGAATTGTTGAGAGAGAAAGAGAGAGAAAATGGAGTGAAGTGCTTGAGAAAATGTTTGGACTCTGGTTTTATATGGAAAACACGTGGCGGATTGGTTTAAGTCGGTCAAATTTTTATCCTTTATTGTCATTCATACTCTGTTACTTAAGAGGCCTAAACACTATAGTAAATATGGAAGATTGTAAGGAAATTTTCTTTTAAGTGAAAAAATAAATTATAATATCAACAATGATTTCATTATTATTGCATTACATGTTAGCTCTTTATTATGTGTCAGATAATAACATCAGAAGGTGCTACAAATGTGCAATGGGATGAAATCTATATTTAACTACCAAATCAGATTTTAACATTTGGATTTTGTTAACACATTATAACACTTTCATATTTCTATATTTTGTTTAATTTTATGAAAAAACCATAGTGGCTAGTATATTCATTTTAAACTTCCAAAATGAATTTATTTTAAATAAGAAAAGAATCTTAGAGTGTAAACTAAATTTGACCAAAGAAACTAAAAGAAGTATCGCTGAAATTACTGTAAAATACCGGGATTTTGGTCACGGCTGACCTAACAAGGTATAGTCATCAAGAGTGAGAGACCGGTTCAAAGTCAAAAATTAGAAAAGTAACAAATTGGTAAACCCAAAAATAGATGTTAGCTAACATAAAAATTAAAATTAAATTATAAAAAAAGGAGCATACCTTTCCCGTGGAGCTGACTTATGTGTTGGCTACGCGCCACGAGTCGTGTGGGGCACGCCTTAAACCAAACGCGTACACGCCTAATTACGTTTTTTTTGGGTTTCTAATCTTCCTAAAGATTTATCAATTTATATCAAAGATTATTTTTCATTATCTTTGAGCCTGATCTCAACAATTTATTAATCTTTCTCGCATGGCAAGAATCACTAAGTAATCATTAATGTATTAAATTTTCTCAGATTTTAAATATTCGTATTATGATTTATGAAACACCTGGATTATACTCAAAATACGTAGGAATAAAAATCAAGGAAATAAACTGAATGAAGTTATAACAGAGAGAAAAAAAAGGAAAAGAATGTTGAGCTAACTTCAGTGGAGTTGAGTGTAGGTGAGGGAAAAAAATTGGGTGTGGCGTGGCGTACCGTATTAGCAACGAAAACGGGGAGTGAAAATAGGACACGTGGGAGTTCCGTTACCGCTTGTAGGCCGATGTCACTTTGTTGTTATACCCAACAAGCAAAAAAAAAAGTGGACGTGATTTATCCAAACGCGTTGGCGGAGACGTCACGTGGCGACGTTTACACGTGTCGTCACGACGGCTAGACAAAACAGCTTTGAGAGGAGGAGAGACATTTTAAGACGCTTTCTCTGTTTCTAATCTTCTTCTCTTTTGCTTGTGCAGAATATGGGCCTTTGTTTACTAGCCCATTCAGCCCCGTGCACTGAATATGTAAGGTGAATCAGACATTTATCGGTCCAGCTTTGAATTCTTTGATGCGTTGACACTTGACCTCGATAGTCAAAAGAGCATACCCAACTTCATATTTGATTTTTGTTTTGATATTTTTTTTTTAAATATAAAATATTCTCTAATTTAGCTTAAAGAAATGAATAAATTTGATTCAAATCTAAAAATATACGATTCATTTTATTCACATTTTGAAGGTGAAATTTTTATTTACAAAATAAGTCTTCAAATTTTGTATGTTTTTATTTTATACCATATAAAATTAATATTCTTGTTTGAACCAATAAATTTATAAATTCTGTGATTATTTTATTCAACTAACTTATAAATTAAGCTGCAGTGATAGTATATACAAATAAAATTATAACATCATAACCAACATAGAATTTAAGACACATAATCAATTGTAAAATTGAAGATAAATAAAAATTTAAAATGATATGCTCATAACTTAATAACCTGGTAAACCATTTCCAGATCTAGTAGTATGATTACTATAATATTATTAATCTTTGATTTTATTGAAAATTGTTAAAAACAAAATAGAGTAAGTGAGTTTAAAGTTATAGAACCATTATAGAAACAAAAAGTATATAGTATTTTTAAAATTATTGCTAAAATGATAATTTAACATATTGTTTGAGAAAAAATAAAGCTTGACTTAGAGAAAAATTTGATTCATTTTAAAAGAAATTTTATTGTTTAAATGGATAATTTAAGCTGGGTTGGAGATGCTCTGAGTGAAATATTGTTGAAGATTTACTACTAAAATGTTTGTTTAAATAATTTACTATTTAAGTATACTCAAATTTCTAGTTTGTGTAAATATTTGTTTTTGGCTCAAATTTTGTTTTATTCAATTCATCTTATAATTTTAAAAGAAATTTCATTTTTCCTGTTTATTGACTTCGTTTATTTGTATTCTGTATAAAATAAGAAAAGTTTGGAAATAAATAAATCAAATAATTTTTGGTCATTTGAATTTCGTTAATAAAATTTCCAATTTACAAATTATATAGTCAATAAGTATAAATAAATAGCCTGAATTAGGTGATAGCATAGATGCGAATTGTTGCCATGAAAAGAAAAATAACTGATTTTTGTTGGTTTCGTAGTGTTGAATAGATTATAGATCTAATTTGAATCAGCATACGAAAGATAATTTGAATTCAAAATCAAAACCCACTCTCCCTACTCTCTCTTTCTCTCTCTCTCTCTCTCTCTCTCTCTCTCTCCGGAACCCTAGCGGTTGTGATCTTCAACGGGAAAGGAAAATGACTTCGGCTCCGTCCGCCGGTCGCGAGCTCCTGAACCCGCCGTCCGACGGCATTTCGAATCTCCGATTTTCCAATAACAGTAACCATCTCCTCGTTTCTTCATGGGATAAGGTTAGAGAAACCTTCTCGCCTGATTAGATTGAAGTCCCTCTTTCCTTTCACCTTAAGCTTTACTTGTTCTGTGTGTTTTGAATTTGTAAGCGTGTGAGATTGTATGATGTGAGCACCAATTCGTTGAAAGGCGAGTTTATCCACGGCGGCCCAGTCCTCGATTGCTGTTTCCACGACGATTCCTCCGGTTTCAGCGTTGGCGGCGACAACAAAGTCAGACGGTCTGTATCTCTTTACATCTCTCAAATTTGTTCATTTCTACTTTTATTGGCAAGTGCTCATAAATGCCTTTGTAATTTCCTTTAAAGTCACTCGCTTTCCATTCTCTGGGCTATTACTTGGTTCAGGATTGTTTTCAATGTTGGCAAAGAGGACATTTTGGGGACGCATGACAAACCAGTGCGCTGTGTTGAGTATTCTTACGCTGCAGGTATGGTAGAGTCGTTAATCATGCTCTCTTCATGTCTAGCAAAACTCAATAGCTAAGCAATGGCCTATTCAGTGACATTGGATAGTGAACTCAAATATCTGGTTTCAGCATTTTTGGTTCTTTATGTTGTTATGTGATGGTGTTACAGGGCAAGTGATCACTGGGTCATGGGATAAAACAGTAAAGTGTTGGGATCCGAGAGGCGCTAGTGGGCCGGAACGGACTCAGGTGGGAACGTACTTGCTGCCAGAGCGTGTTTACTCTCTGTCACTTGTTGGACATCGTTTGGTGGTGGCGACTGCAGGAAGGCATGTCAACATCTACGATCTCAGGAACATGTCTCAGCCTGAGCAGAGAAGGGAGTCTTCACTCAAGTACCAGACGAGATGTGTTCGTAGCTATCCTAATGGAACAGGTTATTCTGACTGACTGAATGACTTATTGCTTTCTCTGCTTCTTTCTTGGTTATAACTCTCTCTTCCTTGTCTTCCATGCTTACAGGGTATGCGCTTAGCTCTGTTGAAGGAAGGGTTGCGATGGAGTTTTTCGATTTATCAGAGGCTGCTCAAGCTAAAAAGTATTTTTGTTTTTTCCTTCTCGTCTTCTTCATCTTGTCTCTTTGTCCATGGCTTTGACTTACAGATATATATTTGAAACTGTTGTCAGATATGCTTTCAAATGTCACCGGAAATCCGAGGCTGGAAGGGACATTGTTTACCCTGTGAGTGCCATTGCCTTCCATCCCATGTGAGTTCTTATCTTAGAATGAGTCCACTGTTTCTTAGATTTACTACTACTGAGGAAAAGAACAAATGGACTTTAAAGGCTTTTTCCAAGTTGCATTGTATGCTATGTTCGCAAACAATTCCTGTAACTATTTTGTTTTTGAGTCTATTATTCTAGAATCAACTATAATGATAAAAATCATAATGCTGAGATTCTTCCACACTGTTCTGCATAATCATCTGTGATTCTTTGACTGCAGTTATGGCACCTTTGCAACTGGAGGATGTGACGGTTTTGTCAACATATGGGATGGTAACAACAAGAAGAGGCTCTATCAGGTTTTGTAAACGACCATATCTTCTTGCTTTCATATTTTCTCAGTGTTTCTACAAGTTTGACGACACAAAATGTATCATTTGGTCTTTGTTTCTTTTGCAGTATTCAAAATACCCTACAAGTATCTCGGCACTGTCATTCAGTCGTGATGGTCAGCTACTGGCTGTTGCTTCAAGCTACACGTTTGAAGAGGGAGAGAAATCGTAAGTATCTTTTTTCCCCCTTTTAAACTTCCTGAAACAGAATGATTTGAGCATAGTTTTTGATTGGATGCTTGTAGAGAATAACAGAGCATTTGCCCATATAGAGAAACTAAACTTCATAGCCTGTTTCTTGGTCTGACAGATTATATCACAAACAATTCAATGCTTAAACCACACACTGAAAATTAGTCATGAAGTCTTAATGATTGAGAGCTAGTAGTTAGAGTTTCAAGATAAAACCACCTGCTTTTGAGATATTCTTCTTTTTTCGTATTTGGTTTGGGGTTATAAATCTCTTGTGTGTGTGCGGTTTTTACAGGCACGAACCAGAGGCCATCTTTGTAAGAAACGTTAATGAGATCGAAGTGAAGCCTAAACCCAAAGCATACCCAAATCCTGCGGCTTAGTAAGGAAGAAATAGAAGCAGTCCTCATTTCTTTTCCTTTTTCTGGTTGTATAGAGTGAATGCTGTTTTAGTTCACTTGGCTTTGAGGATCTATTACCTATAGACTTTAGATTAATGAGAAGGAGATGGTGTTATCTAGTCAAACTATCTTTGCAAAAAAATAAATGTTGCATTTCTTGCAAATGGACGAGATTTACGAACAAAACTTCCAATGCTTAAAAAGAAAAGAAAGAGGTTTTCTACAGAATGATATCATTCTACAGATGCTTCGTCGACACGATTGAATTTAATCTCTTGTAGCAGCAACCTCACGTCCTTTGACTCCAACTCTTCTTCGACTCTGAAGAACTCACGGTGAACTTCTTTGAGTAACTTCAAAATATTGGCCAATCCACCGTCGTTTTCACTCTCGTCTGTCTTCTCCTCAGCGTAAGACTTTGACGCTTGTTGACCCTTATATCTAAAATATTTGTACTTGCTAATGTCCACCAAGTTACTCTTGTGATCGTTCCAAACATCACGCGTATCATCCACAATCACAACTCCACGCTCATCAGCCAAAACCAAATCAAGCGTCTTGTAATGAGGACTCTCGTTTCTTGTTATCACTCTATAACCGAAGTAGATTCTGTTGGGATCAATCAGCTCCAAGATGGCTTTAGCGTAAAAGCGACTACCCTTTGTGTAAACATACATTGTGAACATCTCGTTGGCTTCTCTCAAGAAGTCGTGAACAAAAGGCCGTAGCTTTGTCAAGTATTCAATGGGATATCTTTCGACTTTCATCTTCCATAGATCTTGCCTTGTTGTTCTTGTTGTTGAACATGTTTCTCCGAGTAGATACTTCTCTTGTTGGGAGAGACATGGAACCCTAACGGCGTGTAGAAGCGTGTGGTCCAAGTCAAGAACAAGATGAAGCTTCTTGTCGTTGAGGCAAGAGAATTTCGTCGTGAGGCGCTTCGTTAACGCCACAGCTTCGTGGCTTAGCTGCAAACCTTCGAATAGGTAATCGAATGGTAGGTTTTCGCGTTGGTCCACCGTTGATTTGCAGCCGACGCAGACTCCGTGATGAACGTACCAGTGACCACAACTATTAGAAGACGACGAGGACTCGCTGATCTCCTCCGGTTCGATCGTCGTCCTCTGCCTTTTGGATTTCGGTTCTAGAGAAAGATTTTCAACTACGCACATGATTTCTATGATTGGAGAGATTTGTGAGCGAATTCACCAAACTCAAATCTAGAATAAAACCTTTGAAAGTAATCGAGAAAGGAAAAAACAACCCTGATTTGATTTAAAATCTGGACAGGAGAGAAAGAGTAATGGTTTTAACACGACTTATATAGTCTCACTCTTTAGTTTCGGTTCGGAATTACCAAAATACGGAAATCTTAATTTTGTTTGTGCTAAATCTTTGCTCTCCTACTGATATTTTTGGCAGCCTTATCTTTTGCTAATTGAATATTTAAAACTTTAAACCGTTTCTCTACCATATGAATGAAGAGGAACAAATAAATAAAGAAGAATAAAAGAAGAGGAATTATTGTTCATCTCCAAATATATATTTTGATTTTTTTTTTGTTTTATAATTCCTTTTAGAATGAGGAATGAGAAATGAGAAGAATTGATATAGAAAAAAAGGTTCCATATAAATGGTAAAAAGTTTAGGAATGAAGAGGACTTCATTATTCTCCTCGTTCCCTTGGTCACCATTCACACTCTTATTATCACACAGATTACTTCGAAATAAATAAATGGAGTATACATTTGTGTATCATATGAAAATAATATTTCAGACCTTAGTAAATAGATCCATAAAATGAGGCCTAAAACTACCAACCGTTGTATAATACTTTCTTGCTCGAATGTGACGTCTCGCTTCATCTTCTTTGTAATTGTAATCAATCTCTTTACTATTAATCGAGAAGTACATTTAAAAAAAAAGACAAAAAACCCATAACTTTTATGAAGGAAAACTGTTTGTATACAAGGATAACAGGGGTTAAAAGTGGCAAAAAAAAGCTAACTCGGCTGAGTTGACTCGGTAACTCGCGAATAGCCCACCCGAATAGCTTTAAATCGAGAATAACCCACCCAAATAGATTTGGTAAAGGACGCGGATCTTTATCACTTAAATCAAACCGTGTTTGTTGCTTTTTTGTTTACCAATTTGATTCTATTAAACCAAAAACTGAATTTTACTAAACCAAAGATTGAGAAATAGAAACCTATCGGCGATAATGACATTATCAGAAAACTTTCCCTTTTTCAATTCTAAGAAAATCTACCAAAAAGAAAAATTAACATAATTTATGATAATACCAAATCAAAAAAACCTTGATAATCAAGAAATATCATCGATATAAACCCTATCTACCTACTACTATATAATTTGTGATGACCGTCTGAGGCTTCTATGCCTAAATTGATCGGTGATGGAACAATCATCGCTTGCTAAAAGCTTGAGATGAAAAGGATGAGCGAGCAGGAAATCTCCATAGCCTCTTTTTCCAATTAATATTCCAAAGCTATTGGTTTTGTGAAATCAGTGTCGCTGGAAATCGGATAACAGCAATCAGTCGAGAATTTGAATCCAGTAACACGGCGATCCAGATTATACCCAAAAATCTGCCACCACAATTAATCGAAGAACCGCCGTCGTTAACTAGATTAATTGGCGAAGATGCAGCCCTGTCTGGTTTTTGTTGAGTTTCGCAGTGTAGTTGGTAGGTGAGCTGTTACCGGATTGTTGAGATTTTGATGGGGGTTACCGGGACGGAGAGATTTTGATTGGGGAGTTACCGGAGACAGAGCAGGTGTTAAAAGGGCTTCCTCTGACAAGGAAAATAGAAAATCGATTGCTTAGTGGGATTTTGGTAGAGATAATTCTCAACATCTACAATAAAAGGAATTCACCAAGGAAGAAAACGAAAGCAATTTTGCAGAAGAAAGAGAGGTGAGAGTAAGAGCGAAATTGAGAAACCAACATTTTCGAAAAGGAGACCCCATTGAACCTTAATATGGGTTTCGAACAAGAACCCAGGACATGACAACCCAGAAGCTCAATGACGAAGATTTATGTTCTTCTTCAACAAAGTACCGTTTTTTTATAATAAAGGGAAGAAGTTACCAGTGAAGTTTAGGAGTTTGATGTTAGCTTGAACACGATCGGCGAAGAAATCGGCGCAATTAGGATCCAATTCAATGACTTTGGAATACAAGTCCACATCAATTTCCAAGTCGTCGTCTACGAAAGCCTCATGTGCCTTGGACGTAAGTTCCTTAGCCATATCAGAGAAGAAGACGATACAATTGAAGGAAGGCAAGATTGTTCTGTTGTTCAAAGGATCAAAGTATATGTAGAGATGGGTCAATGGAGAAGATGGGATCAAAGTATATGCATAAACTCAATTAGAGAAAGAAAGCAAAGTACAGGTTTTTCGGTGGAGAAAGGGGAAGGAAAGTGATGATGTCTCTAAGATGGAGAAAAGGAGAACACGTGTCTTTGTTTCCCTTTTTTATTTGTAATTTTTTATATATGTCACAATAAACTATAAAAAATAACAACACTGGTCACATTTCATGTCGGATTTGGATCGGGTCTTTGGGCTTTGGTTTTTCAAATTTATAGATATAGAAACTGTAGTCTTTTTATATTTTGGTTTAGCTTCGGTTAAGTTTTTTTACGGGTTTAGTTCGAGTTTTTTCTGGATTCTTTGGGTTTTTTGAAGATTTTTCAGATTTAAATACAATGTACTATTAAGATACAACCTTAAAATGCATAATTTTGGTTTAACGTACTACTAGGATTAACACGTACCTAATCATTCCTTTTTTAATTTCAGTTTGGATATGGATTCAGGTTTCGGGTGAAAGTTGGAGACTAACCTAAAACTATCAACTATCTAACTAAACATAATAAAAAACTATAAGAGATGATTAAAATATAAATTTATTGATTAAACTATTTGTATTTTTTGATAAAAAAATATAACATACTACTAATATTAATTATGCATTTTAAGGTTAAAATTTTAGTGGAAAAGGAATTATATTTTTTTTACAAATCACAATGTCACACCGCACAAACGTGCGGGTCCACTACTAGTTAACTAACACAAAGTTGAAGAATAAGAAGAAGAAGAATAATGACGTGTTAGAGATGAAATTAACACATTTCCCTGAGCTGTCATCAAAAATTATAGAGGCCCAATTCAACTTTAGTCTTAACCTCTTCAACAAATTGGTAAAGCTTGAGGAGAAAGGCATAATCTTTGGGAAAATGTAATAATCCATGCCGACTCGAAGAATGGAAGGAAATCAAGAATAATAGTAAATATTCTAAATCGCAAAGAGGAAGTTTTCCATCTCGCCGAAAAAGAAAATATTCGCTGAGAAGCTGACCTATTAACACTATATAATGAAAACCCCCCATTCCTGGAAAAGGATCGAAAATCATCCGCAAATCAACTGAAGAACCCTAAGCAATAACAATCTTTTCAATTATCTTTTGTTCATTATTCATCCTCTCGTTAAGCCTGATCTCATTTTACCTGAGTTAATAAAGCCTCCCAATTCCCTAAACTCAATTTTGAATACTTGCTCTTTAGTGTGCTATTGACGCAAGGAAAAACGTGTTCTGCTTTTTAGCTCCAATATATATTGTAAATTTGTGAGATTGTCACGTCTTTAAATCCATGATCCTCGCACCTTTTTTATTTTCCTTTGTCGAAAACTATACCCTTATCAAACAATACTAGTTTTGATAGTAACAATACATTCGTTCTTTTTAATTACAAACGTTTCTCGCAAGGTTATTTTAAAATAAGCACATAAACATTACTTACAATACACGTAATGGAAAATAGAGGTAAGTAGATGTGTATGCATGCAGTGCGGTGCGAAGGCTTGTAAGGGCCTAGGCCAAATTTAAAGTATACATTTTCATATATTTTATAATAATAATTGTAACAATTTTTATAAAAATATTCAATTACTAAATAAATAAACCATTTACTTCGGAAGGTAGACAGATTCGAACTCGGGCTGTGGCTGTGATATAGATTCGAACCAATGATTTTTGGATATTGGGGGCTCCAAAGTATATATTATAAGTCGGGGCCTGAGACTAATGCCTTTTTCACAACACTGTAAGCACGGCTCTGTATGCATGTAATGTAAACAGTCAATGACAGTTTGTCGTTTCGCCGATTAGTTTGGCGATAGCAGAGTAAGTCCCGCAGCAACCACTAACAATGCCGATGATTATGATGAAAATGCAAACTCCGATCTGAAAAAAAATTCAATAGTTTTCCAATATCAACTGAGATCATCAAAATTTGCTCAGAATGATCAAACTGATATTGAAGCGAAGATGGAGCATTATATCTTACGTCAGTGTTCGTTAATCGATCCTTGGACAATCTGAGATAACAGAGGCACGGGAATATAAAAGCCTATAAAAGAAATTTAAAAACGAGAAAACAAAGTTTAGTTTGATTATTAGGTTTAGAAATAAAGGGCAGTGACTAGTGAGATAAGTTAGTTCTTGGAGACTTACGATAAGCATTGCAATAAAAGATCCGATCAGAGCCGCAACAGTCGCTGTCATGAGGTCATTACAACATTAAGAACGAGGTTTCTTGCGCAGGAAGTTAGGGTAAAAGGAGACGAGGAGAGACGTTACCGAAGAATGGAAATACGAGTGCAACCACCAAAGTAGAGAGAACTAAAATGGTTCTGAAAATCAAAGAGACCCCTTTGGATCTCTTCTTTTCCGAATTCGAACAAGGCAAGATTTCTTCCAAGCTTAGCACGACTGGGGTAATTGTTAATGCGTATTTCATCATTGGTGTAACAGCCTAAAATGATTTGTGTTTTTTTAAAATGAATGTAATATATATGGAGAAATATGGGAATGCCGAGTTTAATTAAAACAATTATCGTACAGCTGTCCATATTGCGATTTTAGATGATGTAAATTGTTGAGGCAAGTTCAGTGTAAACTGAGATTGAATATCGTCACCAAACATGGTGTATCCACAAACCGCTATACCGATGTAAAACAGTGTGGAGAAGCCGAAACTGCATAACGTGAAAGCAAAAAAAAAAAATATATATATATATATCATTAAATAAGTAAATGAAAAAAGAAGAACCCTAGAGGCTAGAGGTTTCTTGTTGGGGAAGAAAATGTGATTTACCTGGTGAGAAGCACCATAGGAAACTTAGATGGCTCTTTCATGGATGAGTAAATGTTTGGAAACACAGAATGACCAGTAAACCCAAACCCAAAGATCCCCACCGCGACAGGTAAGCTCGATAAATCAAGAATTTGTCCGCTATGGCGAAACCCAACTTCATCAACCGATCCTACCCAAAAGAGGCAGACCGCAAGTAAGATTGAAGAAAAGACACCTCCCGCTAGGAAAACAAAACATAGAATTAAATATAGTGTTAGAATATCCTACATGAGAAATGAAGATGATTCAACACTTGCATATAAAAGAGAAATGAAATTAATGTTTCTATTTATAGCCAGTTGCTTTTGAGTTAAAAGCCCATAAAAAAAACTAAAATACAATCAAACCTGAGAGGTAGGACAATAAGCTAAGGTCTTTGAGCCAGACTGTAGGAAGGACAATAAAAGTCGTCACGATGGCAAACATCTGAGTAGAATTTAGAGAAATTCCAATGATATTCAATGAGGTCATAGGAAACAATCCTGACAAGTTATCACTCATCATGATTATGTATTCCACACAACATCCCTATAAAACCAAGAAACTAGGTGAAATTGGTTTCGTAAAGATCTAACTTTAAAACCGTAACGACTAACTAGTACTTACATATAACTCCAAGCACAAAAGTATCTGCGGATGGATTGATGGAGAAAAGGACCAAAGTATCAGTTATCAGATCTTATACAAAGAAACCTAACCTATATAAATATTAAATGAGGACAATTACGGAGATTAAGATGCGTCCAGTGGTTCCGAATGCAGCTTGACCAATGTCTAAGTAGGTGTGGAGTCCATGAGAGGTCTCGAGACATCTCTGCAGGAGAATACCTGTGTAGCAAGTGATGATGCCAAAGCAGAAGAGAAGGAAAAGCCCGAGCCATCCTCCTTCTTTTACTGCGTAAGGGATCGTAAGTATCGCTACTCCGCAAAGTATGTTGATTCCTGCAATATTTAGGAAGAACATCAACACACATTTTCTTGTTACATGAGGCAGGTTAGGTATTCACTCACGGTTACCGATTTTAGGATTATTTATTACCGTTGAGAACAGATTGAAAGAACGTCGCTGTTCGATTTTCTTCTAAAAATGAAAGATCCGGGACCGACATAATTGCCGAGTATTTATGACTATTATCATCTTTTTTTTTTTTTTTTTTTTTTTGAATAGTAAGTGAATATTATCATCTTTGTCTAGAAGCAGTTGTTTGCTACCGTATGAAGAAAACAAATCTAAAACCGAGCTTTGTTGCTTCTTGTTGAAGAAAGAGATGAGACTTGTTGTTGACGGAGGTGTAATTCCGGTCAACATATCCACAGATTTTCTGAAACTCTCACACAGAATAAGTAAAACCTATAAAATTTAACAATTCTTTTTTTCTTTTTCTGATTGACAAAAACAGAAGATCTTTGTGATTACCTATAACTTTGTGGCCACTGATCGCCATTTGAGTTGCTTCGGGATAACGGAGACGATGATGACGAACCTGCAGAGCTATCATCACCTGAAAGCTCTGCTTGGCTTTCTTCGTCGTCTGTCTGAAACAAACTTCTTCCCTTTCTTGCTCAAAAATTTCTTCTTGCTTCATTTTAGTGGCGCGTTTCACAAAAAGAAAATGTCAATAAATAGGAAATGTTTTGTGTTCTCCGAGCTTTTGTTATGTGAGCTTTATTAATAGAGACATGAAGTGAAATTTACATATAGATTTTATCACTGCTTTGACATTTCAGTTATCATTTTCTATTCATACTGAGATTCTCGCTGCAAATAATTTTTATAGATGATGTTCTTTACAATGCGCATGGAATGCAAGTAACCTTTTCATACGTCGAAAGGGACAACGACATTTTAAGATATATATATTCTGCATATATTATATTATTTGAATATCAATTGACACCAAATTTTCCAGCGGACGTGACCTGCTCATGTAGAATTTTATATTTGGTGGTGAAAATAGTGGAATATTAACAAAAATAATATTAGAACGTTTCTGGCGATACCATTTTTTTTTTTTTTTTTTGTTAAAAGGCCTTCATTTTCTGGCGATACCATACAGAATATCATCACGTTAATCACATAAACAAATTAATATATGCATGTGATGCGAAATGAGAAATTGAGTAGCTAAGACCTAAGACGATCCATTAATTGCCTTGGGTCATCACGAAAGTAAACTTTATGAAATAAGTCTTCGTTGTTTTTTTGTATTTGAACATTTTGATATGTGGAAGAAAGATAAACAACCCGTGTTTCCCTGAAAATATTACAAAGCCCTAACTGGTAACATAAAACATCATAATTCAGCCAGATTCCGCATTCAACAATATTCAGTAGTTACCATTTAGATCCAAAATTTAGTTTAACGTTTCTGATTTCTCGCGGCATTATCTATACAACCACTTAAATTTTAAACACATAAAATAGGTACATGCATGTGATGTCGAGATATACAGTATACTGGCGAGAAACTTACAACAGCAAGTAAAAACAATTTTATCATCAAACCCATTGATCATTCCAAGCTGTATACTCGTGGTCTTGCGAATCAAATGTTCTCTTTATTGAGTAATGTGATTCGATGATTATTATTGATAGACTATACTCTGTTTATATACAGAGAAACAGAATGATGTACAAGGTAAGAAGAATATATTAGATTAATTACAATATTGACTATATTGTTATAACTAGTTTATATGGAAGTCCATTATCGGCCCATATTCTAGAATGTTTTTGTTCTCCATGTAGCATCCGTAGACCAAAGAATTGTGATTTTTCTTTAGTGTCGGTCGACACCAGGGTGGTGTCGGTCAACACCAATGGTTAAAATCGATTTCTGGTTCAATTTAAGTCAATTGAAATCCGGTTTAGGCCCGGTTTAGGGCGGAAACCCTTGGGTCTTGAATAAAAGTCGCGCAGCCGCTTCCCCTTTTCTCTGTTTTGTCGTTTTGTGGCGAGTTTGGAGAGGAGAAGAGATTTGAGGCGATTTGAGGTGTTGGTCGATCGATTCGAGGCTGGTTCGTCGTTGTTTCGGAGCCTGAGTCATCGTTGGTGGCTGCTGCGTCGCTATTCTTCGTGTCCTTCGTCAGATTCATCATCTTCAATCCGATTTCCCCTCTTTTCAACCTAAAATCGAGGTGAGTGCATGACTGTGGGTCCGTGATTGCTAGATTCAGATATGTATGTGTTTCTGTGGTGATTTTGTGATGATATTGATGTTTGTTTCAGTATTTATGGTTGTTTGATTGATTTCCTGTGAATTGCGAATTTCGGGTACTGTTCATAGCCCGATCTGGTTTTCCAGAATCGGTGTCGGTCGACACCAAGCTGGTGTCGGTACACAAATGGTTAATTGATTTAATTGGTTTAATTGAAATTGTGGTTTAAATCAATTGGAATGGTTTAATGAATTGGATTGGTTTAATTGGATTTAATTAATTAATTGGTATTTAATTGATTAAATTTAAAATAATTATTTAATTATTTTAAAATATGGAAAATTATTATTTAATTATGAGAATTATTTAATAATTGAGAAATGAGTTTTAATTATTAAAATTATTTAATAATTGGAAAATGGTATTTAATAATTATTGGAGTTTATAAATATTATTAAATATCTAGTAAATTGCGTAAATGGCTCGTAGGCAGAGTGATTGCCTCACTAAGTATTTATTAAATACTTACGCAACTCCATTCCAATGTGTTGCAGGTAAAAGATTTGTGTGATCGCGGAATCAAGGCTGAAGAGGGGGATGATAGGATGTTTACTGTTTTATTGTTTTGCATTATTTGACTTGCTAGTACTGTGTTTAGGCTTGCTAGTATTTTTTAATTATTTATTTAATTTATTTGTTGAACCTGATTTATTATTTATTTAAAGTTGGTTGAATTGGTTATTTAATTTAGGACAGCTAGAATTGCTAGGCTTAGTATCATCCCCTTCAGCTAAAGGAGATTCCGCGGTGAGTTTTGGTGTTTGTTTTTGTGTTATTGTCTAGTTGCTCATGTTCGGGTCCATGCAGTGAGATGGACGGAGCTCCTAGAGGTCGTGGCGCGAGAGGGCGCGGTGCTAGAGTTGGCCGTGGCGGCAGAGCTGGTGGTAGAGCTGGAGGCCGAGCAGGCCGAGGTCGTGGTCGTGGACTTCCGGAGGAGTCGGGAGAGAGTGCGGCACCGAGTGTGCATACTGCGTCGGTGACCCAGTCAGTTCCGTTGGCGGGTGATGCCAGTGCGAGTGTTGGTTTGGGAGCGGGGGCTGCTCCGGGTGGGGGTGGCGCTCCGGCTCCGGGTCGTGATGACTTAGTGGTGGGGTTGCTGACGCAGCTATTGGCTCGTTTTCCGCCGGTGGTTCCACAGGGGGCTCCAGGAGTACCGCCAGTGGCAGAGGTGCAGCATGTTGCTGCAGACGTTGCGCAGCCGGAGGCTGTGGGTGCGGGTGTGACCAGTTATTTGGAGTTTATGGGCCACATGCAGAAGATTGGTACGCCTTTCTTCGAGGGCAGAGTTGGTCCAGAGGAGGCAGACGCGTGGCGTCAGAGAGTGGAGCGGAACTTTCATTCGATCCGTTGTCCGATATGGAGTACTGGGTGGAGTTAGCGGTCCACTATTTGAGTGGCGATGCTCATTTGTGGTGGCAGGCCGCGGTGGGCCGGAGGGCATTTTGGACTTGGGGCGACTTCCTTGTGGAGTTCAACGCCAAGTATTTCCCGAGGCAGGCTCGTGATCGTCTTCAGATGCGGTTTATGGGCATTGAGCAGGGTTCGCGTTCTGTACGCGAGTATGATGAGGAGTTCAGCCGTCTGTTAGTGCATGCGGGCTTTGGTATGGAGGCTGAGCATCAGTTGACGAACAGATTTCTGGAGGGACTTCGCAAGGATATTCGGACTCTATGCAGGAGTAGTATGCACACTTCGAGGGCGAGTCTGGTAGAGTTGGCCGCGTCGGTGAGGCGGATCTTGGTGGGCCAGTTGGTCCGGTGGCTGTGCCGTCAGCAGTTGCTTCTGCTACCCAGCCTCGGGGTCAGCATCAGCAGCCGCGACAGCAGCAGCAGCAGCAGCGCAGAGGTGGTTCGAGTTTCAGTTCTGGTTCTGGCAGGGGCGGTTTGCCTGCGCAGGGTCAGAAGAGGAGTAGAGAGGAGTTTTCTGGTGCTAGTCAGTTTCCTCGTGGTTCGTGTTTTGGGTGTGGGAGCACGGAGCATCGTGTTTCGAGTTGTCCCAAGAGGGAGTCAGCACCGAGGGTGTGCTACTACTGCAAGGAGCCTGGGCATATCAAGCCCATGTGTCCTAAGTTGCGGAGTATGTCGGTGGCTTCGGTTCAGCCAGTAGCGGCTCAGCCAGTGAGTCAGATCGCAGCAGTGCAGCCGTTGGGTCAGATTGCACCGGCGCCGCGGGGTTACTCTTCAGTGGAGACTGGCGGGACTAGTCAGACCGGACAGATCACAGGTAAATCTTCGACTCAGACTTTGTAAATTCTTAGTATAGAATTGTTGTTGTGTATTGTCTGTTAGTCATTTTTATCTGTGATAGTCTTGTGGAGGTTCTCAACGCAATTGAATGTGTAGGGACCTTGTTAGTGGGCGGTTTTGAGTCCCACGTTTATTCGACTCTGGAGCATCGAATTGCTTCATTACACCGGAGCGTGCCGAGAAGAGTGGCATCCGGAGTAGCGCGGGCGAGAGCGCGGGCATGGTCAAGGTGGCGGGAGGTGGATTCTTGTCTACTTTGGGCCGTGCTAGAGGAGTCGAGATCGAGATTGCGGGGCAGTCAATGCCAGCAGACTTAGTCATCAGTCCGGTGGAGCTGTATGACGTTATTCTCGGGATGGACTGGTTGTCACACTACAGAGTTCATCTGGATTGCTACAGAGGTAGAGTGGTCTTCGAGCGAGATGCAGGGAGGTTGGTTTATCAGGGAGTGAGACCGACTTCCGGGAGTATTGTGATATCTGCTATTCAGGCCGAGCAGTTGTTAGTGCGGGGCTGTGAGGCGTATCTGGCGACGATTTCTATGTCTGAGTCAGGAGCTGGAGTTGTTATGGGAGATATTGAGGTTGTCCAGGATTTTGAGGATGTCTTTCAGTCACTGAAGGGATTACCACCATCTCGGTCTGATCCTTTCACGATTGAGTTAGAGCCGGGGACAGCACCAATATCGAAGACGCCTTACAGGATGGCGCCAGCTGAGTTGGCAGAGCTGAAGAAGCAGATAGAGGACCTTTTGTCTAAGGGGTTCATTCGACCGAGTGTTTCACCGTGGGGAGCACCGGTGTTGTTTGTGAAGAAGAAGGATGGCAGTTTCAGACTTTGTATCGATTACAGAGGTCTTAACCGAGTCACTGTGAAGAACAGGTACCCACTCCCGAGGATTGATGAGTTGTTGGATCAGTTGAGGGGTGCTACTTGGTTCTCCAAGATTGACTTGGCATCGGGGTATCATCAGATCCCGATAGATGAGGCAGATGTCAGGAAGACTGCTTTCAGGACGCGTTATGGGCATTTTGAGTTTGTGGTTATGCCTTTCGGTTTGACTAACGCGCCGGCAGCCTTCATGAGATTGATGAAGTGATTGTGGATCGGTTGACTAAGTCCGCACATTTCTTGGCCATCAAGAAGACAGATGGAGCTGCTGTCTTGGCTAGGAAGTTTGTGCGAGAGATTGTGAGGCTGCATGGAGTGCCAGCTAGTATTGTGTCAGACCGTGATCCCAGATTCACTTCAGAGTTTTGGAGGGCGTTTCAGGCAGAGATGGGCACTAAGGTGCATCTGAGTACAGCTTATCATCCGCAGACAGATGGTCAGTCAGAGAGGACTATTCAGACTTTGGAGGATTTGCTGAGGATGTGTGTGTTGGATTGGGGTGGCCATTGGGCAGATCACCTGAGCTTAGTTGAGTTTGCATACAACAACAGCTTTCAGGCGAGTATTGGCATGGCTCCATTTGAGGCTTTGTATGGGAGGCCATGTAGGACACCCCTATGCTGGACCCAAGTGGGGGAGCGCAGCATGTATGGAGCTACTTATGTTCAGGAGACGACAGAGAAGGTTCGTGTTGTGAGGCTGAACATGAAGGAGGCTCAGGACATAGGCAGAAGAGTTATGCAGATAGACGCAGACGAGAGCTTGAGTTTCAGGTTGGAGATAGAGTTTATCTCAAGATGGCTATGTTGAGGGGTCCTAACAGATCCATAGCAGAGAACAAGCTGAGTCCGCGATTTATGGGTCCGTTTCCAGTAGTGGAGCGAGTTGGGCCATTGGCTTACAGGCTGGAGTTGCCTGAGATTATGAAAGCCTTTCACAAGGTTTTTCATGTGTCGATGCTGAGGAAGTGTCTTCACCCTACAGAGGAGTTAGTGGCTAGGATTCCAGAGGATCTTCAGCCAGATTTGACAGTGCCGGCAGTGCCTGTGAGGATTTTAGAGAGGAGGGAAAAGGTTCTGAGGAACAAGAGGATTCCCTTACTGAGGATTTTGTGGGATTGCAGTGGTTCTACAGAGGAGACTTGGGAGCCAGAGGCAAAGATGAAGTTGAAGTTCAGGAAGTGGTTCGACAAGCAGGTCGAGGAGTGAGCTTATTTCATCTTTGTAGCCTCAGTTGTTATTTTTGGCTTTGGTGTTATTGTATTTTCGTTTTCGTTGTAACGATATACATTTTGGAGTTTTAATGAGATGCAGTTTTTCCTCATTTTGCCTTGTGTTGTGAAATGGTATTCGGATGTTACACATGTTTGACCAGTTTTGGTTGTGAGACGGTCTAATCTTATGGTTATAGACATTTTTCCAGAATTTTTACTCTAAGGATTGCGATCTGAATAACTCATCATGTTTTTGGAGACTTCGTTCTCTGGCAGACTCTCTGGGTGCAAGTAGGCCTCAGTTGAGTGTAGCTTATCTGGGTGCAAGTAGGCCTCAGTATAAGCAGTTTGGTTCATCTGGGTGCAAGTGGGCCTCAGTATGGACAGTTTCGGGTTCGTCTGGGTGCAAGTGGGCCTCAGTGACCGGTGTGGACTTGTCTGGGTGCAAGTGGGCCTCAGTACAAGTGGTTTGTGTGTTTTGGATGATGAGTTAGGAGTGAAAATTTCTTGGAACGTGCTTATGACATAGGATTTGACATATGTCTCGGGGATCAGGTGAGGATCTCCAGTGTTGCGGCCTTGCGAGGTCGGGTTTTTGTGGTCTTTGTGACGTTTGTTTTGGGATTCGAGGACGAATCCAGTTTAGTGGGGGAGAATTGTAACATCCGTAGACCAAAGAATTGTGATTTTTCTTTAGTGTCGGTCGACACCAGGGTGGTGTCGGTCGACACCAATGGTTAAAATCGATTTCTGGTTCAATTTAAGTCAATTGAAATCCGGTTTAGGCCCGGTTTAGCGGAAACCCTTGGGTCTTGAATAAAAGTCGCGCAGCCGCTTCCTCTTTTCTCTGTTTTGTCGTTTTGTGGCGAGTTTGGAGAGGAGAAGAGATTTGAGGCGATTTGAGGTGTTGGTCGATCGATTCGAGGCTGGTTCGTCGTTGTTTCGGAGCCTGAGTGATCGTTGGTGGCTGCTGCGTCGCTGTTCTTCGTGTCCTTCATCAGATTCATCATCTTCAATCCGATTTCCCCTCTTTTCAACCTAAAATCGAGGTGAGTGCATGACTGTGGGTCCGTGATTGCTAGATTCAGATATGTATGTGTTTCTGTGGTGATTTTGTGATGATATTGATGTTTGTTTCAGTATTTATGGTTGTTTGATTGATTTCCTGTGAATTGCGAATTTCGGGTACTGTTCATAGCGATCTGGGTTTTTCCAGAATCGGTGTCGGTCGACACCAAGCTGGTGTCGGTCGACACAAAACGGTTAACTCTGGTTAAAATTGATTTAATTGGTTTAATTGAAATTGACTGGTTTAAATCAATTGGAAGTGGTTTATCGAATTGGATTGGTTTAATGTGGTATTTAATTAATTAATTGATATTTAATTGATTAAATGATTTAAAATAATTATATTAATTATTTTAAAATATGGAAAATTATTATTTAATTTGGAAATTATTTAATAATTGAGAAATGAAGTTTTAATTATTAAAATTATTTAATAATTCGAAAATTGGTATTTAATAATTATTGGAGTTTAAAAATATTATTAAATATCTAGTAATTGCGTAAATGGCTCGTAGGCAGAGTGATTGCCTCACTAAGTATTTATTAAATACTTACGCAACTCCATTCCAATGTGTTGCAGGTAAAAGATTTGTGTGATCGCGGAATCAAGGCTGAAGAGGGGGATGATAGGATGTTTAATGTTTTATTGTTTTGCATTTATTTGACTTGCTAGTACCTGGTGTTTAGGTTGCTAGTATTTCCTTTAATTATTTATTTGAATTTATTTGTTGAACCTGATTTATTATTTATTTATTTATTTAAAGACTTCCGCTGAATTGTTATTTAATTTATTTATAAAAAAAAAATGTTGGTTGTTTCACTCCAAGTGTATTCTTTTCCAAGGAAAACCCTATATTGTAATCCTATATAAGGAGCTTATTACTAATAGAATAATACACAACCAATTCCTCTCTTCTCTTGTTCTCTCTTTTTACTATAACACGTTATCAGCACGAGTCTCTAACCACTAGGTTAAAACCCTAGCCGTCTAAGCTAAAAGTTAAGAGGAAATCAAATTTTCTTATTTCCAAAGATTAAACAAGATTCAATGAATAATTTCTACTATTTTGTTGATCTATGTTTATCATCTCAATCTCAGAAGTATTTGTAATCCTGAAGAATTACAATTACAAAATCATTTATATCCCAGAAGGATTTATATCTTATCATAGAAAGATTTTTATATCTATGAAGAATTTATATTTTATTTATCCCAAAAGGATTTATAAAGATTTTATATTGTTTATTATTTCAGTTGCATATACATTGTTCTTATTTATTTTTATTTGCTTCTCATAAGATATTTGTTATTTTCATTATATGTTTAATTGATTACTAAATTGAATATAATTAACCATCAATACTGATCTAGTTTATTGTCAACATATTGTTTAGTATTGATATATTGAAGAATCTATATATTGTTTAATATTGACCTGTTTATAAAGTAAAAGGCATAAATATATTGATCGATCTATGCTTCTTCGATTATTAGGTCTATGCTTTTTGGTTTGTTGCAATTTAATTCAATTTATATAACTTTGACTCATGTTTCTTTGATTTAGTTAGCCTTGATTCAATTTAAAACATGAATTCGTACTTAGCTATCTTTCCATCGGCACATGAATCCATGACATGAATATATTGTTTGAGGATCTTGTTTATTCATAAATTAAAGAAACTATCTATAATTTGATTCTTTTAATATTTTATGGTTTATTGACATCTCATGTATTGATTTAGAAATATATATCGAGACATGCCATGTATTAGAACAAAACATGCTTTGAGAATTGAGATATTGTTTCAAGTGCCTTTTAATTTGGATCGGTTAATTTTGGTTTTAATAAATTGTTGGTGTAGTTTATATTTGGTTCGTTGGTCAACATTTGCTGGCAACTGAGCTGAGAGAAGTCCCCGTTTTTTCTAGTAAAGGTAAGTAATTATCTCACACTTTAGAATCATGTTTATGAACACAAACATATTTTATAATATAATCATATTTGGTGCCAATGTTTTATTTTACTAAGATTAAGATCAGTATATTAATCTACATTCTATGAATATATGCTATGACTCTTCGTAAATTGATGATCTTAATTTATATGAATTGCTTTTTATTGATCAGTTCATGATTGTCACATGCTTTTTATTATGATTTAAGAACTATTAATTGGATTTTGTGATTAAAACATTGGTTTGAGTTGGTTTAATTGATTATTGGCATACATGATCTCATACTTCTCACTAATTGAAAATTGTTAACCAGAATTTGATATAGGATTGTGTAATGGTTTGGTGGCTTAGTCTTATATTGGTTTTGGAACCATTAATTAGTATTAGATTAGGTCCGCGTATACGCGGGTTTATTTATTTTTAATTTTTTAAATCACGGAAGAATATTAAACAAAATTTGATCAATTTTAAAAATAAGAAAATAATATTAAAAACCCGATAACAAATCTCTAAATAAAGATATGTAGTCTTTTACATTTTTATTTTGAATTCATGATATGAAATAGAAAGATTTACATGTGTCTAAATCTAATCGACTCATTATTTTATGAAACTTTGATTATTCCATGATGAAATCTTTATTTTTAATTTTTTTTTACCTAACAAAATATGGAAAATTAAACTATTTAATATTAGAAGATCAGTCCATTATAAAATTTTTTTTTTTTAATATTATTTAGTTCCTTAATAATTATTTTGTTAGTTTTCTATTTATATTGTTTCTTTTTCAATTTTGTTTTTGGCTCTGCCATTATAAATTTTCATTTTCATTATTAGTTAGTTGTTTTAATATTATTTTGTTAGTTTATTTATTTATGTTACTACATTTTTCCAATTTTCTTGTGTTGACACATGTCATCACTTCATCAAATATTAGACACATGTATCGATCTAAAGTTAAGTATTCTTCATTGATATATTTAACTTTTAAAGACATTAATTTTATTTCTTAATGAGAAAGAAACTTAAAAAATATAGCTTGTTATATATATATATTTTTTTTTTCGTAATGGGAATATGTTTTTTTATTCTTTTCTTATTGGATGTAACATTTTTTAATTATTTCTTCATGTTTTTTTCTTTTTTCTGATTTTCGTTTTTTTTCCTTTTCGTAATAGATTATGTTTTTTTTTTACTTCTCATAATGAATGAATGTAATATTTTTTTCTTTTTAATTGTTTGTTTCCTATTTTCTGATTTTTCCTAATGTATTAAAAGGATTTTATTCAAATTATTTTAATTTCGATCCAATTGACCTAGAGTCAAATAATCTCCACTGTTCTCTTGAACTTTCAAAGACATGATTTTGAAATTAGAGAAAGAGAATCAAAGAGATTTTATAAATTTGCTTTGATGAGTTTGTGAATGAGAAAAAGAGACTACAATAGCTCTCTTTTTATAGGGGTTCATGTAACACCCCCGAACCGTCTTAGGCACAGACGTTCCGAGAAGCGCCACAAAATGTCGATGTTCGCCGAATAGGCCATCCCAGACTAAGAACAAATCAGAGTCCAGGTCAGCCCGTCCCGCGAACTCGACCCTCTTGACCAAAGCCTAAGGCTTGCCAACCCGTACTTCAGTCAAGAGTTGTGTTAGCCCGGACCAAGCTAATATCATTGGAACATAAGGTCTTTACATAAAACTTTCCTTTATTAAAATATCAGAGTGCTTACAAAATCCGACTTATTTAAAAACATGCGGATCGATCCTTAGTTCCAAACCAAATAACAAACCATAATTTTACAAAAACATACCACAAAACTATTCTGGCGCCTACTGCCTGCAGCGGTCCGCTCTACTTCACACCTCTACGGTCACCTGAAAACATTAAACAAAAGGAATGAGTAATCTAATATTACTCAGTGAGTCTAGGACCTCTATACAAGGGGGATTCCCTAAACTCCAAACACAAATGCCGCGGGCTTGTAATCCCGCCTCCACCTGCATTGAGGTTAGCACAACACAACATATGCAATCACATGCATTATTGATGCCATAGTCTTAAGACTAACCATACCCCAATCAAACAAGAACATGTACGATCAACCCAAGACTATAACAACAATCAAACATTCTATATGCAATGCCCATGCAAACCTAGACAAGTATCTAATACTTGTTTTCTATATGCAATAAGGCGCCTAGGTGCATTAGCCACATTTTCTGCCTACGCCTGTGAAGGTTCACGCTCATCCGGAATCATACAGAAACTAGATGAACGCCTTCACCCGGGCACTACAGTCCATCGCGGTACCCGGTTCATCCTTCCATCTATTGGCCTTACTGGCGCACCATGCCAATGTCTGGTTGGATCCCATATCGTCATATGGTACCATACTCGGCCAAGGCAGCTGACCAGGTTATCCTCCGAGTCTTCCTCCCTTCATGCACAGCCTCCACGCTGCCAATCCGGTTGGGCTCTGACGTGCGAGAATGCGCTTGACTACACCTTCCTAGACAACATGTGGTTAGACACGCCACATGTTCTCAATACTTAGCATATGGGCCTTTACGCACCACTATGCCTCATACCACCGGTTCTGCGGCAGAGCTTCCCTTGCCTCGGAAGAGTACACACAAGAACCTTGAAAGATCTGGCGGCTCAGCCGTCCGTGATCTTTCCACATCGGAGTCATACTCAACATATGGGCCTTACGCACCACCATGTTAGCATGCACTCGAGGTTTAGCGGCATAGCCATGCTATAACCCCACAACCGATGCATCTATGAGATTTGGCGGCATAGCCATCCACAATCTCACATCACCTAATGTATAGATATGCATCTACACTAACAAGATCTGACGGCATAACCTTCCCCGAAGGATCACCCATCACAATCTTACACAGAAAAGAGATCTGTTGGCATATCCTTCCCCGAAGGTTACCCAACACAACCTCACACACAAAAGAGATCTGGCGGCCTAACCTTCCCCGAAGGTTACCCGACACAACCTCACAACACAAGAGATCTGACGGCATAACTTCTCTCCCTAGAAGATTACCCATCACAACCTCACAACAATGCAAACCTGCATATGAACACACAAGAGATCTGACGGCATAACTTCTCTCACTAGAAGATTATCCATCACAACCTCACAACATATTATATAAATTTCTGCAGCATAACTCTCCACAATTTTTACTAAACCTTATTGTTTAGAGAGTTATACTACAGAACCAATAACCAATATGAACAGAAAGCATCTCCCATGCTTTGGTGTTCATACAACCTGCATACACACACAAAGATCCAAAATACTAAAACTATAACATCAAGACTCACCACTTTAAGAAGACTTCAAGATCCTCCTAGCTTTCCTTAAGTTTTGATCTTGACCTACTCTAATCTTTCACTAACCTCACTTAATTAAGAAAACTTTCTTAATTATTCTCTAATCACTTTTCAGGTGCTCTCTAGCTTTGGGAATGGAATGGTTTGGACTTGGGGCTGGAGGAGCGTATTTATAGGAGTTCAGAAGGCTGCCTGTCTTCTTGGGACGTCTCTAATCATGCGCAGACACATGGAGACCTAGGTCTAGCATAGCTTTGCTTGGTGGCAACCTACACTGCCTCAGAACGCGACATCCAGGCGGTCTAGGCTAGGTAGCTTTGATTGGTGGACTCTAGGGCGTCTCAGGACATGACACACGTCATTCCTATCCCCTCTCAATGCTCATCCAATAGGCCGACTTCCCCTAAGCATGTGGTGTGGTCGTCCGATTGGTTAAAACTCATCTTATCTCCTTAAGCTGCTGTGTGCTTCCATTTGATTGGTCAGCTCTTGATCCAATCCGTTTCTGCATCTCTACACTTGCTTCTCATCCACTCCTGAAGCTTCTCCTCTCTCTCAGTGGTTAGTGTTGCATCCTGATTCGTCCAAGTCAATTCCGTCTCCATTTATCACCTCAATGTCTCCGTCTGATTGGTTTGGACGATTCTTGTCTCTCATGAGCAGCTGGGTGTCTCTCCCTGATAGGATTAGGTCTTCTTGGAGCTTACCCACGTCCTCTCTCCTCCTTAGCAGTTGGTGTCGTTGTCCAATTGGTTTAGGCTTGCTTCGTCTTCATTCAGTAGCTGGATGTTACTGCATGATTGGCCTGTACGATTTTGGCTCCATTGTAGTAGCTGCATGTCTTCTCCATATTGGTTATGATCATCCTTATCTTCTCCAAGTAGCTGGTGTCACCACTTGATTGGCTTAGAACAAGATTTCTCCAATGTACGTTTCCTCGTCCAGAGGGTTTCGTACGTTTCCCTGTCCGGAGGGTTTCGTCCCGTCGTGCTTGAGAATTAAAATCTCCTATTTTAATCCTTCTCTCATTTCCATGTTTCTAAGCTTCCACATAGTTGCTTGGAAATGTGCGGAATACCTCCATTCCGAACATTTACGGTTCTTGCAGTTGTTGCGGGATAAATCTTGGGCGTCCGTCCCATCTCTCATTTGCATTCTGCTTCGACCAAACTTCTTAGAATGGTATCTTATGTCTTCCAGACTCTTCTCTTCTTGATTTGGAGAACTTTGATATTTCGCCGTCCAGTCGGCTCTTCCCATGTTCGCACAATGATCGTCCCACCTGGACAATCTTGTTGTATCTTCACTTCTGCTCGATCGTTCTTGATCCTGTCTTGATCCAAGTCTTCGTTGTGATCTCTGGATTAGATTCCATGTCTTTGTCTTCCAATCCCAGAGTGTTGATCTTCCCATCCCGGCCTTTGGGATGTTTTAGGTCTTGATACGGGGTATCACAGTTCATGTAACCAATTTCATATAATTCTAGGATATTTAGTTTACATACCTATAACATGTACTAATAGGATTTTTTTAAATTGAAGTTTATATAACCTATTCCATACAATTTTAGGATTTAGTTTACATACCTATTCCATATACTAATAGGAATTTTTTGTTACATTATTTTTATTTTATTATAAGATATTAAAAGTTTCCCTTTAAAATAAAAAATTTCTTTTTCCCCTAATACACGTGTCACGATCTTAACGGATATAATCTTAAAAGTGACACATGTCGCGATCCTATATTTTATAAAAATCTTACGTGTCACAACCACGTCACACGCATCCAGCTATATATAATAAGATGGAGCATAATAATGGAATACAACAGAGAAACATGTGACTATTAAATGCAAAAGCAGTAACATATAACTTGAAATCAGAGAAAGTTTTGCAAAAAGTAATAATGAAACATCTAAGATTCTTCGGTCCTAAATAAATAATAGGCTTGCATCATAATTTAAGAAAACAAAAAATAAATCCAGCTATATATATGTAACAAAAATTCCAGATCACTGTCTATTGGAGTATTAGTTTTCAGATATTTTTGTTTTGGTAATGATAAAGTTTATATATAAAAGATGGGAAACCTAACCAATCATATGTCTGTGTTTGTAATAATCCGTATGTATTCGTGCAGAACACAAACACATACATATAATTTTCTTATAACCTCACAAAGGTACACTGATTAAGCATTGAATTAGCTGCAAAAGTATAGGCACAATTAGGCCCGAGGCTTTTTCCTGAAACCGGATACCCAAACCGAAATACCTGGACTCAAACTGAACTCGTATAAAACAGTTTACCCGATGGGTAAAGTATTTGAATATCCATGAATATCAGGTATTACCCAAACCGAACAGATACTCGATCAGATATCCAAATGACCCAAATTATAGGTAATATTTTATATCTTTTTGAATATTTTTAATAGTTTTCAGATATATTTCACTTAAAAAAAATTCATATTTTCAGATATTTTTGAGGTTTTTGTGTATATTTTTCGAGATTATGGATATATATATATATATTTTTGATTTTCTTATATATATATATATATGTTTTTAGGTTTTTGGGTTTATTTTTGGGTTTTCCAATGGTAAATATCCGAACTCCAAAAAATAACCGAAAATTATGGATCAAACCGACTCAAAACCAAAAATAGCGACCGATACCAAACCGAAACTCTTTAGAAACCTATAGGGTATATAACTTCATATACCCGATAGAGCGGAACTCGATCAGTTCCAGGTTCCAACCTCAACCCGACCCGAACACCCGAAATCGCAAGTCTAGGGACAATGATTACTCAACACTAAGAACCTAGAATGACTACTGAGTAAGCAAACTAAAATATTTACCGGAAAAAATTAACTGCAAAACAGATAGGGTTTCAACTTTCAAGCTCAGAGAATTTGTAACATCCATAAACCAAAAATAAAAATTGGGAATTTTGTCGGTTCAATTTAAGTGAATTGGTTTGGGTCGGTTTAGTGGAGAAAGCCCTAAAATCAAGTTTAAAGAGTGCAGCCGTCTTCTCTTTGGAGAATTTTCGAGTTCAGATGCTGTAGAGGAGAAAAGTTGAGTTTTTGGAGAGATTTTCGAATTTTACTGTTCATCGGCACTGTTCATCGGTACTGTTCACGGGTTACTGTTCATCGGTACTGTTCAGGGTTACTGTTCATCGGTACTGTTCATCGGCACTGTTCATCGTCCTTCCTTTTTCCTTCAGTTTCAGTCAATTGTCAAGGTGAGTGCATGACTGTGGGTCCGTGATTTGCTAGATTAGATTTGGTTTGTGGTTGTTCTTGATGAGTTTATGTTTTTAATTGTTATTTTTATGATATTTTGGTTGTTCATGTGATGAATTGTGTGTTTGTGTGGTTTAATCTGGTTTATTGGTTTAATTGAATTTAATTGATTTGATTCTGGTTTATCTTGGTTCAATTGAATTTAATTGGTTTAATTGAATTTAATTGGTTTAATGGAATTAAATAGATTTAATTCGGATTTAATTAATTAAATAATATTTATTTAATTAATTGGTATTATTTTAATTATTTTAAAATATGGAAAATTATTATTTAATTATGAGAATTATTTAATAATTGAGAAATTGAGTTTTAATTATTAAAAATTATTTAATAATTGGAAAATGGTATTTAATAATTATTGAGTTTATAAATATTATTAAATATCTAGTAAATTGCGTAAATGGCTCGTAGGCAGAGTGATTGCCTCACTAAGTATTTATTAAATACTTACGCAACTCCATTCCAATGTGTTGCAGGTAAAAGATTTGTGTGATCGCGGAATCAAGGCTGAAGAGGGGGATGATAGGATGTTTACTGTTTTATTGTTTTGCATTATTTTGCTAGACTTGTTTAATTATTATTTGCTTCCGCTGAGCTGATTTATTTGTTATTGATATTTTATTTATTTAATTTATTTTTAAGACCTTCGCTAGAATTGATTAATATTTATTAAAAAAAAAAAAATGTTGGTTGTTTCATTTTGGTATCAGAGCCTAGACGGTTTTAGGACTGTTAGAATTGCTAGGCTTTAGTATCATCCCCTTCAGCTACAAGAGATTCCGCGGTGAGTTTATGTTTGTTTTGAGTTTTGGTTGCGTGTTCTAGTGTGCTCTTTTCGGTTCCATGAGTGAGATGGACTGAGTAGCTAGAGGTTGTGGCGCGAGAGGGCGCGGTGCTGAGGCCGTGGTGGCAGAGCTAGAGGCCGTGGAGGTCGGGGCCGAGATTGTGGACTTCGGCGGATTCGGGAGAGAGTGTGGTGCCGAGTGTGGCGACTGCGTCGGTGACCCAGTCGGTATCCGTGGCGAGTGAGGCCAGTGTGGATGCGAGTGTTGGTTTGGGAGCGGGGGCTGCTCCGGGTTGGGGTGGTGCTCCGGCTCAGGGTCTTGATGACTTAGTGGTGGGTTTGCTGACGCAGTTATTGGCTCGTTTTCCGCCAGTGGTTCCACAAGGGGCTCCGGGAGTACCTCCAGTGGCAGAGGTGCAGCAGAGGGCTGCGGGATTTGTTCAGCCGCAGGCTGTGGGTTTGATGGTGCCGTCCTACTTGGATATGTGGGGCACATGCAGAGGATTGGTACGCCGTACTTTGAGGGCGGAGTTAGCCCAGAGGCGGCAGATGAGTGGCGTCAGAGATTGGAGCGGAATTTCCAGTCTATCAGATTTCTGGTTTAGTACCAGGTTGAGTTGGCAGTCCACTATCTGAGTGGAGATGCACATTTGTGGTGGCGGGCCATCGAGGGCATAATGGTTGTTGTTGCTGTGTGTTGTTCATTTATCTGTGATAAATTGTTGAGGTTCTCAACGCATGTGTTTCGTAATGACCTTGTTAGTGGGCGGTTTTGAGTCCCACGTTTTATTCGACTCTGGAGCATCGAATTGCTTCATTACACCGGAGCGTGCCGAGAAGAGTGGCATCCGGAGTAGCGCGGGCGAGAGCGCGGGCATGGTCAAGGTGGCGGGAGGTGGATTCTTGTCTACTTTGGGCCGTGCTAGAGGAGTCGAGATCGAGATTGCGGGGCAGTCAATGCCAGCAGACTTAGTCATCAGTCCGGTGGAGCTGTATGACGTTATTCTCGGGATGGACTGGTTGTCACACTACAGAGTTCATCTGGATTGCTACAGAGGTAGAGTGGTCTTCGAGCGAGATGCAGGGAGGTTGGTTTATCAGGGAGTGAGACCGACTTCCGGGAGTATTGTGATATCTGCTATTCAGGCCGAGCAGTTGTTAGAGCGGGGCTGTGAGGCGTATCTGGCGACGATTTCTATGTCTGAGTCAGGAGCTGGAGTTGTTATGGGAGATATTGAGGTTGTCCAGGATTTTGAGGATGTCTTTCAGTCACTGAAGGGATTACCACCATCTCGGTCTGATCCTTTCACGATTGAGTTAGAGCCGGGGACAGCACCGATATCGAAGACGCCTTACAGGATGGCGCCAGCTGAGTTGGCAGAGCTGAAGAAGCAGATAGAGGACCTTTTGTCTAAGGGGTTCATTCGACCAAGTGTTTCACCGTGGGGAGCACCGGTGTTGTTTGTGAAGAAGAAGGATGGCAGTTTCAGACTTTGTATCGATTACAGAGGTCTTAACCGAGTCACTGTGAAGAACAGGTACCCACTCCCGAGGATTGATGAGTTGTTGGATCAGTTGAGGGGTGCTACTTGGTTCTCCAAGATTGACTTGGCATCGGGGTATCATCAGATCCCGATAGATGAGGCAGATGTCAGGAAGACTGCTTTCAGGACGCGTTATGGGCATTTTGAGTTTGTGGTTATGCCTTTCGGTTTGACTAACGCGCCGGCAGCCTTCATGAGATTGATGAACGACGTGTTCAGGGAGTATTTGGACGTGTTTGTCATCATTTTCATTGACGATATTCTGGTATACTCGAGGAGTCAGGAGGAGCATGCGACTCACTTGAGGTTGGTTCTGGAGAAGCTTCGGGAGCAGAAGCTTTTTGCTAAGTTGAGCAAGTGCAGTTTCTGGCAGCGAGAGATGGGATTTCTTGGCCACATTGTTTCTGCAGAGGGAGTTTCTGTGGATCCGGCTAAGATTGAGGCTATCAGAGATTGGCCTAGACCTAGTAGTGCCACCGAGATCAGGAGTTTTCTGGGTTTGGCAGGATACTACAGGAGGTTCGTCAAGGGGTTTGCTACCATGGCGCAGCCGATGACGAAGTTGACCGGGAAGGATGTCCCTTTTATTTGGTCAGCTGAGTGTGAGGAGAGCTTTAGTCAGCTCAAGGAGATGTTGACTACTACACCAGTGTTGGCGTTACCCGAGCCAGGGAAGCCTTACATGGTGTATACAGATGCTTCAGGCATTGGTCTTGGTTGTGTGCTGATGCAGGAGGGCAGAGTGATAGCATATGCTTCGAGACAGTGGCAGGGCAGTGAGCGTAACCGTCCTACACATGACTTAGAGTTGGGAGCAGTGATCTTCGCGTTGAAGATTTGGAGGTCTTACTTGCTAGGTGAGACAGTACAGGTCTTCACGGATCACAAGAGTTTGCAGCATATCTTCACTCAGCCGATGATGAACGCGAGACAGACGCGCTGGGTTGAGTTCTTGGCGGATTATCAGGTGAGCATTAACTACCATCCGGGCAAGGCTAACCTAGTGGCGGACGCGTTGAGTAGACGGAGGTATGATTCCGCAGTTGAGCGAGATGTGGAGTCTCTAGTTGGCGAGATCAGTACCTTGCGTTTGTGTGCCATTTCGCAGGAGCCTTTGGGTTTAGAGGCAGTGGATCAGGCGGATCTACTTAGCAGGATCAGAGTTGCTCAGCAGAGTGATCAGAGTTTGCTGGATGCGACTAGAGTGACTGGTTCTGAGTATGAGGTCTCTGCGAATGGGACTATCTTGGTTCGTGGGCGAGTTTGTGTGCCTAAGGATGTGGAGTTGAGACATCAGATTTTGGGAGAGGCTCACGCGAGCAAGTTTTCCATTCATCCGGGAGCGACCAAGATGTACCATGACCTCAAGAGGTACTATCATTGGGTCGGGATGAAGAGGGATGTAGCAGACTGGGTTGCGAAGTGCAACACTTGTGCCTTGGTGAAGGCAGAGCATCAGGTTCCGGGTGGTCTTTTGCAGAGTTTACCCATTCCAGAGTGGAAGTGGGACAGGATTACGATGGATTTCGTGGTTGGACTACCTGTTTCGAGGACTTTCGATGCTATCTGGGTGATTGTGGATCGGTTGACTAAGTCTGCACATTTCTTGGCCATCAAGAAGACAGATGGAGCTGCTGTCTTGGCTAGGAAGTTTGTGCGAGAGATTGTGAGGCTGCATGGAGTGCCAGCTAGTATTGTGTCAGACCGTGATCCCAGATTCACTTCAGAGTTTTGGAGGGCGTTTCAGGCAGAGATGGGCACTAAGGTGCATCTGAGTACAGCTTATCATCCGCAGACAGATGGTCAGTCAGAGAGGACTATTCAGACTTTGGAGGATTTGCTGAGGATGTGTGTGTTGGATTGGGGTGGCCATTGGGCAGATCACCTAAGCTTAGTTGAGTTTGCATACAACAACAGCTTTCAGGCGAGTATTGGCATGGCTCCATTCGAGGCTTTGTATGGGAGGCCATGTAGGACACCCCTATGCTGGACCCAAGTGGGGGAGCGCAGCATGTATGGAGCTACTTATGTTCAGGAGACGACAGAGAAGGTTCGTGTTGTGAGGCTGAACATGAAGGAGGCTCAGGATAGGCAGAAGAGTTATGCAGATAGACGCAGACGAGAGCTTGAGTTTCAGGTTGGAGATAGAGTTTATCTCAAGATGGCTATGTTGAGGGGTCCTAACAGATCCATAGCAGAGAACAAGCTGAGTCCGCGATTTATGGGTCCGTTTCCAGTAGTGGAGCGAGTTGGGCCATTGGCTTACAGGCTGGAGTTGCCTGAGATTATGAAAGCCTTTCACAAGGTTTTTCATGTGTCGATGCTGAGGAAGTGTCTTCATCCTACAGAGGAGTTAGTGGCTAGGATTCCAGAGGATCTTCAGCCAGATTTGACCGTGCCGGCAGTGCCTATGAGGATTTTAGAGAGGAGGGAAAAGGTTCTGAGGAACAAGAGGATTCCCTTACTGAGGATTTTGTGGGATTGCAGTGGTTCTACAGAGGAGACTTGGGAGCCAGAGGCAAAGATGAAGTTGAAGTTCAGGAAGTGGTTCGACAAGCAGGTCGAGGAGTGAGCTTATTTCATCTTTGTAGCCTCAGTTGTTATTTTTGGCTTTGGTGTTATTGTATTTTCGTTTTCGTTGTAACGATTTACATTTTGGAGTTTTAATGAGATGCAGTTTTTCCTCATTTTGCCTTGTGTTGTGAAAAGGTATTCGGATGTTACACATGTTTGACCAGTTTTTGGTTGTGAGACGGTCTAATCTTATGGTTATAGACATTTTCCGGAATTTTTACTCTAAGGATTGCGATCCTGAATAACTCATCATGTTTTTGGAGACTTCGTTCTCTGGCAGACTCTCTGGGTGCAAGTAGGCCTCAGTTGAGTGTAGCTTATATGGGTGCAAGTAGGCCTCAGTATAAGCAGTTTAGTTCATCTGGGTGCAAGTGGGCCTCAGTATGGACGTTTTCGGGTTCGTCTGGGTGCAAGTGGGCCTCAGTGCGGACCGGTGTGGACTTGTCTGGGTGCAAGTGGGCCTCAGTACAAGTTGTTTGGTGTGTTTGGATGATGAGTTAGGAGTGAAATTTTCTTGGAACGTGTTTATGACATAAGATATGACGTTTGTCTCGGGGATCAAGTGAGGATCTCCGGTGTTGCGGCCTTGCGAGGTTGGGTTTTGTGGTCTTTGTGACGTTTGCGTTGGGATTCGAGGACGAATCCAGTTTAGTGGGGAAGAGTTGTAACATCCATAAACCAAAAATAAAAATTGGGAATTTTGTCGGTTCAATTTAAGTGAATTGGTTTGGGTCGGTTTAGTGGAGAAAGCCCTAAAATCAAGTTTAAAGAGTGCAGCCGTCTTCTCTTTGGAGAATTTTCGAGTTCAGATGCTGTAGAGGAGAAAAGTTGAGTTTTTGGAGAGATTTTCGAATTTTACTGTTCATCGGCACTGTTCATCGGTACTGTTCACGGGTTACTGTTCATCGGTACTGTTCACGGGTTACTGTTCATCGGTTCATCGGCACTGTTCATCGTCCTTCCTTTTTCCTTCAGTTTCAGTCAATTGTCAAGGTGAGTGCATGACTGTGGGTCCGTGATTTGCTAGATTAGATTTGGTTTGTGGTTGTTCTTGATGAGTTTATGTTTTAATTGTTATTTTTATGATATTTTGGTTGTTCATGTGATGAATTGTGTGTTTGTGTGGTTTAATCTGGTTTATTGGTTTAATTGAATTTAATTGATTTGATTCTGGTTTATCTTGGTTCAATTGAATTTAATTGGTTTAATTGAATTTAATTGGTTTAATGGAATTAAATAGATTTAATTCGGATTTAATTAATTAAATAATATTTATTTAATTAATTGGTATTATTTTAATTATTTTAAAATATGGAAAATTATTATTTAATTATGAGAATTATTTAATAATTGAGAAATTGAGTTTTAATTATTAAAA